TCTTGTGTTTGACTTCAAGTTTCATAGCACCATGATATGAAAATATGCACAGTATGATCTTGATCTCTGCATACTTGTTGAAGGCTGATTTGTGACCCAGCATATGATCTATTCTGGAGAATGTTCCATGTGCACTTGAAATGAATGTGTATTCCGCTGCTTTAGGATAAAATGTTCTGTATACATATGTCTGTTAAGTCCATCCGGTCCAGTGTGTCATTCAAAGCCTTTGTTTCCCTGTTGATTTTGCTTAGATGATCTGTCCATTGCTGTAGGTGAGGTGTTAAAGTCCCCTATTATTACTGTATTATAATCAATGAGTTTATGTTTGCTTTAATTGATGTATACATTTGGAGTTTTCAAGTTGGGAGCATGAATGTTTAGTCATTAGGTCTTGATAGATAGACTTCTTAATTATAATACTTTCCATCTTTTGTTAGTCTTTGTTTTAAGATCTAGTTTGTATGATAGAAGTATGGCTAGTCTCTCTTCCTTTTACTAACCATTAGTCGGTTGGATGGTTCTCCATCCCCTCACTTTCAATCTGTAGGTTGTATTTAGGTCTGAAACGAGTCTTTTATAGTAAGATTATAGATAGATCTTGGTTTTTTATCCATTCTGATACCTTATGTCTATTGATTGGAGCAGTTAGTGCATTTACATTCAGAGTGATTACTGAAAGACATGAATTTAGTGCCATTATGTTACCTGTAGAGTTGGTGTTTCTGGTGATGTTCTCTAGTACTTTTTAGTCTTTGTTGATTTTGGTCTTTTTTATTTTTCCTCCACTCAGAGTCACCCTTAAAATTTTGTATAGGTCTGGTTTAGTGGTCACAAACTCCTTTAATTTTTGTTCGTCTGGGAAACTATTTTGAGTGACAGCCATGCTGGATAGGGTATTCTTGACTTCATATTTTTTCCATTCAGTACATTGAATACATCTGGCCACTCCTGTCTGGCCTGCCAAGTTTCTATGGTCAGATCTGCTGCGAACCTGATCTGTCCTTCCCTTGTACATTAAGTACTGTTTTTCCCTGCTGCTTTCACAATTCTTTCCTTACTTGTATATTTTGTGAATTTGACTCTGATATATCTTGGCAATGGCCAACTTCTGTTGAATTTAATGGGAGTTCTCTGTGCTCCTTGGATTTTTATGTCTGTGTCCTTCCCCACCTGAGGGAGATCTTCAACTATAATTTGCTCATATAAACCTTCTGCTCCTTTATCTCTCTTTTCATCTTCTGGGACTCCTATGATATGACTGTTAATATGTGTGTTTTTTTAAATTTTTAACGTTTATTTATTTGTTGAGAGAGAGAATGAGTGAGTGCACGAGTTGTGAGAGGGGCAGAGAGAGGGAAACACATAATCTGAAGCAGGCTCCAGGCTCTGAGCTGTCACCACAGAGCCCGACGCAGAGCTGTCAAACCCACAAACCACAAGGTCATGATCTGAGCTGAAGTCAGATGCTTAACTGACTGAGCCACCCAGGAGCCCCAAATGTTACTACATTTTAATAAATTGCTGAGTTTCTTAAGTCTGCCTTTGGGATACCTGACCTTTGTTTCTTTTTCTCAGCTTTAGTATTTTCCTTAATTGTAAATTCTACATTGCTAACTTGCTCCTCTGCCTTGTCCACACTCATTTTATGGCCTCTATTTGGGTTTGCATCTTGGTTATAGCATTTTTAATTTTGGCCTGACTAGACTTTAGTTCTTTTATCTCTGCAGAAAGGGATTTTCTGGTGTCTTCTATGGTTTTTTCAAGCCTACATAGTACCCTTTCAGTTGTGGTTTTAAATTCAAGTTCAGACATCTTATTTATATCTGCATTGACTAAATCCCTGGCCACCTTTTCTTTCTGTCTTTTCTTTTGAAGTGAGTTTCTCTGTCTTGTCATTTGGAAGGAAGAAAAAAACCAATAATAATGATAGAATGAAATAAACAATTAAAAAGGCAAATAAAGGAAGGTAGGTCTTAGATGTGTTTTGGTCTGCTTGTTAAGAGAAGCTTGATAAGAAAAGGAGAAAAAAAAGAGAAACAAAAATTAAACATAAAAAAATCAAATAAAATTAAAATAAGATAAAAACATTTTGTCCTTTCTGTATCCAAGACACAAAGAAAACAACAACAAAAGTTAAAACAGAAGCAACAAGAAACAAACAAATTATCAAAAAAACTCCAAACGAAACAAACCCAGTTTCTTCTAGAGCTGAAACTTTGCACAGTCTATGGCCAGTAGACTCAGCTCAGCTGGTGGGAAGGATTTGTGTGTGTGTGTGGGGGGGGGGGGGTCTTCTCTGGCTCTAATTCTCAAGTGGACTTGCCCTAGTGGAGATATGCCTGGAGGGCTCAGGTGGGCCAGCGCTTGGTGTAACAGCTCCATTCTTCACTTGGTGGTGCTGTTCATCTCACTAGGGTGGATCAGTGTTGGTGGGCTAATGGTGAAAATGGCTTCGCCTTGCTCTCTAGTCTCCAGAGAAGGTTGTTCATGCCCTCACAGATATGCAATCAGTCACCCTGATTAGGACACTCCTGTGTGCCTGGCTTTCATCACCTCCCTACCTTTCCCCTGTGTCTGAGCTGTCCGCCTACTAGGTGGCTCCTCCCTCCAAAGTTTTATCTCCGGTGCAGCTATGTTTCAAAACCCCAAACTTAAGAGACCTCTGTGGCTGGAACCCACAGTGGTCCTCTGGGGGAGGGTCTCTCCAGGCTGTGACTGGGGCCAGGAAATAGTCACACCAATGCACAGTGGCAGCAGCTCAGAGTTTATGGTAAACATACAGTTTGCTGCCCTCAGCCAGCCTCTTTGTTCCTATACCAGTGATGTGGTTGTTTGATGGCACCCGCCAGGTCTTTCACCCATGAAGAGGCCATAGCACCTTTATCAAATGCAACCCAAGCAGGGAAGCCACTTCTCCCCCTGTGGCCCAGGGGATCCTCCGACCACCCTGCCTGCTCAAGGGGCTCTACCCTGCTTCCTTGCTGGAGCACTGCTGAGGGATGACTTCTCAAACTTCAGGCTCTGTGCTCCGCTGTTTGTAAACAAAACAAAACAAAACAAAAAACAAAACATAACAAAGCAAATACTGGTGGTATTGAAACCCTCTCCTTTCCCCTGTCCCGCCCCCCTATCCCACCATCTCCATCAATGGTTTCGGGGAAATGTTTTCTTGTGCAGTCCCCTGTGCTGTTTTCACACTTCCTCTCTAAGCTGCTTTCAAGGGGAGTGCTTGCTTATACAAACCCAAAGTGCTGCTCTCTCCCCACTACCCTGCGTCTTTCTCCTCTTTCTGAAAACAGTTCTCTCCCCCTTTGTAGCACTGAGGCTCTTCTCTCCCCCATTCACCTCTCTGCACTATGTACCTCCCATGTTCTCTCCCTCAAAGTATGCAGATAATCCTCAGATCAACTTCCTAGGTGTTCAAAATGGTTCAATATTGATCTAGCTGCATTTGAAGGATGAGGCAAGCCCAGGGTCCCCTTACTACTCTACTACCTTAACTCCTCCTCTCATGTTTCTACCATTATTTTTTAAAGATAGTTTTCCTAAGTCAACAAAAATGTTCTTCATTTACTTTAAAAGTTCTTAACAGTTTTGTGGCTTCCACTTTTGCTACTGATAACCCAGCTTCCAGCCTAATTATAGTTTCTTTGTAGATAATTTTTTTTTTTCAGGCTGTTTTTTCTTTTGGCTCAGCATCTGCATTTCCCTACACTGTGTCTAACTGCTGCTTTCTTTGTATTTATCCTGCTTGTATTTGTTGTACCTTGCAATTTCCTCACCTTTTAATTCATATCTTTCATAAGTTCCTGAAAATGATCTCTTGATGTATTTGAATATTGTCTCATTTATTGTTTCTATTTTATCTGATTCCAAGAATTCCAATTTGATATAGGTTAGGTCTTTCAATTCCGTTCTGTCTCTCAATCTCTTACATTTATCTTCTCTGCATTAGCAGTGATTTCTTTAGCTTCATCTTCCAGTTCATTATATTTCTCTTTAGATGTTTTATTATTCTGTTTAATTCATCTGTTGAGTTTTATAAATTATTTTTTTAAAACTCCACAGAATATTGTAAAGAACAGAACTACAAATAAAAAGCTGTATACTTTTAACCTATTTTTGGTTCTCCAAATGTCACCATCTTATTACTCCATGTGTCCGTATACACACATATGCATCCATACACATATATATGCCCATACACTTACATGCACATATACACACAAACCCCGTCTTATTTCCTTTTAGGAAAACTACCTGGAAAAAGGCTGCAGACATTATACATGTTATTTTTAAATACTTCAACATACCTGTCTCAAGAACAAAAACAATCTCACATATGAACATCATACAATTACCACACATAAAGAAATCCACACGAATCAATAATATAATCCTCAAATTTCCCCGGTTGTCCACCAGATGTCATTTACATAAGCTTTTTTTCTGACCTGGGATCCAGTCAAGGTTTACACCATTACATTTGGCTGTTATGTCTCTTTAGTCTCTCCCTTTCTAGCATAGTACCTCACTTCCCCTTGCTGCTCAGGACATTGAAACCTCTGAAAAGGCCAGGTATTCTGAAGAAAATTCCACATTCTGGAATTGTCTAGAGTTCTCTTCATTATGAGACTTGGGTCTCATAACAGCTCTGAGCTATTAGCACAGAGCCTGATGTGGAGCCTGAACCCATGAACCGTATCATCACAACCTGAGCCAAAGTTGGATGCTCAAACCACTGAGCCACCCAGGCACCTCTCTCATTGCTTGTTTTATTTCAACATTTAGATTTTTCATTTATAAAAACTGCTTGTTTTTCATATCAACCTGGTCATTTTTAATTATCTCTTATTTCCTCAAATTATATTTTAATATCATGTAGCAATAGATTTTTGTCCAAATGGGATGGAGGAGGAGAAAGAGGAAGAAACTACAGAGAATGAGGAGAAAAGGGGGGCAGATTCATTTCTCAAGTTCTATTAAGCTGAAAATACCTTCGCAACTGCTGTGGGGGCTGCTTCAGGTCTGTAGAGCTGAATCTACTGCACTTCATTTTGAAGTTTATTGGTGGATATTTGTTGATTGAACCTAAGAAGAGAAAAATCTGTGATGAGTCTCTTATTCACAGCTATTAACATTGCAGCAATCTGCTCTGTATGCAAAGTATCACTCCACTGTTTGCAATATTCATAAAAGGAAGATACCAACTAAGATGGCCATATGAGATGAAAGCAAGTTTCTCAGGGGAGGCTCTAAAATTGAGCTTAGAAAATACATCTCTGTTGAATTTATAGGTGAAGCATTCAACTTACTTTCCAATGGATGCCTTTAGCAGCTAAAGTTGGTCAAACATTACAGGAGATATTCTAAGCCAGTCCTAAAAGTCTAGTCTCTAATTGATGTGAATTAGTCAGAATAGTTATTTTTTATTTGCCTTTTTGCAATATCAAAATGCAAAAGGAAAGGGATATTCCATTTATGGTTTCTGCATCATTAACAATAGTAACAATAGTGCCATCCTGGGTTTAATTCATTAGTGGTTCACTTCACTTGGAAGTATATTAATTTTTTATAATAACAAAGCATGCCATTATTCCTACACAATTTAAACATTTTTTTAAATTTATGTGTGTGTGTGTGTGTGTGTGTGTGTGTGTGAGAGAGAGAGAGAGAGAGAGAGAGAGAGAGAGAACACATGAGTGTGAAAGTAGGGGAAGAGCAAAGAGGGAGAGAGAGGGACAAAGAGAATCTCAAGCAGGCTCCATGCTATCAGCGCATGGGGCCCGATGTGGGACTTGATGTCATGAACTGTGAGATCATGACCTGAGCCAAAATCAAGAGTCAGATGTTTAACTGACTGAGCCACCCAAGTGCCTCACACATCTTAAACATTGAAGAGCCATTTTTGCTGGGAAACTTAAATAAGTGTATTATTTCCTTGCAGCATTAAATTGAACAGGCTTGGTAAACACAATTAAATATCTTCCTTGGTGATCAAGGGTTATTCTAAGTAGCAAGTTTGTCCCAGGTTGTGATTCAGCACTCCCTCTAAAGCTGCTGTTGGGGATTGGACTGTGTGATTCTAGACTGAGTGGCACAAGGTTATGATCTTTCCCTTACATCTGATTTTTTATTTTTTATCTGTCTTAGTTCTAAGCATCGGGTTGTCAATTTTCTTTCTCTTAGAAAATTTACATCTGATGTGGACTGTGCCTGATGGCCACCTCTATCACTGCATTACGTTAAATAAGAATCAGGGAGGGAGCTGCACTAGCATCTCCAGGAGGACAGTTACGGTGTCTGTTGTGGTTGCTCTTTGGTAGTCCCCACACCTGAACTGGGAGTGGCTCAGGGTAGGCACCTGATAAATGTGTGGATGCTGAAGGAGTATGAATCTGTGGGCCTGATAGAAGATTATGTTAAAGCCTGTTTCAATTTCTGCTTTTACCACTATATTTTAAAGACGGGAGATTTCTAGATACCGAAGTTCTAGAAAAGTGGTGTATAATTGTGTCACGGTAATGGTTTTCTGAAAGCACTTTATAGATCTCTCCCTTCCCCAAGTACTTCTTCTTAAAGCATCTCTTCTCCTTTACCTGGGTGGTAGTGGGGGGTCATTTATTTAATTACACAGTTTAACTAATTACCATGAGACACTGCAAAGAATTTTGGGAGACTAAGGAAGGAAATTTCACTTTAAATGGTCTTTCAATTTTTTGCCTCATAAGTTTTTTTTTTTTTTTACAAGCTTCTCAGTCTTTCTATGTTTTCTTTGGCTTTACTCTTACAAATGCCTTGTAACTACTTTTTCCAGAATGATCCCCAGGCCTACCCTTCTCCCCCTTCTGTTTTCTAGCTCCTCTTTCTGATTCTTATTCCAAAACACATCCACATAAATTTTGTTCTGGGAGCTTATAGCTCCAGTGTTTCTGAAACCATAATGTGCATATGAATCACATGACAATTTGATAAAAATGTAAATTCTCGCTCAGAATGTCTAGAGCAGGGCGTGAAATTCCGCATTTTTCACAAGGTAATGCTGATAATGTAGGTCCTAGACTCACATTTGGAGAAGCACAGGACTAGAGGACGTGACATCAGTACCATCAACAATTTTCCCAAGGCTCCTCACCTAGATGGACCAGTTAGTCTTTGCAACGTTAACTGGTCTCACTGTGTAATGTCAGTGGCAGGTTCAAGACACAATCAGAATCTCCCTTAAGCTTCACTGGGTATTCTTTAGCCTGTGTGTTCATTTTTCTTTATTTGAACTCTAAGGGTTCATTCACCATGAAAATGTTCAGAAATCTGAGTACTTTTCAACCTCCAGAGCCATTAGGCCATGCTTCTTTTTACCCATTGCATTGCATATAAAGTGAACTGCATACTTTCAAGGCAAAATTATTCCAAGAAATACAGCCCATGTTTCTTTTTTTATAGGCACCAGTTACACTAATTGCTGGCATCATAAAAAGTCATTGACAAGGCTGAGAAAGTTTTGCAAGGATACATGTTTCACTCTGACAGGTAAAAAGGTATCTCCTAATACCTCACACTCTGCCTTTGAAACTTGTCAAAAAGCAAAGTTGAGAGTTGTTCAGTTATTCTTTGGCTCTTGTGTTCGGTGTGTTAACTGATGAAGCTTTCCATTGAAGGGCAGCATGTTAATGTTACATGGCAGAGATTTCTACCTTATAGCTAAAGTCCAGGCTGTGACTATACTGCTCTGTGCAGACAGATGTGTGAGCGGCTGCTTGTTATGATTGCTTCTCCATGGGAACCAGAGGCATAAAAAAGATGAGCCAGAAAATTAAATGCTAGAAATCAGAGGTTTCCTCCCTCTACCATCCATCACTACAAATTTTCTTTCCTGACCTTGTAGTGCCTTTGAAGACAGAGGTTTCCAGGAATACATGTCAGTTCATCAACCCTTCTTTTGGGAATACCAAATATACTTGTTATGTGTAAAAAAGAACAGATTTTATGACTTACGCCTGATTGAGTTTACAAAGGATTTCACAAACTTCACACTGTATCTGTGGTCAGGTTTATGAATTCGGCCAAGCTGGACCAAGTGGTGATCCAAAGGGTAGCTGGCTAAATCTTCCAGTTCCTTGTCATTCCAAGCAGGGCCAAGGGAAAATACAAATAGGGCATAACCTTGACATTTGGCTCTCAAGGATTCTTTCTTTAAGGTTTCCCTGTCCAAGTGACTGGTTTCCCCAGCAGATATCACAAATATGACTTTGTTTCTTCTCATATTGGGTGTATTTAAAAAGATATTGTCCATGGTCCACTGTAAGGCATGACCAATGAAGGCGTCTCCATTTAGTTGTTGAACTGATTCTCTCAAATGCCTCTTCATGAGACGTTTACTATTGTAGGTGGTAAGGTTGAACTCCGATCGGACAGGACTCCTCTGAGTGTTGGGTAGGAAGTTGGGGGGAGCATGGCTTAATAGGGCCACCCGGTCTCCACTGACAGAGGTCTCAGGCTCTGAGGTGATCTCAAAGTGATCTAATAGTGCTCCCAAAAAGTGTCTTATGTCTTCAAATTCAGCACTTCCCACGTGGCGAGAGCTGTCCAGAAGGAAAGCAGCATCCACGTATGACTGCACAGGGGGTGGTCTGGCTTGATCACAAAAAGCATCTGGCTTGCATATATCTGCAGACCAAAAGCCACTTAAGGTTACTAAAACAGACTGGACAGAAAAGACAGCATCTCAACATTTGGAACTGCATAATCATTGATATTAAAATAATCACTAAATAACTTTGATATCGACAACAGAAGATTTCCTAGTACATAATTGGCATCTATATTTAAAAGGTACAGATTTTATACCCAGCCGGTGTCCTGAATTCCATTGACTAAGGCAGTTTACTTTTAAAAATTAGGCTGCTTTTAAGAGAAGCTTAATCTTGGCTATATCTTAAGTTTATAAAGATTGAAGTAGATAGTTTATCTCATACACGAGTATACTTTATCATAACATAAAAGCTAATGATCTCTCTAGATAGACAAGATACAGGTTAAACCAATGGCCCTTATCATTATTCTCACACTGTTGTACAATGTAAAGTAGTCTGCTTAAGAAGACTGAAAGAAAGCAATGAATCTTTTAGTTCAATTTAAATAAAGGTTTGTAACTCAAACTCTACATGGGCGTGTACATTAAGAACAAAGTTATAGCTCACCTTTTTATCTCCATTGTGCTTATTAGTTGAAAGCTCAATAGGTGTTTGTTAAATGAAAATAAATACTGCATATTAATGATTGTCCTAAAATATGGAGTCATTTTAATAAATATGTATATCTCATTTAACAAAAGAATGTGTAGTAATAAAAACAGAGAGTGAATTTCATTGAACCTGACCACAATGAATATTCAGAGGAATAAACACAAATTTGGAAATGGAAGGATCTTAGAGGTCACCTAATCTAATTATACAGAAAAGACTGAGGGTAAGAGGGTAAAAATCATTCTGCCAAGCAATACGCTAATGTTTCTAGAAGTCTCTACATAAGATATCAGGTTTATTGTGAGAGACAAGGCCATGTGGCGTGACAGCGGGGAGGCCCGTTGGCCTGAGAGCGAAGATGCCTGGATTCTGGTCTCCCTGTGCCCAGTAGCAAACGTGCTGTATGCCCCTACCCAAGTCACCAGGGGGACTCAACTCTGCACAGTTAGGTGGGTGTGTCGTATTTGTCCAGAGAACCCTTCCAAGGCTGACCTGCAATCCTGAGGTTTTCAGTAATAGTTGATGGTTAAGGAGGAGAACGCCTCTTTGAAAACTAAGCAGAAGAAAGAGAAATGGAATAACCAGCATGTGGACAGCTGATACTTAGGAACAGGCCTGGGGCACAAATAAAAGCAATCAGATGAAAGGTTAATAACCAGAAGGCAGATCCTTGGGGATGTAGCAAACTCCCTCACTTCAGTCTTGCTAGTGGTCTCCGTAAAGATGTGGCTTTGCACCAATTCTGTTACCGTTACTGAAATTCAGTAACATTTTATGACCGCATTTAATGGTCAGATGACAGAACAGTCACCTGTGCGCAAGGCAGTTTCTAAAATCAGAGACAGCAGGCTGTCCATTTGCTCAATTTTGTGGGGTTTTTTAATTGCAGGAAACTACAGCCAAATATCTTTGCTTATATGCCTAGGAGACAAAACCAGGATTCAAGCCAAGAAATGGGGCCAAAATCTATCCCCAGTCACACATGTACAACTTCTGACTGTGCAGGATACCAGCACACACAGTAACTGACATGTCTGGAAGCTAGGCTGAGGGCTGGAGCCGGAGACCTCTCCTCACAGTGCACTTAGCACTATCACTGCATTGAGTAGGAAGCCAGTGCCTGGAAACCAACCCCATGCCACTTAGAGGGAGAGAGGGAGGGAGAGAGAAGAAGAGAGTTGGAGAGTAAGGTGGGAGGGAGAGATAGAGAGAGGGAGAAAGAAAGGAGGAAGAGTGGGGAAGGGTGAGAAAGGGGGAGGGAGGGAGGGAGGGAGAAAATGGAGGAAGCAGTGGGGAGAGAGGTGAGGGTATAGGGGGGAGAGGGAGAGGAGGTGAGAGGGAGGAGAGGGACAGAAGGGAAAGACACTCATGAGTAGAGAGAAACAGAGGGGAAGACAAAAATACAGAGGTGTTTGAAGAATTTCCACTTCTCACTCAGAGTTACCACCACCCTGTGAGGTCATTTATATGCATGTGTTAACATGTCATTGATACACACAGAGATGGAGAGGAATGAAGCATTTTCTTCAAGGCCAAATACCAAGTACCAGGGAGAATAACAGGATCTCTGTTACTCATAAATGGTAGCGTTGTGAAGCCATCTTTCTTGGGTCTCCTCTGGCTGTGCTTCCCCAGGCAAATGATCTCACCTCTCTAAGACTCATTTTCCTTATCTGCAAAATGTAGGTAGTAATAGTTCAAATGTCTCAGGATGATTATAAGGATGGGATGAAACAATGAGAAAAGTGCTTGGCACAGAATAAGCACAACAGCGTCAGTCTCTCAACTGTCATCAGCGCCACCACCAGTGTTACATAAAGCAATTAGAACAGTGCCCAGCTCACAATAAACATCTGGTAACTTAGAAATCACACCCACTGGTGACAGCAGTGGCTTCCACGGTCTTCCTAATTATCAGAACACTCAAATTACGAGCACACTCACCTATAGGTCTAGCCACTAGCCACTTCTCTAGCTGGGCTTGTAGACTGAGTATAAAACACAACAATGGATAAACCAGCATGGCAAGTCATTTTGATACCTCTTTGCAATGAGAAATGTACAGATTTCTACTAATTTCCACTTGTACTGTAAAGCATTTCTTTGGGGTTGTGAATGCTTGAGATTTAGAAGACACATAAATATACATAGCATTAAAGAATTGGCAATGAGACAGGTTGAATTTTTCTAAAAATCATTACTGTTTCTGGGAAGCTGCACAAAGTAGGAAGACCTGGAATGCAATCCTCTTACTATGATACCTGAGAGGAGACCTTGCTCACTGGGGCTCCATCTGTGGACAATGCAGTTTGAGGAGGTAAGCCCGTAGCCCCAGGGAAATTTTCCCAAGGCCACTTGTATCCCTACTGCCAAGTTCCAGCCACTCCTGCCAACAGTGACTCAGTGTACTTAACAAGCCTGATCAAATTATGTTCTCTCTGTGGGTCTTACCATAGCAGAAAGTGCACCGCTGGAGTCTGTCTAATGCTGGCATGTAGTCGGTCCCGGATGGAACCATTATTACTTGGAATGTGCCAGTGTCATCGATCTGCAAGAAGCAGAAGCAAGAGAAAGAACAGCTTAGTGGGTGGGGCTGCACGAACCTCCCGGATCTTTTGAGTGAAATCACAGAATGCACTTTACAACAGTCTCGGAGTTCTCATTATGAATGAGGCGTGGAAGCTGGTTTTGCAGACCCAGATCCACATCCAGGCAGCTCTCCTCTGAACAACATCCACCCTCTTTCAATTTAGTCCCATTGTTAGTAACCTCCTGGGGAGTTTGAGACTGGAGAGCAGGGAGAAAATGAGGCTTCAAGTAAGAATAATTAGCTTGTCAGTTAACTGATTCACAGATCCATTGACAGCTGAGGGAAAATTATAGGTAAGGTCTTAACTGATGTCTGAGAGATGGGAAAGACATTTCCCTACTCTTTCTCAGGGAAGTTTCCTTCCCGTACTTTATCCATGAAGGTAGGACTTGGCCAATTATGTTTATGTGGGGGAAACTCCATCTCTGCAGAGCAGACTGCACCAATGATGGGTATCTGAGCCAATCACATCAATCCTTTTGGGAATTTGGAACAGGGGCCTAAGAGCAGCAAGTCCCTCTATGTTAGTGGAGAACACTAATGGAGCTGTAGGCTGGCCATGTTCTGTTTGAGGAGCAATGGGAAGGAAAGGAGGCAAATGGGAAAAAGCAAAGGTAGTGGGGCTTTCCCTGAGGCTTATCTTTGTTTCTACCCATCTTTTATTCTGTGTATAAGAGATGGAGAAAGCTGTTCTCACCAGAATTCCACCCTAGAAGTTAGAATTCTTTATGGACAGCAAGTCAAATTTCACCAGAAGTAAGAGGCAGTTGCCAAACACACTTAGAGAGAAAACCTTCATGGCAAAACAAAGCTGAGACTGAGGTTTTTCCAATAAAAATGGCCCTCCATTTCAGAAGGGACGAAGATCTCCTCACTCAGCTTGATACCATTTTGAGAAATTTCCAAAAGAGAGGGTATAGTCCATGTGTTTCAGGATCATAGGGATATCAGTGCATGTTATCAGAGCATCTGCTTCCAAGCCCTGTTGCGTGTGCCTGCATGGGTTCCGGATTTCATACCAGGCTGCTGAACTCTCAGACAAATCAAGATTTAGAAAAGCCACGATCATTATGAACAAACTAGGGTTTTAAAATATGGCCCCCAAATAAAAATTCATTGTCACTAAATTGTTGAATTCTGTTCTTGAAATAATAATAAATAACAGTTCAAGTGTAGGGAAGTACAACTGAACAGATCAGATAGAAGAAAGAAAAAGAGGGCAAAGGGAGAAGTAGTAACATAATTTCCTTTCTGGGCTCTCACAAACTTGCATACATGCCTTCATTTTTCGTTTTTCTAGACAACCCTGTTTAGTTCCATCCCCTAAAGGTAGCTCCATGAGGGTGAGTCTTCTGGTTGTCCATTATACTTTTGTGCTTCCACAGCCTAGGATAGCACCTGGTATATGGGAGGTGCTCACTAAGCATTTGCCAAATGAATGACCCTTGGCCCCAATTCTGACTTCCGTCTGCATCTCTAATTCTTCTTCTACTCAAGAGGTGTTTGGAGCTAAAACTTCTCATATTTGGTGGGGGGGGTCACTGTCAAGAATATAAACTTCATTGGTGCTCTTTTGAGATAAATTTCTTCAAGAAAGGAGCAAAGATGGGGTGCCTGGGTGGCTTAGTTGGCTGAGTGTTCAAATTTGGCTCAGGTCATGATCTCAGAATTTATGAGTTTTATCTCCACATTGGGCTCACTGCTGTCAGTACGGAGCCTGCTTCAGATCCTCTGTCCCCCTCTCTCAACTCCTGTCCCCTGCTTGTTCTCTCTCAAAAAGAAAAAAAGAGTCTCTGTGTACCTCTCCCCTGCTAGTATTCTCTCTCTTTCTGATGAGATCAGGCGCGTTCAGGGTGGTATGGCCGTAGACTATTCTCTCTCTAAGAAGAAGAAGAAGAAAGAAGAAGAAAGAAGAAGAAGAAGAAGAAAGAAGAAAGAAGAAGGAAGAAGAAAGAAGAAGAAGAAGAAAGAAGAAAAAAGAAGAAGGAGGAGGAGGAGAAAAGAAAGGAGAAAAGAGTCTGTAGGTGATTTGGATAGGACCTCTGAGTGAGATAATTAACACTCAAAAGATTTAAAAAACCAACCAATGAAGTATATATTCTCAAGTTATATACTGTGCCCATACCTTTGAGTAGGCAGTGGAATTGTGTTTATTTAAGTTTATATCACAAGTACTAACAATTATTAGGATATTATCTCATGTTTTGTGATTAGATAAAAGCCAAGAATTAAGAGATACAAACTTAACTATAAAATAAATCATGGGATGTAAAATACAACATAGAAGATAAACAATAATATTGTGATAACTTTGTATGGTGACAGATACTATACTTGTTGTGGTGAACATTTGTTAAATATAAATGTTGAGTCACTATGTTGTATACCCAAAACTAAAATAATATTAATATCAATTGTATATTAAAATTTAAAAAAATGTTAACTATAAAGATGTCTAAACAAAGGAGACACAGTAATCTCCAATTTCCAACAAACCAAGAACAGCATACAACTTCAAAACTTTTCAAGACTAGAAAGTAACCTTTTCTCCAAAACATTATATGACAGCATTTGCACAACTATCAATACTGTTGCTATAGGACTTTTTCTTTTTTAATTTTTTTTTTTGGAAAAACAACCAACGACAAACCTTTTAGCAGCTTCTTTCCTAGATTATTTGGAACCAAAATCTAAACTCTGCAGCTTTATGCAACTACATAATAAAAGTCAGATACTAATAAATCTTTCCAATGTGTAGAATAGTTTTTAAATATTTTGACAGTTAACAATCATGTGCAAAATGATATAAAAATAGTTGGTAACCATAAAAACATGGCTTTGGCATAAAGTATTTCATAGGTGAATGAGAAATGAAGAAGAATAACTGACACCACAGAAAAACAAAGTTTATAAGAGAAATTGTGAAAAATTATGTGCCAACAATTGGTCAAACTAGAAGAAATGGATAAATTCCTAGAAAACATACAATCTTCCAAAAGTGAATTAAGAAGAAAGGGAAAATCAAAACAGACCAACTACTAGTAATGAAACTGAATCAGCAATCAAAAAATTCCTAAAGAAGAACAGTCCAGAACCAGATGGATTCACGGGTGAATTCTACCAAATATTCAAAGAAGAGTTAATATCTATTCTCCTCAGTTATTCTAAAAAACAGAAAAGGAAGAAAAGCTTCCAAATACATTCTCTGAGGCCAGCATTACCCTGACACCAAAACCAGACAAAGACACCACCAAAAAAAAAAAAAAAAAAAAAAGAGAAAGAGAGAGAGAAAGAAAAAAGAAAACTGCATGCTAGGATCTATGATAAACATACATGCAAAAATAATTGACAAAATATTAGCAAACCACATTCAGAAAAAAAAAGGCAGCTTACCAAAAGCAAAACAGAAAATCAGACAAAAAATTAATGGAGGGGGTACCTGGGTGACTTAGTGGGTTGAGCATCTGACCCTTGCTTTCAGCTCAGGTCGTGATTTCACCATTTGTGGGTTAGTGCCCTATGTTGGGCTCTGCGCTGACAGCTTGGAACCTGCTTGGAATTCTCTCTCTGTTCTACATCTCTCAAAATAAACACTTAAAGAAAAAAGTTTAAAACCCAAGACATTAGAAGAAAACTCATTCACCATGCACAGTCAAGTAGAATTTGTTCCAGGGACCCAAGGATGGTTCAGCATTTGCAAATCAATAGATCACATTAATAAAACAAAGGATAAAATTATATGATCTCCAGAGATGTAGAAAATGCATTTGACAAAATTTAACATCTGTTCATGACAAAAACTCTCAACAAAGTGGGTTTAGAGGAAATATGCCTCAACCTCATAAAGGCCATATATAAAACCCCACAGCTAACATACTCAATGATGAAAACCTGAGAGCTTTCCCACTAAGAACAGGAAGGAGACACAGATGTCCACTCTTACCACTTTTTATTCAACATAGTACTAGAAGTCCTAGCCACAGCAATCAGACAAGAAGAATAAAAGGCATCCAAATTGGTAAGGAAGAAATAAAACTGTCACTATTTGCAGATGACATGATATCATATACAGAAACCTTAAAGACTCCACCAAAAAACTACTAGAATTGATAAATGAATTCAGTAAGGTCACAAATGCAAAATCAATGTACAGAAATAGGTTACATTTCTATATACCAATAGTGAAGCAACAGAAACAGAAATTAAGAAAACAATCCCATTTACAACTGCACCAAAAAGAATCTTCTCTCTCTGCCCCTCCCTGTCTCTCTCTCTCAAGTAAATAAATAAACTTAAAAAATTAAATAAAAATACCAACACCATTTTTCACAGAACCAGAACAAATCATCTTAAAATTTGTACGGAACTACCAAAGATCCCAAACAGCCAAAACGATCTTGAAAAAGAAAAACAAAGTTAGAGGTATCAGAATTACAGATTTCAAGTTATATTGCAAAGCTATCATAAACAAAACAGTATGGTACTGGCACAAAAAATAGACACTTAGATCAGTGGAATGGGACAGAAAACCCAGAAACCCATGATTATATGGTCAATTAATCTTTGGCAAAAGAAGCAAGAATATGCAATGCTAAAGTCTTTTCAACAAATGATGTACAGCAATGTACAAAAAAGAATGAAACTGGAACACTTCCTTTTACCATACCCAACAATAAACTCACAATGGATCAAAGATCTAAAGGTGAGACTTGAAATCATAAAAATCCTAGAAAAGAGAATAGTCAGTAATTTCTCTGATATTGCCATGTATTTGTTTTTCTGGGTATGTCTCCTGAGGCAAGGGAAGCAAAAACTAAAATAAACTATTGGGAATACGTCAAAATAAGAAACTTCTTCACAGGAAAGGAAGAAATCAACAAAATTAAAATGGGACCTACTGAATGGGTACTTATTTGCAAATGACATATTTGATAAAGAATTAGTCTACAAAAAATATTAAACAACTGATACAACTCAACACGCCCCAAAACAAAGAATTCAATTAAAAATGGCCAGAAGGCATGAACAGACATTTCTCCAAAGAAGACATCCAGATGGCCAACAGACACATGTAAAGATGCTCAATATCATGCATCATCATGGAAATGCAAGTCAAAACTACAATGAAATAGCACCTCACACCTGTCAGAATGGGTAAAACCCAAACCTTAAGAAACAACAAGTGTTGGCAAGGATGTGTAGAAAAAGAAGCTCTTCTGCACTGTTGGTGGGAATGTGAACTGGTACAGTCACTGTGGAAAACAGTATGGAGGTTCCTCAAAAAGTTAAAAATAGAACTACCCTACAATACAGTAATCAAACTACTAGGTATTTACTCAAAGAATATGAAAACACTAATTCAAAGAGATGTATGCACCACTATGTTTATTGCAGCATTATTACAATAGCCAATTTATGGAAAGAGCCCAAGTATCCATTGATAAATGGATGAGTAAAGAAGATGTAGTGAGTGATGTGGTGTGTATGTATTTATGTGTGTGTTTATCTCTATATATCTATACACACAGACACACAGAATATTTTTCAGCTATAAAATGAATGAAATCTTGCCACTTACAACAACATGGATAGAGCTAGAGATTATAATGCTAAGCAAAATACATCAGTCAGAGAAAGACAAACCAAATACCATATGATCTCACTCATACTTGTAATCTAAGAAACAAAGCAAACAAACCAAGGACAAAAGAGCCAAACTAAAAAGAGACTCCCAAGTATAGAGAACCAATTGGTAGTTTTCAGAGGAGAAAAGTGTGGGGAAGTGGGAGAAATTAATGAAGGGGATTAAGAATACACTTATGATGAGCACTGAATAAGGTACAGAATTGTTGAATCACTACCTTGTACATTTGAAACTAATATATTACTGTATGTTAACTATATTGGAATTAAAACAAAAAAACTTAGTAAAAAAAAAGTTCCCATCACAACAAAAAAAATTTTATACTTATGCATGGTGATAATGTTAACCAGGTCTACTCTGGTGTTCTTTTCACAATATATACAAATATTAAATCATGTTGCATATCTATTAGCTAATATGTTATATGTCAGTTTATCTCAAAAAAGGTCCTCTTAATCCCAAGTGGTTTATTTAGGAATGTCACACAGTAAGATTTTAAATCCCAACCTAAGAAGCTATAATCACTGGGATGGCTTTTCTTTTATATGATTAGGATATTTATGATTGGTGAAGTTATAAAATCAGTCAGTTGGTTTTCATTGTACAGTAACTATTGTTACCCTGGCCACGTGTGATCTCAGTGAATATTTACTGGCCTTCCTGATTGAGTAGCTTTACACCCAGAGGCACCTCAGAGTTTCTTGGAGGAGCACTAGAATAGCAACTAGTGCCCAACACTGCCACTTCTTAGCCATGTGAACCTGGGCATACAGATTTAGCCTCTCCTGGCTGTTTTCTCATTGATAAAATGGGCCCAGCAATGATCCCTAACCCATGTATACTATTTGTGAGAATTAAACAGCATAATGCATACAACGGGCTTTGCATGTTCCTGGTACATAAAAACAAATAGTACAGCTCAATACTTTCTTACCGAGGCTTCCGAATAGAGGAAAAAAAAAAAAGTTGTGTGAAAGGCTTAACCATCTCACATCTCACCGCAAATGCACGCTTGATGGAGGGCACATTGCCGAAAGCGATCACGACTGGAATGATGTCAAGGGCATTGAATTCCATAGTGGCTGCGGCAATGGTCTGGGCATCGGTAGACTGACCGCTGCTGAAGAAGGTGGCGATTCGTCTGGTGTGAGCCCCTGGAAGCGTTCGCTTGAAGACATTCCTGGAGATAAACCTCATGGCTTTGCCGATCTCCCTGCTGTCGGAGGACCTCTCGTAAGGAATAGCTTCAATCTGTCGGAGGAGCTGGTTCTTCTTGTAGGCGTCAGAGAAGCGGATGAGGTGCCTGGCGTGGGAGCTGTAGGTGAGGATGGCGATGCGAGCGCCTATTGGGCAGCTGCTCTCCCGGACCCGGACACCCCTCACCAGGGAAGACATGAGCTCCTTCATGCGCTCAAACTCCTGCTTGGTGACATCCCGGGACTGGTCCAAGGCGAACACCAATTCAGTGGGATGCACTGGGCATTCCGGTTTTCCTAAAAGGCAAGAACGTGTTCCTTATATAGCATGCTTGCTTAAAACTACACAGAGAGCAAAGTAATTTTAAATGTTAAATACATAAATATTTAAACATGAAATAAGCATTAAATGCTAAGGTGAGCCGTTGAAATACTGAATAAAAAGGTTATTTTAAATAGTGAATTTGCTCTTTTAAATAAAGTGCAAGAGAAAGTCTATCATTCAGTTTGAGTTTTTATGCATTTTCTAAGGTCATGACCAATTTTCTTCTAAATAATAAGAAGCGCTTGAATATGTCCTTTTACTTAGAGATTAAATCAATGGTATGTTTATTGCTGGAGCTTTACACAGATAAACAAAAACATACATTTTTTTTTTACTTAATAAGGAAATGTAACAGGGGTTAAAACACAAATGGGTCCAAAAGCTCTGTGAATTATTTCAGAGAGATTGGAAGTGTCCACTGGAATGGACATTCACTAGATAGAAGGAGGGCAGGAACCACACAGACATCTTAGAGCCCTGGCCTTGTCCAGGTGGCTTATCTTCTCTGTGCCTCACTTTGCTCATCTGTAAAATGCTGCCCTAAGATCAGCCACTGCATAGCCCTGCATTGAGGATTAAATAAATCAGCACAGGCAAAGCACTTAGGAAAACAGTGCCTGGCACATAACAGGTGCTCAATTAATGTCACTATTATTAGAGTTTTTCATTGTGAGAACTATATCACTTAAAAGAGTGAGGAAAGCTTTCAGTGATATATTTTTATTTAACAGTTGAAAAGGCAAGTTTAACCAACAAATATACATTAATATATAAACTGAATCATTAAATTCGAATGTTCAATGTTGATTTCAGATTTATTGATCCCAATTCATTCCTTCTAATCCCAGTACCTGCACTTATCAGAGCTGACAATTTATATTTGTCTGATTATCTGATTAATGTTTTCCTTTCCATTAGTGTAGAGATAGGGACTGTGTCTCTCTCGATCTGCTAGATTATTTGCTCCAGCCATTTATTAAGGTTCTAATAAATATTGACTCAACGAAGAAGAACCAAACAAAGAACATTTCTTTTGCAACAAGTACAGCAAGAACAACAAAACTTTAATAACGCGGGAGACGCTTGGTGTTGAGATACAGGTTGGTAAAAGTCACAATGCACTTCTCTTGTTGAGGTGCCTCCTCTCGCTCAGATGCCAGCAAGTCAAATTCAGAGATAATAAATGTAGCACGTGGCTCACCAGCTCTTCATAAGAGCTCAGAAACTCGGACCTGCTGGGGTTGGCCTGTGCTACTCAAGGAGCAAGTTCTCTGCTGTGAACAGCTGGGCTTTGCCCCCACCTTGGTGCTAGAGGATTATCTCCTTCTGGTCCTGGACTCTGTGACCTTACAGGCTAACGGACCAATAAGGATAAACATTTCACCTCAAACCAAACTGTGCATCTCAGTGGAAACAGGACATAATTTATTAGCCTGTGGGTCTAAGTTAGAAGGCTGAGCAGATATTTAAAAAAACTGAAGTCATGTCAACTTTGCAATAAAAAATGAATGGAAGAATGCCTTAACATGAAAGTGGTTCTGCCAGCTTTTTGTTTGGGCTATGGTTTGCATATGGGGCAACACAACAATGATACAGCTTCAGGTGTAATTTAGAGATAAAGGGGGGAGAAGATTCACAGTACTGGGCTGAAATATGAGAAAATTCAAGTGTTCAAGAAAAAACACCTGAAAGGTTATTTGACTTGCAAAATACATGTTCTGAAGTTCAGCAAGCTGCCAGGAACCGGAGACCCTGAAGAACACTGGGCTGGGTTGCAGTGGGACCTAGGAAGCCCTCATCAAGGCACAGATGGCCACACAGAGACCTAACATGGTTCTGTAGCCATACACATGTACACTGATGGCTGCTGGTTGGCACACAGCAGGTGGTGTTGAGGAGAAAGACAAACCAAACCACTGACACATTACTAATGCACAGCAATGGCAGTCCTTTCCAGGCCACCACCACATTTGACGGGACTACCACACACTCTCCTAACTAGTCTCCTGGCCTTTGAACTTATCCTTTCCTACCATCTACTCTTCCACAGTGGTCCAAATAAGTTTTAAAGATTCATTCATCAGGGGCGCCTGGGTGGCTCAGTCAGTTAAGTGTCTGACTTCGGCTCAGGTCACGATCTCACAGTTCATGAGTTTGAGTCCCACGTCAGGCTCTGTGCTGATAGCTCAGAGCCTGGAGCTGCTTCGAATTCTCTCTCTGGTCCTCCTCCACTTATGGTCTCCTTTTCTCTCAAAAATAAAAAAACATTTAAAAATTTTTTTAATTAATCAGCTCATTTTTCTCCCTTCAATACTTTCAATAAACTCTTTAATACCCTCCCATTTCAATGGGAATACAATCCAGCCTCCTTATTCGAGCCTACAAGGTCCAACTTGATCTGGCTTCTGTTTACTTCATTTTTTCACATGCCAATCTCCCCCTCCCTCCCTATAGGTCAGGCACACTGGACTTCTGTCAGTTCCTAGAAAATGCCTAAGGTCTGTCTGTCCTGTGTCACGGTCTTTGCACTTGCTGTTCTTTCTCTTGGCTCTTGTAAGCTGGCTTCTTTTTATTCTTTCATCCAAACTCCAATGTCACTGCTTCAAGGAGGAGTCCTCCATCCTACAGCATTTCTCCCCTAACGTTATTCTGTGACATAGCACACTATTTTTTTTTTATCTTTTTTTTTCTAATAGTTTATTGTCAAATTAGTTTCCACATAACACTCAGTGCTCATCCCCACAAGTGCCCTCCTCCATGCCCATCCCCCCTCCCCCCCACATCCATCAGTCCTCAGTTTTTGTCAGCATTCAAGAGTCTCTCATGGTTTCCCTCTCTCCCTTTCCCCCACCATTTCCGCCCTTCTTCTCCCCCTTGTTCCTCCGTCAAGTTCCTCCTAATCCTCCTATACGTGCAAACATATGGTATTTGTCCTTCTCTGCCTGACTTATTTCGCTCAGCATAACACCCTCAAGGTCCATCCATGTTGCTACACATGGCCAGATTTCATTGTTTCTCATTGCCATGTAGTATTCCATGGTATAGATAAACCACATCTTCTTGATCCATTCGTCCGTGGATGGACACTTAGGCTCTTTCCATGTTTTAGCTATTGTTGAGAGCATAGCACACTATTCTTTAGCTCTTTCATAGCAACTATAGGATTCCATATTTCTTTCATGTGTTTATCAACTGGATCCTCTGCTAGAATGGAAGCTTCTGAAGACAGGAATTATGTCCATCTTATTCAGCCCTGTGTCCCCAGTGTCTAGCACATAATATGCTTTCAATAAATATTTGTTGAGTGACTGACAATGCAACTAGAGGGCACGGATTGATGGGTTTATACAAAAGGTATACCGTATAAAGGTATGAGAGGGTAGTTGCCTACTACATCTCAGTTCTTAACCACCAGATTACAGAGACAATAGAGAAAATGAAGGGAAAGAGAATTATTACCAAAAAATCCTAATGGTAAGGTTAATGGTAATGTTATTCATTAAAATATTAATAAAAAAATCAAACCACTTGGTTGAGAAACAGCTGTGAGACTCAGCAAAAGCTGAGTGATTTATTGGAGGGCAGGTCTGTGCTACCAGTATGAGGCAGCAAAGGCAGCTCAGATAAAATTTATAACATTTGGCAGGCAACACTTTGTTTTCATTCGTCTTTCCAGATGTATGACATTTTGGAGCTTGATTATAACTTGCTGTAAATAAAGATTACTCACCATGGCTGGCAGCTGGGGAAGAAGAACAAAGGAGACGGGGTTACTATTTGGTAGAACAGAGTTCGGTACTGTGGGGGGGAATCATGGCAGCAGCAGCTCTGCCCTGTGTGCCTTTTGTAGATGACTCAAACATCAAGGCAACAGCAAGAGTTTGGAGAAAATGCAGACAGAGCCCAGCAACTTGGCAAAAACAAGATGAATGGGAGAGCGGGACAATATGCAGTCATAAATCAGTATCCTGCAGTTAGCTATCAGAGGGAAAGAACCTCTGCCTGGGAAGGAACATTGTACTACAGAGAGGCACACTGAATTTGGGAAATTAAAAGGTCCTAACCTCTCTTTACTCTCATTCTTCCCCAATGTGTGTATCTATAGATGTTAATTTTATGTATATACACATATATAAGTGTGTACAGATGTGTATCTGTGTGTGTGTGTGTATGTGTGTGTGTAAACATCAGAGGTGAATTTGCTCTGAAGTAAATGAAACATAAATAAGCTTTAGGTCTGCACTGTCCAATATAGAGGCCACTAGCCACATGTGACTAAAGTTTTAACTAAAATTAAATGAAATCAATTCAGATTATCAGTAGCACTAACCATCTTTCAAGTACTCCAAGTCACAGGTGGCTAGTGGCTACTGATTTGAATGGTGTGGTGGAACATCTCTATCACTGCAGACAATTTGCTGGACAGCCCTGCTTTAAACTGCTCACCTTTCACTTGCACTCCCACCCATCAGGACACCCTCGGTGCAAGACCCTGAGAAGGGCCGGAGCCATGTGTTCACATGATCATGTGCTTCCATAATAAGCAGAAGTCATTGGTTGTGATTTCCTTTCTTGTTCTAAACAACACTTTCTTTGAAATAATTTTGTATTAAGCCTCTCAAGTTGTAAAAGATTGGACCTCATCACACTTGGATCTACCTTTGAATTATAATAGTTCACATGGCTCCAATGTTAAAAAGCCTACTGTGTTAATTCAGCCCAAAGCGACTGGTTTTCACGACCTTATAGATTTTGATTCTCATCATGGATGGTTCTATTAGAGTACAAAAAGGGAGAGTTAACATCAACACTGCATTCAAAGGTTTAAAAAGTCTCTATCTTGGAGACCAAGACTCTACAGAAATGGGCTCTAGTTGTCTCTTTTTCTTCCTCAAAATACCTTGAAGGAAGTTTTCAGTCATAGTATTTATTTGAGAAGTCATTACATATTTGTAGATGAACATCAAATAGTCAATTCTTTGCTCATCTTGTACATGGGATTTCTTTAATGGTGCTAGCATATATTTTGATAGAAGAGGCTGCTATAAGGGTCTTAAAGCAAATTCAAAAGAGTATTTGCCAATCAAAATGCATTTTCTGCTTTAAAAATTTAGAGAGAAAAATATGTAGGCAAAAAGAATAATTTTATAAGCAAATCAATCATTCCAACTAAAAGTAATCAAGCATGTCTTTCCAGAAAAGGAGTAATAAACAATAAACCAATGTAAGTGCCCCCACCCATCAGGACACCCTATCATCACAGCTAGCTTCCACACAAGATGAATTCAATCCTGTGTTACTGTCAGGTGTTAATCATTTTTAAAAGTTCAATGTGACTCTCCACTGATTGATTTTACTGTCAGAGTTCTGACATCATATCTCAATTTTCCCTAGGTTAAAAGCACTAGATATATTATTAATTAGTACTTGGAATACGTTCCAATAGACATGATGACAGAGAAGGAGTTAATAGTCACCAGTCTATGCTGACTCAAAATATATGCAGTGGCATCTCTAATTTTAAGAGATTGGCTGGTAAATTTTCTCAATTCTGAGGGCATAATTCACTGTTATTCTTCTATGAATACTTTGACAACTTGGATGATCAATTTAAGCAGGGTACTTACGGCTGTGGTCCCGTACATACTGAATGAGCTCACACGTCTGCAGTTGAAAAATAAAACAAAGAATTAACTGACCAACTGCCAGGTCTTCAAGTCTAAAAATAAACAAACTTAATGGAGTACAGAGCATTTTGTTGGAATCAGGAGATACATACGGAAAATGAAGCCAATCCTCTGGCCCCTTTCACACCCTAGGAAACAAAAGAAATGTGGTCTCATTGCTACACACACACACATCAGTATCGAGAATGTGCATTTGCCTCAGAAAGTGAAATTTTCTAAAGTTTTTATTCTTATTAAGTTAGAGGGAAAAAGGAATACATGTAGGAGGATCATCATCACTGAGTTAAGAGTAACATTCTAGGGGAAATAAAGTGTAAAGCAGCGAGCTTAATGAACACAAACCTCCAAAGGCTGCCTTCCTCCAGTCCCATCTCTGGACAACAAGGATCATCTAGGATCTAAGGATGAGCTGAAAACTTAACACTGGCATGGAGAGCTTTGGAGCAGGTTTGTGGCTTAGAATTAGATAAAGCTGAGCCATCCATTATAGCTGCTCGTACTTAAGGGAGGTTCAGACTTCCTTAACCCCATGCTTTGCCTTGGCCATGGAACAGCTGAACTGAACCTTCCTCTGTTCCCATCACTGGTTGGATGACAAAGGGACCAGACTCAAACCAAACATCTGGAAAGGTAATCCCAACAGTCTTCCAAAAATGAATAAATATGCATATATAGAGAACTGTCTGGATTGAGAACAGAAAGAACAAAGTGGAATTGGTTTTAATTTCACCTATTCAATTCCATCTGAGGAACAGGCAGAGTCTGGCTACTCTCAAAGAGAGACACTCAAGGAAAAACACAGTGAAGCTCCACCCAAACTCCTGGCGAAACTAAGTTCCATGTGAATGCAACTTTGATTGTTTATTCCCTGTTTATTAATTTCCTCTCACTTCCTTTCATTCACTAACCACTTACTGAATATAAGAAGAGGACAAGGATTGGGCAAATAAATTCACTGATAACTGGGAAATCACATTTTAGTCCAGTACTTTTCATTTCCTCCCTCAAAATCCCCTCAACTTACAAGAATGGCAACTAATATTTAATCAGCATTACCCCCTCATATCTCTAAGCACATAAATGTGGGAAAATTGTGCAAATAGTCACCAAGAGGCAAAGACAGAAAGCATACACATTTGGACAATGAAGACTTCATGCATAGTTTGTTTAGGAAAGGACCTGGTGTGATTTAGGATTTTTCAACTGACCTTGCGTCCAGGAGGTCCTGGCTCCCCAGGGGATCCCATCTCTCCTGGAAGCCCAGCGGACATCTTCAAGCAGAATTTATTTATTTTAAAATTATATTTATTTATTTATTTTTTTTTAAATTTTATTTTATTTTATTATTATTTTTTTTTTACAAATAGTTTATTGTCAAATTAGTTTCCACATAACACCCAGTGCTCATCCCCACAAGTGCCCTCCTCCATGCCCATCCCCCCCTCCCCCCCACATCCATCAGTCCTCAGTTTTTGTCAGCATTCAAGAAAAAAAAAAAAATTATATTTATACATACATGTGTAGGTGTTTGTGGTTCTGTTTTAAATGTCAAAGGCAATACAATTTTATTTTAGAACACAGATTTCAAAAAAAATACACAAAGGAAAACATATTTAGCAATTCTTTTGCTCCCAAATAATCCTTGTTAACATTTGGTATCTTTTCTTCTAGTCTTTTACTTTTTTATTCTTTTGGTATTTTTACGTATTTCTATATACATATTTTATTTTAAAATATAATTTTATACTTTTTCCTGCTATCTTTTAAATCTATCTCTGGAAATTTTCATGTTATTATTTATTTTCAAAATCATCTTTCATGGCTGCATAATATTTCATTACACAAATGTACCATGATTTCTTTCATCAGTCCGTTATTGTAGGCATTTAGGTTTGCAGGTGTTGTAATAAGCAACACCACTACAAAACTATATGTGCAATTCTGATTTTTTCCTTAGGGAAGATTGCAAAGACTGGAATTGCTGGATCAAAGAAGAAATTTTTATCTAAATCAGATGGTAGATGATGACAACAAACAAAAAAACCCCACAAACACAAAAATGTAAATATAAAAACCTTGAAACAATAGAATATTTAAAATTTGGCTGGAGATATTTATTGTGAAATGATGAATAACAGCAGTAATAAAAATAATTGTTGACCACTCACTACATGCCAGGAATTTTTCCATGTACATTTAACAGTGTAACTTATCATAAAGAAGGATAGAATCTATTTTTTAAATTAGGGCAATATTCCTTAGTTCATTCTAAATGCCATGGGATTTATAATCTTTACGGGAATCAGAAAATGAAGTTGTCTAAAATCAACTTAATTTGTACAAGCATGGTCTATGAAGCAGCGAATAACTATTGATGCCTCTGAGTATTCTACAGTGTGTTGGGTTGAGTGAAAAAATACTTGCAGATCGTATTTACTTTAGAAGATATAGATTAGCCTCCCAGGGTGGAAAATGGCAGATTGAATATATACTTGTACACTCTGCTCCCTTTCAAGGTCTTATTAAAATGACAGTAAGTAGATTTTTTTTAAAGGCCAAAAAACAAACCAAAAAAAAAAAAAAAAAAAAAAAGAAATGGAGAGAATGAGAAAGAAGACAATAGCCACAAACCTTCAGAGGCTAGAAAGCAGATGTAGAAGTGTTAACTGACTTAGCTGATCTGAAAAAGCTGTGTCCTAAGCCAACAGCAGGGAAAGCCAAGAATCCATGTGTTGTATAACACACTCCCAGAAGGTTCAAGAATTGGCAGCACCTGGCACCTCCAAAAGTGGAGGTGAAAGGGAGGGGCTAAATAAGGAAGACTGGTTGCAAATCATTTTAGGCATCCCCCCAATCTCCTCTCCATTCTCTACAGTTGGGTGAATATCCCTTTTTCCACTCCAGCAGCAGACCTAGAGATAAAACTGAGGTATCTGCACCAGGGAACTCCAGACAGAGTTGAGGGCCAATGATACAATCCTCCAAACAGGGCGATTCAATCAAAGTATGTGAAATACATATGAGACCCCTTAGGTTTTCTTTTCCATGTGGCTGCATGAAAGCTTCACTCAGATCTCCATCCTCAGGCAGGAAACTGAAATAGTCTTCTCAGAGGAATCTGACTAGGCAAAGAAAGAAGACCTAAAGATATTGGTATCAGAGGTCTGGTCAGTAAAGAACTAACTTAGCCTGACCACTCTTCAGTAAAACTTGTAGTTGACCAGCTCTATCAGTGTTTTGGGGGCTTCCAATTAGCCGTTTTGTCTTCAATTCTTAAATAGGAAGAGAGAGCCCATTTTCCAGATATGCTGGAAACAGAGATCAAAACAGAGAAACAAACTGTAGGAAAAAGACTACGCTGGGCAATGAAGACTGTAAAAATACTAATTTATATCCTCAGAAAGGTAAAAGAAGATGCTTCAGCTATGAAACAAGCCAGGGTAGTATCAAAAATATTTAGAGAACAAAAACGAGCTCTTGAAAATTAAATCGTGAAAGGAACATTGTAAAATAATGCCAAAGAAATCACCCAGAAAGTAGAGCAAAATGACAACTTGAAAAATAGAGAAGAAAGAGATGAGGGGCAGAAGGATTATCATTTTTTTCGTAAGAAACCTTGTGAAATTATATTTGAGTCTCTACACTTGATCTTAGCCAAAAGGGTGAGAAGGGATATATGTGATTCTCTAAATCAGTGGTCAACTAGGGAGAATTTTGTAGGAGATTTGAAAATGCCTAGAGACATTTTTGGCTGTCATACTGGAAAGGGTAGAGAAGGGCAGTGCTCCTGGAATTTAGTGGTTAGAGGCCAGGGATGCTGGTAACCATCCTATAAGAATTTTCCAATCCAAAATGTCAGTTGCGCTGAGGTTAAGACACCCTACCTTAAAGTGTGTGCATGTGTCAACCTGATTAAAAAAACATACATACAAACACACATATACACTCAAAATAAGACAGGTTAAAAAATCGTGGCAAAGTAAAAGAAAATCCTTCAGTTAAGGGAAAAAAAACAAGGTCAAAATTTAGAAAACAAACTAAAAATGTAATCATTCCAAGAAAACTGAAGAAGCACTCCAAATTTAAGGCAAAACTACCAATTGAAGCTTCAGCTTTTTCAGAAGGAAAACCTGGAGGTATTCAGTGTTTAAACTTCAATTTCAAGTTTGGGAATACTCACGTAGGTATGGGAAAAGCAGCCTGGCAGGTGAAATAAGTTATAAACAGTGATGAATTGTGGGAAAAAAAGAAATTCCAGTAATGAAAGTCCAAAAGAAAAAGTTCACATGCTTCCCTTTGGTTCACTGTTTTATAAAAATGATTAATGTGGCATTGGGGGACAAGAACCCAACAAACAGCTGAACTTGTTAGCAAGCTTCCAACGTTCCAAACTATTTCATTAAAAAGCCAAGGGAAAGTACCCAGAGATACTTCAGTGCAGATGACATATGGATTAATTTGAAAGTCTTTTCCAATTATCTTTCTAATTTTATCAGTCATTTATTTTTGAGAGCCTAATGTTAAAGGACAGTCATCCAAAAACATGTATGAGGAAAAGAATTATAGCTAAGATGCAGTCCTCTTAGGAGAAGCAGGATGGAGGGCAAAGAGCAGTTTTTTAAAATTTTGTATCCTGGAAACCCACATAAATAAGGTCTACAGAGGCAAGAGATATCCAAGATGGTGTCACGGTTGGACCCTGAACTTACGTCCTCCCAAGGACACGCCAAATCTACACCTACCTATAGAGGAATCTATCCTGAAAAATCACTGAGGGCTGACTGAACATCTTCTGCATGACAAAGGATAGAGGAACCACAAAGAGAATGGCAGGAGAGACGGAGGAGACACAGAAACCATGGAAACCCACCCCTGAAGCTATGAACTGCAGTGCTATGAACATTCTCCAGGATAGATTACGTTAGGTCACAAAACAAGTATCAATAAATTTAAGACTGAAATTATATCAATCATCTTTTCCAATCACAATGGGATGAAACTAGACATCATTCACAAGAAAACTGGAAAAAACACATATACATGGAGGCTAAACAACCAATGGTCAATGAAGTCAAAGAGGAAATAAAAGGGGTGCCTTGGTGGCTCAGTCGGTTGAGCGTCCGACTTCAGCTCAGGTCATGATCTCACAGTTTGTAGGTTCGAGCCCGACATCAGGCTCTGTGCTGATGGCTCGGAGCCTGGAGCCTGCTTTGGATTCTGTGTCCCCTTCTCTCTCTGCCCCTCCCCTACTTGTGCTCTGTCTCTCAAAAATAAATAAATGGAAAAAAAAATTTAAACAAAAAAACAAAAATTAAAAAAAGAAGAAATAAAAAAAATACCTAGAGACAAATGAAAATGGAAACACAATGGTTCAAAATCTTTGGGATGGGGTTTTAAGGGGGAAGTTTGTAGCAATGTAGTCCTACCTCAATAAAAGAGAAACATCCCAAATAAATAATCTAACCTTATACCTAAAGGAACAAGAAAATAAAAGAAGAAACAAAGCCCTAAGTTAGAAGGAAATAATAAAGACCAGAGCAGAAATAAATGAAACAGAGGCTAAAAAACTGCTGGAAACATTAATGAACCTAAGAGCTGGTTCTTTGAAAAGTTAAACAATATTGATCAACCTTTAGCCAGACGCATAAAGGAAAAAGAGAGAAAGAGAGAAGACTTAAATTAGAAATAAGAGAGAAGGTAGAATTGACAGTACAGAAGTATAAAGGCTCAAAAGAGACTATTCTGAAAAATTATATGCCAACAAATTGGACAACCTAGAAGAAACAAATAAATTCCTAGAGCCATATTGTTTCCAAGACCGAATCAAAAAAGAAAATCTGAACAGACCAATTACCAGTAATGAAACTGAATTGGTAATAAAAAATTCTAACAAACAAAATTCCAGGACCAGATGGCTTCACAGGTGAATTCTACCAACCATTTAAAGATTGAATACTACCCTTCTCAAACTATTCCAAAAAACAGAAGAGGAACGAAAACTTCCAAATTCATTTTATGAAGGCAGCATGACCTTAATACAAAATTGGAAAAAAAAACTTACTACAAACAAAGAAAATTACAGGCCAATATCCCTGATGAATATAGATGCAGAACTTCTCAACAAAATATTAGCAAATCGAATTCAACAATACATTATAAAGGTCATCCACCACAATCAAGTGGCGTGTATTCTAGGGTGCAAGACTGGTTCAATACCCACAAATAAAACAAGTCAAGTTGTTGTATCAAGACAACACATTAACAAAATGAAGACTAACATCATATGATCACCTTAACAGATGCAGAAAAAGCTTTAGACAAAATCTCAGCATCCATTCTTGAGAAAAACTCTCAACAAAATGAGTTTAGATGGCATGTACCTCAACGTAATAAAAGCCTTATATGAAAAATCTACAGCTAACATCATACTCAATGGTACAAAAACTAAAAGTACTTCTTCTGAGATCAGGAATGAGACAAGGATGTCCACTGTCACCACCTTTATCCAACATAGTACTGGAAATCTGAGCTTCAGCAATCACACAAGAAATAAAAGGCAATCCAAATTGGTAAGTAAGAAGTAAAATTGTCACTATTTGCAGACGGCATCATATTATATACAGAGAATCCTAGTGAGTCCACCAGAAAACTATGAGAATAAAGGAATTCAGTAAAGTCACAGGACACAAAATACAATAAATCCCTTGGATTTCTATACACTAATAACAAAGTAGCAGAAAGAAAAATTAAGAGAAATAAATCCCATTTATAATTGCACCAAAAAGAATAAAATGCTTAGGAATAAATTTAAGCAAAGAGGTGAAAGACCTATACTATGAAAACCATAGGACACTGATGCAAGAAACTGAAAACACAAGCAAGTAGAAAGATATCTATCCTATGCTCATGGACTGGAAGAATTAATATTGTTAAAAGCGTTCACACTATCCAAAGCAATCTACAGATTCAGTGCAATTCCTATCAAAGTACCAGTGGTATTTTTCATATAACTAGAACAAGTAATCCTAAAATTTGTAGGAACCATAAAAGACCCTGAATAGCCAAAACAATTTTGAGAAAGAAAAACAAAGTTGGAGCTATCACAAAGTCAGATTTCAAGACATACTACAAAGCTACAGTAATCAAAACAGTATGATACTGGCATATAAACAGACACCATAGATCAATGCAACAGAATGGAAAACCCAGAAATACACCTATACTTATATAGTCAATTAATCTATGACAAAGGAGGCAAGAATATATAATAAGGAAAAGTCAGTCTTTTCAACAAATGATGCTGGAAAAACTGGACAGCTACAAGCAAAAGAATGAAAGTGGATCACTTCTTACACTATACACAAACATAAACTCAAAATGGATTAAGGACCTAAATGTAAGACTTGAAATCACAAAACTCCTAGAAGAAACATAGGCACTACTCTTCTGTATCTGTCTCTCCATGTAAGGAAAATAAAAGCAAAAATAAATAATTAGGACTATTATCCAACTAAAAATCTTTTGTGCAATGAAGGACACCGGTGACAAAATGAAAAGGCAATCTTACGGAATAGGCATATTCAAAAGGTATATCCAATTAGGAGTTAATATCTAAAATATATAAAGAATGCATACAACTCAACACACAAAACATACAGAGGACAGCCAAACTGGTGATTGCCAGAGGGGAGGAGGGTGGAGGGGATGGGCAAAATGGGGGAAGGGGCTTAAGAAGTACAGACTTCCAGTTATAAGTAAGTCCTAGAGATGAACAGTACAGCGTAGGAAATATGATCAATAATATTGTAATAATATATGGTGACAGATGAGGACTATACATCAGGGTGAGCATTTTGTAATTTATGTAACTGTTGAATCACTATGTTGTACATCTGGAACTAATATTGTATATCAACTGTATTTCAATAAAATTTTTCAAATCTTGGGAAGAGAGTCACAGAGGTAGAAATGGCCAAATGTAATGCAAAAGAGAATGAACACATAAGAGAGCAAACAGGCGGCTACAGAATCCCTCAGAAGAGCAGGCAATTTAACAACGAGCTAGGGAGGAACCCAGTCTCTGCGTGTGGTACGTTGGCAGCCAGAATGGGTGAAGTTGTTCACTAAAAGCAACTACTTCTTTGCCTTCTTGCTGGCATTGAAGGAGTCATATATCCATTTCTTTTCCCCAGGTTTGCCTTAACAACAACACACACACATTTTGCAAATCTTAAGGAACAAGTGACAACTCAAATGAGTACAAAAGCATGAAAAGAACTTCCCAAAGTAGCTGAGGCTGTAAGGCCTTGGAATCTAAGACACTTACCGTCTTGCCTCTGGCTCCTTTGGGTCCAGTTTCTCCGGGACCACCATGGTCCCCAGTCTCACCCTAAAGAAGTTAAGGAAAATAAAATGGTAATTAAAATCCAAGAGCCAAGTCTCAATTGTGTTTTTAAACTGATTCCAACACGAAGACAATTTTCATATACATTTTAATCTTCAAGAGTCTTCTTTGAAGTATCTGCCCTCCGCCTCTTCTTCTCTCCTCTCCCCCATTTATAGTTCTCTACACACACAGGAGCCTCATCGTTTAAGTCTGCCTCCCTCTTTCCAGCCACAACACAGCCACCTCGGAGGCATGAAGTGTGCCCTTTATTCTGTTCCCTGATCCGATCAGATCCTGGCATTTACTAAACTCAGTAAGTGTTTCTAGCAAAAGACAAAGCCTTAAGGTAGAAGGCATCATTGCTAACTTATTATCAGGAGGTGATTTATAATCACATTTGAAAAACTGAGCCAGGTGAAGTCAGGTTTGGGGTTTCCTTACATTTTACTTTCCTTTGAGCCAAGAAAAAACCACATATGATAGAGAGGAAGGAATCCAAGTGAGAAGAAAAATAAGGGTGATTTCTTTCTTTACTTAAGAATTTAAAAATGAGAAATGAAATTTTTAAAAAAACCCTCTGCTTCTTCCCCCCCCCTTTTCCGCATAAAGGTTTCTTCTTATTCATTGATCATTAGCTATTCTTCTATCATCCTAGAATACATTTCATAGCCTCAGAAGTATCTCTGACTGATCTCTACTTAATATGAAGTGCACAGTACCTTAGGTCCACTTTCTCCAGGAAATCCTTCTTGGCCCTATAATTAACAGTATGGAAAATTAATATATGCACGTATCACCTATGTAGGTTTGCACCGACTTTCATTTTACCTGCTTGCTTATTTGGTTTTAGTATCTCGGAATCAGCAAAGGGCCAAAACAACTAAAAACCAAAGTGTACAACATTATTTGAGAAACCAGCTCCAATTTCTAAATTCAACTATTTACACCAAAATATCATGATGACCTAAGTAAATGCATACATCTGAGGAATTATAAATCAGCTCTCCTTCCTACTGAAGACACATAGCGGGATGGCTTGTTATATGGCCGAGTGTCTCTGAAATAGTCCTCTTAGAACATATTTCAATGGAGAAATTTGGGAGACCTAGAGTCTAAACTTGATCATTCGTTTTCTGCTTCTCTGTTTACCTTACTTAGTCCCAAGATGTCTGATAATCCCCATTTGATGAAAAAAATTTATTTAAACTGAAGTTTATTTTCTGATCATTAAAAGTAGTATCTCCTCAAACATATATAAAATACAAAAGAATGGAAAGAAGAAAAATTACTCAAATCTCATTACCCAGAAGTAACCATTAGAAATGTTTTGTCCTATTTTTTTATTTTTATATTAAAAATTTTTTTAAATGTTTATTTTTGACAGAGAGAGAGCACAAGCAGGGGAGGGGCAGAAAGGAAGGGAAACACAGAATCTGAATCAGACTCCAGCCTCCGAGCTGTCAGCATGGAACCCAATGTGGGGCTTGAACCCACAAACTGTGAGATCATAGTTGAGCCGAAGTTGGTGCTCAACCATGTCATATTTCCTTTAAGCTCTTCAAAAATGCATTTTTAGCATAATTGGGATAAATATTCTTTTCTAATTTTTTTATATTCTGATTTTTTACTTGATACTGTCACATAATTTTTTACATATTGACAATCTTCATATACATTCATTAATTTTTTAATGTTTTATTTATTTTTGAGAGAGAGAGAGAGAATGAGAGATACAGCGTGAGCAGGGGAGGGTCAGAGAAAGAGGGAGACACAGAATTTGAAGGAGGCTCCAGGCTCTGTCAGCACAGAGCCCGACATGGGGCTCGAACCCACAAATTGTGAGATCATGATCTGAGCCAAAGACGGACGCTTAACCGACTGAGCCACCCAGGCACCCCCATATACGTTCACTTTAAAAAGGGTGAATATTCCAATGCTTTCAGCTACTTAATATCTCCCTTTTATTAGATATTCAGATTGTTTTCAATTATTCTCTAAAGAAACTTTCACTGGAAATGCCTCATTCATTAGTGATTTTTTTTTCAAAGAAATTATAGCTTTTTGGGGTTTATTTTTCCAAACAGCCTCTTGCATCATTCCTAGTGGGATTTCACTTGGAATTAAATTGATCCTTTATAATGTTTTAGACTTTCCAACAAGAATCTGGTTATGTCTCCATTTGGTAAAGTTTTATATTTCAGTAATTATTTGTCATAGGTCTCAAACAATTTGCAGAAAGGATACCCTTAACTATGTTATGTTTTTGTGGATATTGTTATTATGGTTTCTAAGTTGTTATTCTTTGCATATAGAAATCACTGGTTTTGTAAATTTATATTACTGGCAAATATTTAAATATTCAAAATATAAAGTTATAAATCTGATACAAAGTTAAAAGTTTTTATTTTTTAGTTATTGCCTGGCCCAATGCATTTTTAAAAAGGCTCTGTAAAACCTTCCACTAATGATTAAACATATTAGGAGGAGAACAAATTTTGGAATACCTCCGTAAGTAAACTCGAGCACAGAGCTGCTAAGACTAGAGGCACTGTTCAGGCTAGAACAAGTCAGGCCCTGGCCGCACATCTCTACAAAGAACAGACAATTAATTTCAAGTTTATTGTTGTCTGTGCCTTAAACCATCAAATCGTTTTTTCTTCTACCACATTGTCCAAAAGATATCAGCAAATAAATTATCAAAATCTATCTCTAAATATCAAGACTGCCCTATTCACTGCTTTTCCCTTTCTCTTAAATGTTAAAAAAAAAAAAAAAAAAAGGACCATCAAAACCAAAAAAACCACAAAAAAATAAATGGAAATGTCCAGCTTCCAGTCAATGTGTCTTACCTTTTCTCCTTTCCTTCCAATGCTACCATAACCTGGGGGGCCATCATCACCCTGTAAACAAAGGCGTTAATTACAAACATCCCAGACTACAGACTGGAAGCAGGCTTATCCACAAGAAAACAAGACACCCAGTTTTTGGTTTGATTAGGAGAAACTAGGCAGCAGGATACTTCCTCTGGAGCTGGCCATTGACATTTGGTGATACTGGCCCTAAAGACAACTCTTAGTGACAGATATAGAGAGTGCACTGTCCCTTAGTCTCACTTGTATCATCTGTAAAATGGAACTAAAAATTAAAACTACTCATGATGTTATTATGAGGACTGAATGAGAAAATTTCAGGTATACGGTAACCTCAATAAAAGGAGGTATTACTGTTTGTTTAACATCTGTATTTTTAATACCTTAGCTCTAATCCATTTTCAGTTTTCTAGATGAAAATAAGATCTAAATGCTTGGTCAGTGTCTACTGTCAGACCCTTGAGAATGGTCTTTGTGAGAAGTCCTGGGTTCTGGGGGAGGGTGGGCTGAGTTTCTGATGAACAGGTTCTGATGGGAGGAAAGAATGGAATAGGATTATGGGGATGCTAAAGACAGATTTTGTCCACTTTATCATTTGGCTTTAAAAGCATCCCAGCCAGGGTGTTTGGTACTGGGAAGTGGCCACCTTAGGAAAGCTAGCTAAGGAACTAATCCAAGTTGAGGATAATATCTCAATTTCTAAAAAGCTATAAAGCTAGACTGGGGTATCTTTAATACATGCTCCAGAGAACCACACGTGATATCTATTGAAGGGCCACATCAAAAGTAAGGATCGAACACAAACCAGCAAGCCTCGAGGACCGGGGAGGCCAATAGCTCCTTTTTCTCCCAAATCTCCAGATTCTCCCTGTCAAACAAAACAATGAAACATGTCCTTATTAGGGTTATTAGTATTATTTTTTTGTAAATGAAATTAGCAGTGATGGTACTAAGATAATAGTTAGTTATACAACTGCATCCATGTCACTGTATCAAACACAGTGACAAATGGCTTTGTGGTCAGGACTGAGAGTTGTATACACAATGCAAGGAATTGGCTGTTGTTGGCTAGTGAGGTCTCCTCCACTGATGAATGAAGTCCCAGCCAGTCTGATGCATTGTTAAGTGCAAGTTGCCATCTTGGCAGCTCTGTACCACGAGCCACACCCTTGGAAATGTCTTCTGTGAGTCAAAGAGGAAGCTCTGGACTGTTTTAAAAAAATTAACAAAACTGTTTTCCAAGATGATCCATCAAATCATCTGGCCACTGCAAAGACAACAGACTTCTTAATCTAGTTTCAAGTGCTAATCAAGATAACCAAGTCAGCACGACATTCATGGCAATAGTTTCTGACTTCTGAGTAGTAGAACATCTACTGTGGGTTATAAATCAATCTCAGGATTATGTGGAGTAAAGTCCAGCTACTTGGGAAAGTGAACACTGCTTTACAAAAGAAGGTTAACTTCTTTTCTTAAAAAAACAAAAACAAAAAAAAAACTTAACATTTTAGGTTTTACATTTACATAAATGACAAGGTAGTATGGAGAGTTTCCATACACTCTACACCTAGCTTCCCTTATTGTTAGCATTATGTTTGTTACATTATTAGGGACCAATTTTCACAATGCATAAATGAATACTGATTCAATCTTATTAACTAAAGCCCATACTTTATTCAGCTTTTTTTTTTTTTTAAAGCTTTTACCTGATATCCTTTTTCTCTTCCAGGATCCTATACAGGATGCCACATCATGTCTTTTTAAGTTCCTTTAGACTGTGACACGGTTTTTCGAATTTTCTTTGTTTTTGAGGACCTTGACAATATTGAGGAGTACTGCTGAGGTATGCTGTAGAATGTCCCTCACTTGGGGTTTTTCTTATGATTACGTTGGATTTTATAGGTTTAAGGGGTAAAGAGCACAGAGGTAAAGTGCCATGCTCCTCACGACCTAACAAGAGAACATTCTATCAACATGGCTATCACTATTGATGTTAACCTTGACCATTTGGCTGAGGTAGTGTTAGTCACATTTCTCTACTATCTAGTTATCCACCCCCAATCTTTCCCTAATGTACTCTTTAGAAGAAGGAGTGTAGAAGTGTGCACAGCCTACACTTAGGGAGTGGGAGTGGTTAATTCATTTTTAAGGACAGAAAAGCAACCCAGTTAAGTGTGAGAAGTGCAAATGGACAAATGTCCAGAAGCATTGAACTCTGAGAGTAAAATAGGGTTCCACGGCTGGGTAGCAGAAGATCACCTTTCTTTCAGGTTAGTGGCTCTCAAGGTACGCTCTGGGGGCCATCTGCCTCACAACTACTTTAGGTCCACATGCAAAGGAAATTCCTGGACTCCACTGGTATGGTCTCTGATAATGGAGCCCAAGAATATGCCTATTTAAATAAGCTTCTCTGCTGATTCTTATACTCAGTAAAATTTGAGAACATCTACTTTAAGGTAGAGATATAAGTGAAGCCATATGGCTTAAACAAGGTCACTTTTATTATTGGTACAGTCAGGTGTTGAGCCCAGGATTAATAAGTTGCTTGTGTCCCTGGGTACTTGAGATTTTTGGAGTAAGGTATGAGTAAGGTAGAAGTAAGTGTTTGGGGCTCATCTCAGTTAACAATGAATCCAGATGACTTCATTTATCTTGGGACTTCCCAAAGGACTTGGGTTTGCTTTGAGGGTCCTTTTTTTCCAAATTCTTGCCTCTTCCTCTTGAAACGTCCGTCTTATTAATAATGATCTTTTAGGCACAACTACCCTGCTCCGATCTATCTCCTTCCACACTCTCACCTATGACTGGCCCTAGGAGCCCTCCATTCCTGCCTACCTTGCTCCTGGTCCTTTTTGTTGCAGCCTATGGAGTGCTTTCATTCCACAAACAAACCTTCTCTATGCATCCATGACATCTGCACACAGACATACATCCTACCTCACTGTAAGATAAACTTGGTTCTCATCTGGGACACCACTTCCCCTGCAGCCTTCTCCAAGGGCAAGAAGGCAGCATTGTTTCTGTTCCAAACTTTCCTTTCCCGACCACTATTGCTACACTGCATGCTCTAGCAATCCTTTCCTGTCGGTGTTGATTATCCCTGTCATCCACATTTCACCCTCCAGTCAATGGTCCTTGCAGCCTGACTGCTGGCCTCCGTCATTTCAGCCCTTCTTAGCGTTCTCCATTACAAAGCTGACCCCTCTTCTTATGTTCTCATTCTCATCTTGTGGTAAGACATTTCTCCATTAATTATCTACTCTGATTCCTCTCTCTGTGCTCAGACACACACTACCATCTCTCCTATCACTGAAAACAAATACCCAGCTTCAATCAGTTCTAGACTGGTAGTTAATATCCTCTCCCTGCCCCCAAGTCTTGCTTCTTCAAAGAGTAGTTTATGACCCTGAGTCCATTTCCTCCTCATCAACAAAATTGTTCAGTCCTTTGTAGGCTGTCTCCTTTTCTTTACCCTCCTCTCAAATGCTACTTTTTTGAAACTGTTCTTTGGAGCATCTTAGCCACCAGAGGCAATGGCTTCTTCACTCCCCCTTCCTTATCTGTTCTGAACTAGCTGATACACTTGACCTCTCCTTCTTCAACTCTTCCTCTCAGCATCAAGTGTGCATTTCTGTTTCTTTCCCCTCCTTTCTAACGATTTATTGTCTCCTGTTACACTTCTTATAAATAGACATCACTAAGAGTCTTTTTAAAAATCCAAATGCCTCTGAAACCTACATCTCTGACCAGCCATAAACCCTTTCCTCTATTACCCAAACCAAGTGGTTCCCTTCATTTCTACCTTTCTCATGACTTTCCTACTTCTGGGATGGTGCGACACTCATGCAGGAAGCCCTGCATGTACCCCTCTTCTCTATACCTTAGTTTCCTATTAGAAGAGTCTTCCGGAATCATGATGAGTTCCTCCTGTCCTCACCCTGTTAAGTCATCCAACTGATTCTTGTCTTAGAGACTATGAGAACATAGCCACTAGTCTTCTAGCTTCCAATCTCTCAGCCTTTAAAATATTTCTACACTGAGTGGCCTATTCAAAATCCTCCCAAGTCTGGCTGTGTTCATACACTCCATTAAAAAATTATAAATAGCATTGGACTTGGTAATTAATCAAGAGAGTTACCACAGACTGTCTTTTATACCACAGACTGTCTTTTATGTGACTACCAGACAGGATCATCTTTTTCCCCCCAAATACCCACTCCTAGGATTTTCCAACCCTGTCTTTCCTTCACATGATTTCTTCTCCCTGAAATCCTCCATGACTCTTCTCTGCTTGCCAAAGTCTTTATTATCTTCTAGGGTCTGCTCCAAGTCTGTATCCGCTATGATGCCTCTTTCCCCAGCCCAGAAATACTTTTACTAACACTATATTTAAACCTCCATTCTCAGACCCATATCCTGTACTACTTTGTGTTACAGATAATTGTCTTGAAAATATTCTAAATTCTGTGGGTATTGATTCCAGGTCATCTTTATTATACAACCCAGAAATTCTTTCATTAAGCAAATATTTACTAAGCAATTATGTGCCAGGAACTGCTCATAGTACATCAGCGAGCAGAACGATCAAAGAGCTCTACTCTCCTGAAGCTGACTTTCTAGTCCAACAGAGTGCCAGGACAGTGACTTTGTCTTTAAAGGTGTTCAGCAAATGTTTGTATGCATGGAGGAAACAAATAAAGAAGAAGAGAGGAGGGGAGGGAAGAAGAGAGGGGCAAAGGAAGGGGCCTGCCCCAGAACAGTCCTCCTTCCCTGAGGTTCCCCCCGGCTAAGACTGGGTGTAGCCCCTCATGAAATTATGCCGAGCTGGAATCGTTGACCTCATTGTGGTCCACACCCAAGTCCTTAGATGTTGCTGGCTCTCGAAGAATTAAGCCAGGGTGTAGGGGCAATAAGATATCCTCCTTTGTGTTGAAAGGGCTCTGGCTAATACAGCCAGGCACACTTATTTTGAGGAGAAAACCTGAACTTTGGTGGGCTTCAAGACTGTGACCTACTTTATTTCCTTGGCTTCCCGAATGGCCTGGACTCCCTGCTTCTCCTCCTGGTCCTGGAGGCCCCTGAAACAAAACAAGGATTGCAAATATAGCAGAACATAAAGCAACTTTCCCTTAGACCCTTTGTGTCTCTTCTAAGAGGAAAATGAACCACAGATGGGAAAAGAATTATGGATTTACCGATTTCTGCTCTGGAAAAAAGTATCACAGCTGTCACATAAAAACTAGTAAATAAAAGAAAATTAATAAAGTAATTCATGCCAGATGTGGCCTAACTGATCATGCTTCCTTGTGAGTCTTCCAAAGAGATTTTGTATTCTCACTGTTTTGCTTTTACAGCAGATGTTGCTAAAATGTCTAACATTTAAAGAAGGCATCCCAAATGACATTTGTCTTTAACTGTATTCTATCCGGTTCCTTGTTTTGGCAGGAAGCATTTTTTGAAGGTAAACATATATTTATTTGCAAATAATATAGTTTGTACAAATAGAAACCTCAAGAAACTTCCCCAAAAATAATTAGTAAAAACAAGATATGTTCAGGTATACCAGACAAATATTCTGAAATAGTTTTTCCCTTTCCTACTGATAAATTAGAAAAGTAAATGTACATAAATCCCCATTTGCCATTAGAATAAAAAAATTGTAAAACGTGTAGAATTTAACAAGAAAGATAAAGACCTATATAAAGAAAGCTTTAAGATTTTATTGAAGAACATAACAACAAAAGTTAAACAGATGGATAAACATACCACACATCGATATGGAAAATCCATTTGATATAATAGAAGTCTCTTTAGCTTTCTAGAAAGCATGTTTTATTGGAAAAGCTTTAGAGCTTTAGAGCTAAACATTTAAAAATCTCAATTCAGAGACAGCCCAACTGCCTTCCTATGTTACTTACACTTGGGATCAGATTTTTCCTTTGGGATATCCAAACATATGGCAACAGAAATCTCTTTTCGTTAAAATGTTTAGATAGGTACTTGTAATAATCCCAACACCAGTGAATTGAAATCATTTTCAAATTCCTTTTTTTTTTTTTTTGCCATGGTTACTGTAATTTAAAAATAAATAAACCATATCTGTGTACTAGGCATGTTAGCAAATTTTGTTCAGAAAAAAAATCATGACATTAACCTTTTTTATCTTAAAAAAATTAAGAACATACTAAGTTGGACATAAAAAATTTCCTAATAGGAAAGACTTAATAGTATATTGGTTACCAGGGAAGATGATAATCTTTCCACAACCTTTTTTTTTTCCCCCCTTCACCCTTATTTATCCTAAAAAAAGAATCTCAATTTCTTCACCTTCCAAAGCTCTTAATCCTTTCCCTTCTAACTCTCACTCCTACCACTTCATGGAGCTAGCTCCCATCACCTCCATATTCAATTCAGTTAGACTCTCTTCTGTTCTTACCTTATCTGATTTTGATCACGTATTCTCTGAAACTTCTCCATTAATTTCTGTAACACCAGTTACCATAGCTTTCCTGGTCCCTCTCTGGACTCCTCTTAACAAATTTCAAAGCTCCATTGGCCTTTTAAATCTCCATGTGCCCTGAGGTTCCATCCTCTCATCTTATTTTCTCAGTTAATCCCCTCTTCCTGAGTGATTCTCCCATAGATTCAGATATCACTTTACAAAATAACCCCTAAACATATGGATCTCCACTTCAGACCACTCAACTAAATGCCAGACTCAAATGTTAAGATGTCTATTGGAATTGATTACCAAAGATAATTATATTTACTGCAAGTCATATTTGGGTTCATTTTATTAAGGAAGCCCAAGGTGGAAACTAAGAATCATCATACACACCCCCACCTGTAGTTTATCTCTGAAAACCCATCAATTACAAGTCCTGATTCTTTTTTTTTTTTTTTTACAAATAGTTTATTGTCAAATTAGTTTCCACATAACACCCAGTGCTCATCCCCACAAGTGCCCTCCTCCATGCCCATCCTCCCTCCCCCCCACACCCATCAGTCCTCAGTTTTTGTCAGCATTCAAGAGTCTCTCATGGTTTGCCTCTCTCCCTCTCCCCCACCATTCCCCCCTTCTTCTCCCCCTTGTTCCTCAGTTAAGTTCCTCCTAATCCTCCTATACGTGCAAACATATATTTGTCCTTCTCTGCCTGACTTATTTCGCTCAGCATAACACCCTCAAGGTCCATCCATGTTGCTACACATGGCCAGATTTCATTCTTTCTCATTGCCATGTAGTATTCCATGGTATAAATATACCACATCTTGATCCATTCATCAGTTGATGGACATTTAGGCTCTTTCCATGTTTTGGCTCTTGTTGAGAGTGCTGCTATGAACATTGGGGTACACGTGCTCCTATGCCTCAGCACTCCTGTATCCCTTGGGTAAATTCCTAGCAGTGCTATTGCTGGGTCATAGGGGACTTCTATTGTTAGTTTCCTGAGGAACCTCCACACGGTTTTCCAGAGCAAGTCCTACTGATTCTATCACCTTTCTGTATACATCTCTCTTCCATTTCTAATGCTATCATCTACCTTCAGGCCTTTGTGCATTTTGTCTAAATTCCTGGATTCGCTGACTGCAGCCTGACCTTTCTCTAGTCCACTCCTCATGCCTTTTTCCTTTTGATTTGAAATGTCAGGCTGATGCTGCCCACTTTTTCTGAAATTCTGAATAATTTTCAGAATACAGTTTATGGTATTCACTTATTAAAATATAAAATCCCTCAAAATGTTGGGATTGCATGTCTCCATTGTCATCTGTGACTACTTCAATCACTGTATGTTTATACTCAAACCATCTAAAGACACCAAATACTTCTTGTCTTATATCTCCACATTTGTATAAGTTCTTCCCTTAGCTGGTTCATTTTTCCTTCTGGAGGGAGGTACAACCTCCCTGTTCTGATAATCTTGTTTTTAAGATCAATGTTTCCAGAATACCTGAACCTCCTGGCTGTATTGGGTCCCACAGATTCCTCTACTCTGTATGTAGTTCTTCATTCACTTCTTTCTCTCATCGGCTAGATACTAGCCTGTGCATTCCTTGAAGAAAGGAGTACACCCTATTGACTTCTTATCTCTGGAATTTTGTCTCTAGGTACTTAGTACAGCACCTAGAATCTCTCAATCCACCCATTAATCCATCTAGCCTTCCATTCACCTCTCCAGGAATAGCCCCCAAGAGGGATGAGATAATGTGTTTAATTTGATTTTCCATATGAAATTTTTGTGTATTTCAAAGAGGATGAAGTAGAAATATTTTAATTATCCTTAACAATAAGGCATAAATTGGAAGTCTTGCCTAGGAGTTCACTTTCTGTGTTTCCTTCAGATATAATGAGCTCTAGGAGATGAAATAAATTTCAGGAAGATTACCTCATGTGTAGTCACTTTGAGCACATACAACCACAGTGAGAGATTATCTTGTTTCAAAGTCCTCCAAAATAGAAGACTTCTTGGATAGATAGATGAATGGATGGACAGCTGGATGGATGGATGCAGACAGAGCCTGGTCATCAGAACATCAGAGAACCTGATCCTGTTTCGTATGTAGGACCACACAAAATACCAGACTGGCATTTGTGATTGCCTGAATAGGTCTCATGCTTCTTTGGTTACCCAGATAGGTTACCTACTCAAATACTGCTAGTTGCATAGGGGACCATATTTTTAAAGGCAAGGTGAAAAATGCCCTGCAACCCCAGGATATCAAAGAGCCAAAAAGATGTCTTTATTTGAGGCCAAGAGCAGCTGTGGAATATAAAAACTTAGGGCATATAAAGGAAAAGGGCACCAGCTAGAGATCAAATCTTCATTGGCTTTGTTGCAATGGCAGCCTTTTATTGAGTATTTATTGTATGCAAAGCACTGTACTAAGAGGTATATGTTTATACTATCCAGACTTTCTCAATCCTTACAACACAATGAGATACATATTATTGATACCATTGTTTACCAATAAAACACAGATTCTCAATGCATTTAACCCCAGATAACTGTTAATAAGAGGGTGAGATGAGAATTGAACTTGATTCTGACTCTAAACTGAACTCCTAGCCACTCAGTCTGCTGTTTTGAAGCCTGTTTTGAGATAGGATTCCCAAACTCTACTATTCATGCATCAGCTGAGATTGATGTGAATCTCCAAACTTGATGCAGGAGGCTGGGGCCAGATCCAACCTCCAATATGGGGCTTGGGCTGGGGGATCTTTTGCTCATGTTGAGACTCTGTGACAGAGTCTTCTGCAATAACAGCTGCGTAATACAGGTGTTAAGTAATGATATAAAGGAAATGTTTATAGTTTAAATGTTTTAAAAGTTGTCTTTAGATGATATCTTATGAGGAAGGATTGCACTAGGATTTTGGGATTAATGGCTGAGACAGTCCCAAGGACACCTTGACTTTGGATGGATGTGGGTGGGGAGGGGCAAGAGATGCAGGTTTTTCTCATGCCTAAAAGGAATCCTATTGGGGCACCTGGGTGGCTCCGTTGGTTAAGCGTCCAACTTCGGCTCAGGTCATGATCTTATAGTTTATGAGTTTGAGCCCCCTGACAGGCTCTGTGCTGACAGACCAGAGCCTGGAGCCTGCTTCATATTCTGTGCCTTTCTCTCTCTCTCTCTTTGCCACCCCCCCCAACTCACACTCTCTTTCTCTCTTGAAAATAAACATAAAAAATTTTAAAAAAGAAATCCTGTCACTTATTTTCTTGGGGGTAAAACTTTGCCTACATGCAGAACCAGTAAATATCAGGCTGAACTGAAACTACTCAAGGAGATTAAATAAATGCTCAGCGTCTTTAATGTCATATATGAGAAATTATAATAATAAATTATGAGAAAATATAAAAACAAGAGGCCAGCAAGGGTGGGCTAATGCAAGAATAAACCCCAAGATACCTGAGATGTTGATCTTGACAGTGCTAGTCTAGGACAAAGTCTCTAACTTAAGTTCTAATCCTTCATGCCTTTTACACTCCATCCATACTGAATCATTTATGGTTTCCCAAACTCACTTTAATATCTCTTTTTAGATTTCTGGCTCCTTTTCCCAGATGTCTGCCTCTCCATTGGTCACTGGAAAATACCTCCTTATCCTGAAAAAGCTAAACCACTCTTCTGCTCTAATGCCATCCTTTCACCCACCACTCTAACTGAGGTGAAATTCTACATTAGCATTAGCACATCACATCTCAACTATTTGTTTGTATTGCTCTCCTTTATGAGATTGGGATGCACTTTTATATTACTACAGGATGCACACACAGGAAGCCTTCAGTAAATATTTGAGTAAAAGGAGTAGTTGATGGATCATTCAACCTAGATTATGCAGAATGATGAAATTCAATCATCGTACTACAGATTACATATTGTTATAGTGTTATTATTACAATGGCCTTTCTTAGGTTGAAGACTCCTCGCATGCTTTGAGCATACAATGTCCATGCTAAGTTAGGTAATACTTATGCATTATAGTAGTACTAAACACACAGTGCTTACTTCACTGCAGGCACTATTCTAAGAACTTTAATATATTAAATCATTTAATTTTCACCTGATGAAGTGGCTACTATTACTATCCTTATTTTACAGCAGAGAAAACTGAGGTATAGAGAGGTCACATAAATTACCCAAGGCCTTTGTGGGTAGACAGAAAAGTACAAAGCTGGCAATCAAACCTGGGAGCCTGGGTCAGACACTATGCCCCTGACCACTATACTATGCTTTGTCAAGAGGACAACAGAAATTCTCCTTTGTATCCCAATTTGGCATGGAACAATTCCAACTTTTCTGGATATTGCATGACATTAGTGGCTATTTCACTAAAAACAAAAACCCTAAGAATAATCCCAACACCAACTAGAATTAGTATTTGTGTCTGATTTTCCATTCCTCTTCTAGGCATTGGTTGTATTAATGAGGTACCCTATGGTATATCAGACAAAAAGAAAGGTATAAAAGAATATGCCATTCTCTTCAAAGTTATGCCTTCTTTTTTATTATTATGCCATAGACTGTGTTTCTTTCATATCGTAGCCATATACTTGGTTGGATTAACACATTTTGATTTATGCAGAGTGCCCCAACACTGCATAAATTAATAAGTCTTCAGAACACTGTCAACAGAAATCACATCCTTTTTTCTAAATGTATGTCCTAAGAAAAACCTTAAAGCCTACAATTAAAAAACACTCCTGTTATTCCACTTAAATGGCTGGTTCTTGTGTGCTGTATGAAGCCCACGTCAGTGGATTTACAGAGCCCATAAAGAATAACACTCTCTTGTATATATATGATGGTGTTTGTCTCCTGTGGTTTTCCTTTGGAAACAACAATTTTGAAGTCTCATTCATCATGTCCTGAATATAGAAAATTCTACACATCTTTGAAATAGCACTTCTACAGTGTTGACAAGGGTATTTCAAGAAAAACAAGCAAAGAAAGAAAACCATGATTTCTAGCCAGATAAATGGAAGAGGTATAGACAAGTGGTGCCTTTTGACTAATGCTGGCAATGCCAAGAGGTTGAATGATTTATAACTGTGATCAATCTTGCCAAAGCAAGATTAAAGGGGACTCACTCAGAGAAGTACACTATAAGGCAAATGTAATAGCTCATTTGAGTAACAGCCACTTGGATACAATTTTCGATTTTAGAGGAAGGGAATTACCATGCTCTTTGGATCTAACCCATCTACATTTTAATATTTTATATAAACAGATGAGATAATCACCTGATATATGTTTCCCTTGGCATTTGCAATTTTTTTTTTAAAATCCCAATTGGTGGTGCCAGGGTTTTTAATGATTCAAAGATGTGAATGCAAAATAGTTACTTTTCATCAACTTAGTCCTACAATGAAATTTTAAAGTTTTCATGCTGTTTGAAGGAGCACATTCATCAAAACTGGGAGCAAATATCTTCACGAATAGTTACTATTGTGCTTTAAAATATTGTGTCATGAGATATAGGTTTATGCAAATAGCTTAACTATTTTGATGATGAACACATCCACTTAAGTGTTGGACCATTGCCTAATGGACACAAAGTAATAGATTCCCTTTATCCTATTATCCAAGTGCAAGTCCCAACTGTGTCTCATTCATTCACTTACTAATTGATTCATTATATAAATACACATTAAGTTCTGCTGTGTGGCACCACTGTTATTTTAGGTTCTGGGATATAAGCAAGACAAAATTCTAGCCCTCCTGGAGATTAAAGTCTACAAGAGGAGACAAAAAGCTAAACACGTATATACTATAATAGCAGTTAGGCAATGGTCAGATCATGCAGGGCCTTGCTACTCAAAGTGTGGTCTGGGAACCAGCAGTATCAATATCGCCTGTGAGCTCACTGGAAGTGTAGAATCTCAGGCCCCACCCCAGAACTTCTGATCTGAATCTGCTTTTATTTTTTTTATTTTTATTTTTTTTAAATGTTTTATTTATTTTTAGGAGAGAGAGAGAGACAGCGTGAGCAGGGGAGGGTCAGAGAGAGAGGGAGTCACAGACTGAAACAGGCTCCAGGCTCTGAACTGGCAGTCAGCACACAGCCTGACGCGGGGCTCGAACCCACGATCCCTGAGATTATGACCCAAGCAAAGTTGGATGCTTAACCGACTAAGCCACCCAGGCGCCCCTGAATCTGCATTTTAAAAAGTTGTCCAGGTGATTCTTAGGCACTTTGAAGTTGGAGAAGTGATGTGGGAAAGTCAGTCCCATCACAGGGTGTGTCTACTAGAGTCACCTGCGGAGAATTCAAAGTTACTGGTACCCTGTCCTTACCTTCAGTGATTCTGATTTAAATGGTCTGGGGGAGGGTTCCAGGTGGTGGAGTGTTTTATAATCCTCCCAGGAGATTATCACATGTATCTAGGTTGAGGAGCCCTGAAGTAGGTTGTATCCTGGGTGCAATGCGAAGCCCCTAAGGACTTAGATCAGAGGAGCGGCATGACCCAATTTCTACAGAGGAGGAATTCTTAGCCTCACAGTAACACCTGAGCTACTGAGGCAAAGGGGCTAGAAACCATCTTCACCTCTGTGTCTGCCGGAATGACAGCCCACTCGGCAAGGTAAGGACCACAATGTGATGTGGCCGCCCACAATGAACACTGAAGTCAAACCTTTGCTGGTTCACAGGCAATAAATAGCTCCTGAAGAAAAGAAACTGCAAGGACATCCATATTAAAGCCAAGATCAAAGCCAGGTGTAGTCACTTTCTCTCATTACATACCTGAGGACCTTTACTTCCCAGGCCTCCTTTTTCTCCTTTCATACCAGTCTCTCCTCTGGGACCCTACATAGAGAGAATCAAAGCGTTATTTTCTTTCTATAAGAGAACACTTGAATATTAACTCTACTATTAAAGATAGACATGATAAGTCAGTCACATGGACAGAAACTGGAAAGAGAACTCTGCCCATGCCCTTGATTCTGTCTTGATCTGTGAGCTTTCCCTCTGAGCATGTATACAAGGATCCAATCTGCAATTTTGGCAGTTCAGCATTTACAGTCAACTGAATTAATACTGAACAGCTGATATTTTCAGTATTGTTTTCTGATTATCCGAAGCGTATTTAGACTCCAAATGCATAGATTTCTTATATGATAAAGAAAATAATCCTTAATTATGTAATCTGAAAATGAAGCATTAAAATGATTTTTCTATTCAATAACCACACTGAAGACTGGTCATAAGATACAGCATGCGGTAAGGTGAAATTTGGATATTTCTACTTGTAGAATATTATATTGCCTCTTAATCATGGCTTCCATACATTAGGCAGATAAACTTTCATACTGTGTTTGGTTTTTCCATCTCCTTTTAAATGATATCATGAAGAAAGAGTCTATAAAGTAGAAGGGATGTTGTTGTATTATTTGGTTAGAATGAAATAAAGTCAGCCAATCTACTGAAATGCTTCCCCACAACCCCAGTGGCAAATATTTCTCACTTGAAGATAAGAAGAGTGAACCTTCCTCAGCTGGCAAGTAAAACAGAAAAAAGCAATCAAGCTCAAAAGAGCTAGAGGTCCAAGGGGGCAGATTGTTTACTACTCTGAAGTCTTGGTAAAACGTGAACAAAATTTTTCATTTGAATGTCTAAGGATATTTTGCCCAACTTCCATGCACCACGGGCCAACATACAATTGTTAATTCTTTTTAACTATTATGGATTAAAACTTTCAAAAATTATAGAACCTTTGCTTGTTCTGCATTTTCCAAATAGCAAAACCATTTCTCAAGATTTCAAAACAAAGTTTGGAGAAAAAATATGTTCTAACTTTCTATAATCTAACCTTTCTTTCATCTCAGCATTTTCTAGGACTTCCTTTCCCTCTTCAGTATTATTTCAGGCTACATTTTGGCACATGCTTCCTTTCCCCTCATGTGATCAGTGTAAGAGCCAACCATGGCCTCTTCCTCAGAAAGGAAAAAGTGCTGGAGGCAGTTCTCTGGGGGAAGTGAACAAGAAAGACAGGCCAAGGGCCACACTATAGAACACCCTGCTGAAGACTTCAGCTGTATTTGGAACAATTCTTTCCTAGAGTCGAGCCAGCTTTTCTAAAACACAGGCGTCCAAATATGTAACACTGAGCTCTTACTGTGATACACTGACCAAAATTCCCAGTTTGAGGCCAACGTTTTCTTTGGCTTAAGGTCTCCCTAGAACAACCTAGCTAGCTTCAAGTTATCGCACAGGGACCCTATGCATCATGTTTATTCTCTTTTCACCTCTTGAGGGACAAAATAAAGGAGACTAAATGCTGGACAAGTCAAGACTGTGTTGGTTCCTTACTTTACTACTTTGAAAAACACTTTAAGCATCTGTAATTCTGCAAAGAGGTTTGACAAATTCCACCAAAGCCCCAGATTCTTCTTTATGTTCTCACACCCTGTTTAGTACTGATATGTACCTGAGGGCCCTTAAGTCCCCATGAGCCTTCAAGTCCATCTGGGCCTGGGATGCCTGTTTTCCCCTGTGGTGAGAGAGAAGCAACCTGTTAATACTGTTTCCTGAGAATTTTGTCTCCTTTCTTCATGCACAAAATTGTATATATTCAATCACAATGCAGTGCAGGATCTTTGGTAAAAAATATGAAAAATAAAAGGAAAACATAAATAAATAAAAATTTTCTACAACTTCATCAAGCAGAGATAACCAAAGCTACTATGTTGCTACATGTGCTTTCAGTCTTTATACATGCGCACACTCACACACTCCTTTTTTTTCTGTAACATTTCTAATATATTATATCTAACGTGGGCATTTGGCCTGAAAAAACTCATAATTTACTTCACATTTTCTTAAAAAGTCTCTGGGAATCTTACAACATTATATTTATATTCAAATAGATTAAATATCTGTGACTCAAAGTTGAGCATTATCTTCACATTATCTTCAAACTCTGACAGAGATAGGAGTTCCAAAAAAGAGGAAGGATTAAAAGGGCTAATTTAGCCAACTGTTGAGATAGCCTAAGATTATACCTCAATTGTTACACAATGAGATGTCATTAAAGGTCCCTTGCTGATGCCTATTTCTACATCTTAGAAGAAATTTCTGAGACTTTCCTCAATCTCATTTCATTCCATTCATGCCATTATTCTGGTTTTGCTCTCCTTTTGGTTGAAGTCTAACCTTGAAATGTGTGTATGGAAGGGAGTGATGTCTGTTATGATAAACTCTCTTAGTCTTGGTCTGAAAATGTCTATACATTCATTCATAGTTTAGCTAGGTATGAAATTCTAAATTTTTAAAAAATGTTTTATTTATTTCTCAGAGAGAAGGGGAGGCATCATGAGCAGGGGACGGTTAGAGAGAGAGAGAGAGAGAGAATCTGAAACAGGCTCCAGATTCTGAGCTAGCTGTCAGCAGAGAGCCTGAGGCAGGGCTCGAACCCACAAACCATGAGATCATGACCTGAGCTGAAGTCGGACGCTTAACCAACTGAACCACCCAGGTGTCCCTAGCTAGGTATGAAATTCTAGATTAACAGCTATTTTTCTTCTGCACCTGTAAAATATTACTTTGCTTTCTGGAATGTTTTACTGCTGAATACAAGTCTGCTGCAATCTAATTTGTTACTCCTTTCATAGATAAAAATGCCTTTTCTCTCTAGTAGTGTTGAAGATGTTTTATCTTTAGCACTTTAGAGTTTTACCATGATGTGATTGAGAGTGGATTTATTGTTTATCCTCACTGTATTTTTACCTGAGAATGTGTGTTTCCTGAATTTTTTAAGTTATAAGTCATAATTTCTTTTTCATAAATATTATGGATTCATGACACATGTATAATATATCACCAAAATGTACAAAGAAAATAGAATAGGATATTTGATATAGTCAACTTTTGAACAAAACACTCTGAATGTCTAATTTGTATTAGGGTTCCACTGTACTCTCAGTTTAAAAAGGGTTACTATAAATTATAAGATTTCATAGTCAACCAAACAAAAATCTAAAGGAAAGATTACTCAGCTGAGTTACTAGTTTGTATTTGAAATCCAAACAAAGCAATTTTAACAGTATTTGGGCCAACTAGTGTCTCATCATTGATTATTATAATCTTTTAATAGAATGCTCAAATTTTCATTTTAAGATTTGAGGTTTTGAAATTGTAGCCTAAAACTTTTCTAACATTTTGTTCCACAACCAATATCATCAAAAAGTGAAAGAACTTTAGTCTTGAAAGAGATTTACCAGAGCCTTTCTTACTTCCTGACTGGACACAGAATACTTATCATTTGGAGTTAAGAAAAAAAAATCATTGTACCTGTGGGCCTGTGTGTCCCCTTCGGCCATGAGCTGCCTAAAGTAGGAGGAAAGATAGGTACTATTAACTCTGGGGGGAAAATGCTTTTTATATTTAATTTAAAATAGTAATGAGAAAGAGTGAAATCTGGCCATGTGTAGCAACATGGATAGAACTCGAGGGTGTTATGCTGAGCGAAATAAGTCAGGCAGAGAAGGACAGATACCAAATGTTTGCACGTATAGGTGGATTAGGAGGAACTTAGTGGAGGACCATGGGGGAGGAGAAGGGGAAAAATAGTGGGGGAGAGGGAGGGAGGCAAACCATGAGAGACTCTTGAATGCTGAGAACAAACTGAGGGCTGATGGGGATGGGGGGAGGGGAAGGAGGGTGATGGGCGTGGAGGAGGGCACTTGTGGGGATGAGCACTGGGTGTTCTATGGAAACCAACTTGACAATAAACTATATAAAAAATAAATAAAATAAAATATAAAATAGTAATGATCACTTTAAGGCATTGGCTTTTTAAAAAATTTTCTCACATATTGCTTAAAACATTAAATTATCCACTGCACCATGACAGTAAAATGTTGCCAACTCTAAATTTCTTTTCTAAAATTTTATTTGAGAGAAAGACAGGAAGAGAGAGAACATGCACATGGGAGCAGCATGGGAGAGGGGCAGAGAGAGAGAGAGAGAGAGAGAATTAAGCAGGCTCTATGCTCAATGTGGAGCCTGACACAGGGCTCAATCCCGTGACCCTGGGATCAAGACCTGAGCCAAAATCAAGAGTCAGACACTCAACCAACTGAGCCAGTCAGGTACCCTGCCAACTTTGAATTTTTATCCTAGGGCATTAGGTAATTAAAATCATAGACAACTGAAATCTGTACATACTTAGAACAGAATGTGGTCAATACTTTGTCCCCCACTAAACTATTACTAGAGCTGGTCACAAGCTCCAAAATTGACAGATTCCTATTTAATTTCTTTTCACTTTTCCAAAGTACTAATAAATAAGCCAAAAATCAGGAGTGGATTGGCCAAAAGGCAGGAAGCCAGAGAAAAGGCTGGGAGAATTCACTCCATGAACTTTATTATAGATTAATTTTGGAATCTAATGATGGCCAGACTAATTTTATGCCCTTTCCCCCCAAAAGCCAAACAATACGCTTAACTGTTAAAAACTAAAGAATCACCCCAAGCATTCAAAAATTCTTAATTCAGTATGCAAATTAAATTAAAATAACAGCACTATTATTTTACTCAAGTGAATTTTTCCTAATACTCTCTTGTAGAAGGTCAGGATCTGGGTATATTTCAGATCGACATATTATAGATCTGGAAATCACACAGACATTTTATTATCTAATTTAGGATCTCTCAGTAAAGTTATAGCAAGATTGACACCAAGATTTGCAAAATGCAGTAAATATCAGACATTTTCTAGATGGAAATTTGAGAGATTCAGATCGAACTTCTATGTGAGGCCAGAATTGCAGACTTTAAATTTTTCCAATCATATTTCAGTTAGCTTCTATTGTTATCTAGGAAACAGACTGTGTATATCTGAAATGGAGAAATGGAGACCTATTTCTTTAAAACTCTGGTGAGTCATGTTGAGAATCTAAATCCTCTCCATCAGAGGGAGGAAAAGAAATTCTCTCCACTCCTTTAGTACAGGAGTTCAGCTGATCTGGTTTAATCCACTTCAGTCTCATTCAGAAAAATATCTATCAATGATCTACTACCCACAAAGCATATTGAATGGAATCATAGTAGCATAAAGACTTCGGGGCGCCTGGGTGGCTTAGTCGGTTAAGCGTCCGACTTTCGCTTAGGTCATGATCTCTCGGTTCGTGGGTTCGAGCCCCACGTCGGGCTCTGTGCTGACTGCCAGCTCAGAGCCTGGAGCCTGTTTCAGTCTGTGACTCCCTCTCTCTCTGACCCTCCCCTGCTCACGCTGCCTCTCTCTCTCTCTCTCCTAGAAATAAAAAAAAAAAAAAAAAAAAGACTTCATGGGCATGCGTACACACACACACACACACACACACACACGTCCCTCAGGGGATGCTCATACTTTGGATTTGGGGGTGAAGAGATAAACATTACAATATTTACAAGGTATAGTATGGCAAATGCCATAAGAAAGGGGAAGATGGAAATATGGGTTTTGAAGAAAGCAGTTATATCCAGTTTGTAAAATTAGGAAAATATTCCTAGAAGGTATTCTTTAAGTTTATTTATTTAAGTCATCTCTATACCAATGTGAGTCTTGAACTCACGACCCCAATATCCAAGAGGCACATACTCTACTGACTAAGCCAGCCAGGTACCCTGGAAGATATTTTTGATATGAGTTTCACAGAATGTATAGGAGTTCACAGGTAGAAGAAAATGAAAGAGGTCTTTCTAGTAAAGGGTATGTACTTTCTAAGTAATGAAGTAGAGGCAGGAAAATAGGAAATGTATTTTTTAAAAAATATTTTATTTCTGAGAGAGAGAGAGAGACAGCATGAGCAGGGGAGGGTCAGGGAGAGAGGGAGACACAGAATCCGAAGCAGGCTCCAAGCTAGCTGTCAGCACAGAGCCCGATGCCGGGCTCGAACCCACGAACTGTGAGATCATGACCCCAGCCGAAGTCGGACGCTCAACCGACTGAGCCCCCCAGGAGCCCCGGAAATGTATTTGATAGCATTTCTATGACAAAGGTATTGAGAAGAGAGGGGAGTAGTAGGGTTGCTAAACTGAAGGGTTCCTACTCCATTAGCAGAAACCATTGGGGCTCTTAAAACAGGAAATGTACGTGGCCAGATTTGGGCTTTATTGCTAGCTCTGGGTGTGGTAGGCACAACTACACCAACATTCGGTCAAAATAAAGAGCATCTTATATATATGATTTAAGAGATATGAAACAGACTTTACATCGAAACATTTTTCTCCGGTCCATGGTCAGTGTTTGAAACAACATCAATAAACATTTGGTGTCTGTGTCTTTAAAGTTTGACTTTGAAAGAGCTGGATTCAAATGAATCATCTCAACACTGAGAACCTGCTCCTTAGAGGCATTGGGGTGAGTAGTGGTAAGCAAAAATGACTTTTGGACCTAGGCAGGAGTTTATAAGCCTAACAGAAGAGAAAGATTTTAATCCACCATTCATGCACATAATGGAAACATCTCTAGAAGTAATCATCTAGCACTTTCATTAATGGCTATTTGGGATTTAAACTTTAAATGGAAGTCATGGGTTTGAGATAGCTTGGGTAGGTGTGAGAGATTGAAAGAAAACAAGAAAATAGGGGAGATAGCTTCATAATTTTACTTTAAAATTTTTAATGTTTCATGGGGAAGATTAAATCCCAAAATGTCTTAATGGTTGGCCCATGGGCTTGCAGTTATCTGGCAACACATCCAGACGGCCTAACTTACCTGTGAAAGGAAATGTGAATGAGCACAGCAAGAAAGAAAATATCCCCAAAGACGTCCTAGAGTAAGAAGACCCAGACCAGGATGCTCAATCTTGTTGGCCCCCATAGTCTGGCTTTCTGGTGGTTTACCAGAGCCCATTTTCCCAGATAGGTATGGACTGGTTTGAGACACAATCCCCAGGGAAAAAAGCAGGACATTTTTAATGGTGAAACATCACATTAATACTGAATATTAATGGCAAACACTCACTCACCATGATGAGTGATTGCCTGGGGGCACTTCAAGCTGCCCCTACAGTAGTGCCAAGAGAGATGAAAAGGGCAAAGTGTAACTAACTAACAGCCTTCTAGATGGAGTAGGACTCAAGGCCTTGTTTTAGTTTGAGGCTACAGTTGCTTCTTATTATCCATGGCACAAGAATGTTCTCATTCTCAGTAAAGTTTGACTCAGAAGCAGCCAATCTCCAATTCCTGTCTCCCTGCCCCAAGTGCTGTGGCTTTCTGGCCCTGATCCTACATCCCACCCCAACCCAATCCATTACAGGCTGCTGGCAGCGCACCAATTACAGCTTATTATCCCTGCAGGTCTGTCCTCCTCTGTAAAAGAGGTTTCAACCTGCAACATGGGGATTTAGCAACACCTCATTCTCTGGGAACATTTGGCAATGTCTGGAGATGGTCTTCATTGTCACAAGTTGGGGGTACTACAGGCACCTAGTGGATAGAGGCCAGGGATAATACTAAACATCCTACAATGCACAATATAGCTTCCCACAACAAAGAATCATCAGGTCCAATGTCAACAGTAGGTTGAGACACCATCTATAAAATCTATAACATGATTCTAGGTTCCTTGAGAGCAAGGATTATCTTATTTGATTTTGTAGCTCTAGTAGTTAGTGGAGTTGCTGGTACATTGTAGGTGTCCAAGAGATGTTTGTCACATGAATCAAGGCCAGATGCGGTCAATTGCTGTTATTTCCCTGCATGCCACACTCTACCACTGACCATCCTCCAATCACTTCTCAGTTCAGCAGAATCCTGTTGCACCGAGAAGTCCTCAATGCTTGTTCTCTACCTGCATTTTAGAGTTCTTCAGTTAGTGGTATAGATTTTTCTTCCTTCTTAAAGGATATTGACTCTACGGTTATAAAAATGATACATGCTGATTTTTAAGTATCTATATGCAGAAAAAAAACAGAATAAAAATTTAAGTCTTCCCAAATCCTCCATCTAGCAAGGACTATGTAATCATTACCAATGATTAGCATTTGGTAATCATGATTCCTTACATCTTTAAAAAAATTTTTTTAATGTTTATTAATTTTTGTGAGATAGAGAGAGACAGGCTGCAAGCATGGGAGGGGCAGAGAGAGGGAGACACAGAATCCAAAGCAGAATCCAGGCTCTGAGCTGTCAGCACAGAACCTGATACAGGGCTCAAACCCACGAACACGGAGATCATGCCCTGAGCCAAAGTCGGACACTTAACTGGTTGAGCCAGTTACTGGTTGTGCCCCTCCTTACATCTTTTTATGCATTTATAATAGATAGAGTTCTAAATAGCAGTACTTTTGATTAAAAAGAGATCATGGTATTTATGCTGTTCTAAAATTAAAATATTACATTTAATTTTACTTGAATTTAATAGAAGAACAAAATAAATGGGGGCTATACTGCCTGAAGTTTTGAAGTCTTTATCATGTTAATTACTTATATGTTCAAAGGCCAACTTGGGTGGGCCTAAAAATCTTGAACCCCTGGATTTCCTTCTTAACTCTGTAGTTCTGGGTCTGGGTGGCTCAGTTAGGCATCCAACTTCAGCTCAGGTCATGATCTCACAGTCCATGGGTTCCTGACACTGCAGAGCCTGGAGCCTGCTTCAAATTCTGTGTCTTGCTCTCTCTCTGCCTCTCCCCCACTCATACTCTATCTCTCAAAAATCAATGTTTAAAAAAAAAAAGAACTCTGTAGTTATTCTACTACTCTCCCTTTTGGCCCCAAATGTTGTGAAGAAGGCTGAAGACAGACTGAGTTTTCTATTTTCCTGCTTGGAAATTCTCCTGATTCTTTACATAAGAAGTTTGGCAGTTTTACTAGGGTATAGCTCATTGTTAATGTTTTTGTATCCATTTTTTTTCTGAGTCAGAGTATGCCTTTTCTACCTGCATATTTGAGTTTTTTTTTTTTTACAAGAAGTTCTTTTTATTATACTTCTGAATAGTTTTTACATTCATCTGTTTAATTTAGTAATACAAATTGTATTACTCTCCACTGTTGGCTCTCCACCTCTATCACAGCTTTTGTGGCTTCCTGATTACCATATGCCCAACTGTACTCATTCTTACTTATTCTAACTTGTTTGTTGCTTATAACTTATCTTATACTTTCATTGCTCCCCAAACACTACCAGTTTGCTTTCTTCACTTTCTATCATCTTGTCAGCTGTTTAGGCTCTTTTTTTAGAGTAATCGTACTGCCTTAGATTTTTTAAGACTTTAGAGAACTATTTGCCAGGGTTGTTCTACCTTTCCCTTGAATAGTTCCTCTTCTAATGAGGATTTGTTTGTCCTCTGCTCATGTAATTTTCCTCTTCTTTCTATGCATAGGTCTTTTTTTTTTTTTAATGTTTTATTTGTTTCTAGGAGAGAGAGAGAGAGACAGCGTGAGCAGGGGAGGGTCAGAGAGAGAGGGAGTCACAGACTGAAACAGGCTCCAGGCTCTGAGCTGGCAGTCAGCACAGAGCCCTACGCGGGGCTCGAACCCACGAACCGCGAGATCATGACCTAAGCGAAAGTCGGACACTTACCCGACTAAGCCACCCAGGCGCCCCTCTATGCATAGGTCTTAATTAGTAGTCATTTTGTAATGAAGATTATTAATATTTCTGATGATTCATCACTTTTGAAAAGGGCCACCTATTTACTGAGTAACTGTATGTGGTATAGCTGAACCTGGGTCAGTAGCTTTATATATATGTTGTATCAAACCCTTTCTCATCATGAAGTATTTTTCTTCCACCTCATGGCTACCCTTCCCTTCACATATGGGCATTTAAGAGATCCATGGAACCCACATAAAACCCCTCAAATCGTAGTTTCTCTGTACTGTTATAGTCACTATTTCTTAGGTCTTTGTAGCCTCCATAGCCCAGATTGCTGGTTGTAGATATTAAAAATGAAATACGCTTTAGTTTCCCATGATTTCTGCCTCCTCTGCTACGCTGTTCTATGTATATTCCCTCATCGTCTCAAAACTCAGAAGCTACTTTTAGAGAAGCTTGATCCCTGTTTAAGGTCTGAGGTCTGTGATCAGCTTTTCAAAGCCTCCCTTCATTAGGATCTAGATTGAAAAATAATTGGCCAATATTTGCCATCACATGTAGCTTGAAGTTGTGGTCATTCTTTCTTAATCTCCTTTTAACTTGTGTTGTTTTTAGTAACTTGCACAAAAAGGAACAGTATAAAAAACACCTTGACTTTGCCATCTTTAGTTGGAAGTCTCAATTTTACTACTGAATGACACTTGCTAAATCTATAACTCAAGACGGGGCCATATTTCTCAGAAGCTATGCAGTTTAAATAATATATGGTGACTCAGTGTTAGCCTCTAGAGAGACTATAGCCTCTATAAAACAATAAAAGTACATCTCCAATGCCAGGGAATCTTGGATGATATTCTTTAAGTTCAAAATATTTTCCCAGGGTATGTAAGCCGGCTACACCCTTTTAGAAAGGGAAATGGCTAGCAATTGTATTTCTTTATCTGTAGGTGCATTAACACAGCAGTAGCAAAGTGTTTTCCCAGCAACCAAATTCTGCACATTTTAAATGTAACTTCTGTTTTCATTTCCATTTTCTCTGCCTGGTAAAGAAGAAGAGCGTGTTTCAAGCTACAAAAATATTTTTTTGATCAAGTATAATAGCTGATTCTATGAACTTCTCAAAAAAAAATACAATGCATAAAAAGTGCAATATATCAAACCCGTTTTTATTTGTGTTCGATAAATAGCACAAATAATTGAGAAGGGAGGTGGAGGGAGTTGGAGAAAGCTAGATAACTAAGAATGGAAAGAAAATGCTGCAAAATGAAGAAAAGACAAGTCTAATTTAGAACCCAGTGCAGGCACTTAGGTGTATTTTATCGAAGTATCCATTATTGGATAAAAATTATCATTTATAATTTCTGTGCCCTTCCAAGAAGTCAGGCACAGAATCTTTTTTAAAAAGTACTCACTGAAAAAATACAACAAAACAAAACAAATAAAAAAGACCCCAAAATGTTGCATAAGCAATTTCATTCTTAGTATTTATACAATATGGAAATTCCTAAAAAATTAAACATAGAGCTACTTTATGATTCAGCAATTCCACTTCTGGGTATATATCCAAAGGAAATGAAAACACTAACTAAAAAAGATATCTGCATCCCTGTGTTCACTGCATTACTTACAATAGCCAAGGCATGGAAGCAACCTAAGTGTCCACTGATGGATAGAGAAAAAGTGGGATGTATACAAAATGGAATCTTTTATTCAACAAAAAACGATCTTGCCATATATGACAATATGGATGGACCCCATAGGCATTATACTTCATTATAAATGAAATAAGTTAGAGAAGGACAAACACTATATGGTCCTGCTTATATGTGGAATCTTAAGAAAGCAAAAAAAAAAAAAAAAAAAAAAAAAAATCCCAAATCTTAACTCTTAGACACAGCGAACAGATTGGTAGTTGCCAGAAATAAGGGGTGGTGGGTGAATGAAATGGGTAAAGTGGGTCAAAAGGTACAAACTTCCAGTTAGAAAATAAATAAGTCATAGAGATGTAATGTACAGCACAGGGATTGTAGTTAATAGTACTGTATTGTATATTTGAAAGCTGTTAAGAGAGTAGATCTTAAAACTCTTCAGTACAAGGAAAAATTTGTAACATGTGGTGATAAATGTTTACCAGACTTAAGGTGGTGATTATTTCATAACCACATATACATATCAAATCATGTTACACATGGGAAGCTAATATGGTATATATTGGCTATATCTCAATTAATACTCTAGATACATATATATACACACATGTATACATATATATACACACACACATATATGTTTTAAAATTGAGCACAAATAAAAACCAGTTTAGTATACTATATTTATTATGCATTGTATTTTCTAAGAAGTTCATAGAGCTATTTTACTCCACCAAGGAAATGTTTTTGCGTCTTGGAACACACATCTTTACAAGGCGCAGAATATGGAAGTAAAGACAGAGGACTCACGCCAGGACTCAGTCTCCTAAGTAGTCATAAAATTCAGCAGAGGAATAGTTTTGGACTTAAAATGACATCACTGGCAACCTCAGCTAGCTGAGTGGGGAGGCCAAACTTTCACCACCCTTCCCCTAGCGGGCTGCTTTTTTCTTCTCTTTGCCTCAGCTTTTTCTCCTGATTGGTAATTTTCCCTGCTGCCAGCACCTTCCTGCCTCAGCTTCAGGGGCTTTCCACAAGCTCTCTGCAAGCTCTCTTCTCAGAGGTTTCCCAGGTTTCCCCACAGTAGTGAGCCCCAGAGGAACCATCCCACCCACTCCCCACCATCAGCCATTTTTATCACAATATAGGCTACCGGAGCAGGTGGGTCTCCTGGTCTAGAAGGGCTCTTACTGTCTTTCTTCTGGAGCCTGGTGTTCCGGGGGGGCCTGGCCAGCCTCTTCTACCCTGTCAAATGAATAGACAGATGGGTTACAAGAATTACACAGCACTGACACATTTCCTCTTCAACATCAGCTTGTGCTCCACGGAGGGTGGATGGGTACCACACCAACTAGAGAGTTACCCTCCTTTTGGAGCGCGCCATATGACTCCACTGGTTATAAACTGTATGTCTATGCGGGTCATGAGGAACTGCGGGACATAATGCTAATGCATGGCTTCATCTGTTCATCACCGCCGTCTAACTTGTATTTGGGGTAGAAGTTATTGAGTATGTAAGTCAAACTACCCCCACTGGGTTGCCACAGACTGGCTAATTGAAGCATGCCCACGCGTTACGCTGGTTTGGATTTCTCCCTTCGGACTTCATGTTCTGTTCGGTTAACTTGTTTAGATTAACACTGTAAGTGAATAAAATCTCACAACACTCCTAACTCTTCCTGAAAGAGAAAATGAAGGAAAAATTATGAGTTTATAAGGAGAGGTGTGAGAGACTTACTTTTATCACTTAGTAAAAATGGCAGATAGCCTTTACTCGTTTATAACGTGGCAGGTTACATCGTAAGCAGACTGTTTGTCCCATTTTGTAGGTGACAAAATTGAGGTTTACAGAAAGTAGCCCAAGGCCACATAGCTGGTAGGGCACAGAGTACTGTACCAGGGCTTGGGCCTGTCCCCAAAGTAAAGTTCTTTCCACCTATCAGACCTCTCCTCACAAGTGGAGTTATCAAGGGAACTTCCTCATCAAGAAGATCCAGAGAAACACATTTCCCATATAATTATTTTTTTAAAGTCTGAAAAACAAGATGATCTAATTGTGATTTCTGAGCTTCCAGGAGATTAATCCCAAGAGACTTGCCTTGAGAGTATGGGCTATATAGATCTACTAGCTCTGTTTCTTTTTATCAGGTACTATGAATAATAGGATATCTTCTTAGAGTGTGTGACTTCTGGATCCCGGGAAGGCCAACAGCTCATTGGCTGGTTCCATCAGCTAGCCATGCATCTTAAGTTCGAGCTTAGCCATTTGCATTCATAAATGAAGACCTCAAAGGGAGGGCTTGGTGAAGCAAATCATCCCAAATTCTGAAGAACAAGCGTGTGTTTCTTGAGTCCTCGAGTAGCAGATAAGGAGGAGGAAAAGATATTTCTGCTCCTAAAATATTTTTTACTCTATCAAGTATGTCACATCATTACAAGTTCACTCTGAAATGCCCATGTCATTACTTGTCTTCCACGTTCTCCTTTCAAGCCCTTAGGTCCTTCTATGGTATTGTCAAATCCAGGAACTCCCTAAAAAACAGAAAATAGAAAAGTTTTGAACATTTCTCCTTAAAAATGTAATCGTGTATAACATAGTTACTCACTCCCCACCACCCCCCAAAAAAACTGACAAGAGAAGTCCAATCCATTTGAAAGCATAAACAGGAAAACATCATAAATGGTTTACACATGATTTCTTTTCCTCCTGTGCTCTGCATTATCAGAAGAGAGTGGGGACCTAAGGTGAGTGTGTAGGGGGAAAGCAGGAGCTCATCATAGAAGGTATAGCCAAGGGAGACAAGGGTGAAATGACTTGTGTTCATGACAATTCTCATTCTGGGTCTGGAGGTACCCCTTCTTGCTACTGCCCTCCTTTTTCTTCTTTTGTTCTTCTTTCCTGCAGTTTATGTAAGTCTATACTTGAGGGTTCGTAAATTTTTACTCTCCCTACTTTTGGGAGAAGGCAGGCTTTGTAATGGCTTCTCCCACAAGAACATAAGTACACTGAGGAACACTGAGGACTGTATCTGCCACACATTGCCTCTTTCTCCTCTTGGATGCCTGGTAAGCCTTCTAGCCCCATATGATCAATCCTACTTTTCTGGTTTTTAGAAAATTCTGGAATCTTGAATTTTCCCCAATATTCATACAGACATTCCAGCAGGAGCTCAGTGAAAACAGGCAGGTGTTGTGGGATATTATCCTTAGTAGGCCAAACTGAAAGCTTTCTATCTTGGGCAGTTAGGACCACCAATAGAGCAGTATCACCATGATGCGGGGACAATCAATTGAGTCAGTCGATTCAGTCAGTAAATGGAGAGGGAACAAGAATTATCCAGTCCTGCTGAGCGCCAGCTGCTGGGCTGTTTGGCTGATAGCAGCCCAGATTACCTTCATCAATCAATAAGTAATTTGAGATCACCAACAAGGAGGGGTCATTGCTCCAGATACTCAGAAAGATTTTAAACAAATAGTTTATACACTTACAGATTTTATAGGCTAAGAGAGTGAAAAAGAGGAGTTTAGAATTTACTTTATAACTAAGATTACCAGAATTTATGTGAAAAATTGCTTCTCTTCACCACATACCAAAGCTAAAGATTATATTCTACATTTTCTGTTTTTTTCTTTTTTACAAGTAGTTTATTGTCAAGTTGGTTTCCATATAACACCCAGTGCTCATCCCCTCAAGTGCCCCCTCTGTTTTATTTTTAAGTCTAAATATTTGTCTGTTAAGTTCTCCAAGCAAAGTATAACTTAATTACAATATTAGAGAATTGTATTTTGGTGAAAATAGGAAAAGGAAGGTGACATAAAGTCCAAAATTTTATTCCACTGCATGGAAAACAACTTATTGTGATCCAACTCCAAACTTTTTAATTGACGAGATGACATTTAAAAAGTCATACACTAGTACATTCCTAGTTTGCATGTGGTCCCATTGTTTGGTCAGTCTGAATATGATCTGTTCAGTCTTTCAGTCTCTTCCTATGCAACTGGACAAAGAGCACCATCTAATACAAATTTATGATATAACATAAATAATGATATGTTTTAGAATGATGAACCTCACTAAACTGTAGTTCAAATGATCTAGTTCAGTTTTCTCCCCAACATCACATGAGATTACAGGAGATTTCTTAAAATGGGAAATTCCCAACAGCCAAACTAGCTTTCATTTGATCAGAAGTTCTGACTGGATAAGCACAGATTTTAAGGAATTTGTGCCATTTGTACGCATTCTATGAATAATCTGATCATATGTGGATTCTATATATCCAATCTTGCTCTCCCAAATTTTCCTGAAATAGTAACCCCCAAAAGAGGGTGCAAAGGCTCAGAGAGTGGTCTTCAACTTGAAATTCCCAAGTGGCTAGGAAGAATTGCCACGCATTAAAAACTATCTAAAATTACTATAGTGGCAAACAGCATATCAGAGGAGTTCTAGAGGGTTGAATTTTCAGCCATCTCTAAGTCACTAAACATTAAAAAAAAATAAAAACTTTGACATTATTCAGATTCTTTAGAAAGTCTTAGTAATCAAACAGACAATTTAGCCATTAGGGGGGTTCTGATCAAAGTGAATGGCAGTTTTATAGCAATATCCCAAGTGAATTTTTGGCCATTATATATAGATGACTGAAAGGTCTTTGCATTTCAACTAGTATTTCTTATTATTTTTATTTATGTATAGTTTTTTTTATTTTTAATTACATACTCTGAAGCTGTTTCAAAACTCTCAAGGTTATCAAACCATTATCAGAAGATATCACTTAATAAACAACGTTGTCTTCATGTGTAAACTCCTCCACTTTTTGAATAGTTATCCTCAATGTATAGCATTTATATTTCTCAATATATATCACTAAATTTTTTCTCTGATCAATCCATGGTCTTTAATAATTCCTCCCCTAGTATACAAAGTCCTGTGGGAATGCCCCACATCCTTACCAGCACTTGCTGTCATCAGTTTTTTAAAAGTTTAGCCATTCTGATGCATGTGTAATATGCATGCTATGGTACATTGCTGGTGAGAGTGTGAATTAGTATGAAGTTTTTTGAAAACTGGCTTAAAAGGCTGAAGCTTATTACAGGTACATTCATTCATCAAGCTGTGCACTTATAATTTGTGTACTTTTCTGATGTTATAGCTCTCAAAACTAAGTTCTAGAGATCCAATGCCCCACACAGTGATGACAGACACCAACATTGTATCATATGCTTCAAAACTGCTAAGAGACTAGACCTTAAAAGTTCTCATCACAAAAGAAGAAATGATAATTATTTGACATGATACCCTACGGTGGTAATCATATTGCAATATATAAATATATCAAATCAATACCTTATGATACCTTAAATTTACACAAAGTTCTATGCCAATTCTATCTCAATAAAAGGGTTTAATAAAAATTTAAAAACAAACCTAAATCCTAATTCATTAAGGCTTTGGAGACTTACTTATGCGTGGGTGGGGGGATGAAAATCCTATAGTACTGACGTTCCCCCAGACTTGGCATATCCCCTACATTGGTGTGGGTCCGGCCTGTTCAGCCGGGTTGTATCCAAGAGAGCAGGTACCTTTGGGTCATAAGTTTAGCCAAATACAGTCTTAGCTGGCTTGGATTCAAGAAAATTAAGCTCATATTTCTCACTTGAGAGAGACTCTTGAAGAATGGAAGAAGAGAGATGACTTTATTTCTTCCATCCTAACCATATTGTGAGATACTCAGAAGAAAAGAACTGGAATTCTCCGATGGCTCTGAAGCACAAAAACAATTCTGAATATGTATTCTCAAAAAAATACAGGCACAGATGATGGTCAGGGCCTTCTCACTGTCCACGTTCATCCCACATACAGCACACAGGAACTGCTTTTGAGTTCTACAACAGTTGTACTTGCAGTGATTTAAACTCAAGATTGTTATTGTAGTATCTTAAAGTGGGTCTGTCTCCTTATCAGAAGCTGATGGGAACTAAGCCCTGTTTAGCTCACAGCCCATGCAGCCCCCGCACTTACAGGGTCTCCTCGCTGGCCCTTTGCACCTCGGTCACCAGAAACCCCTCGCTTTCCCGGGCTTCCCTAAAGGTAATACAAATCAGAAGAAGAGTAAGACAGCACTTTTTAATAACATTAGTAAAAACAAAGAGCTTCTCCTGTCCCTGATTTGAATAACTAAATATTTTTCTACTAAAGTTATTTCTAAACTGGACAGAGAGACAACCCCAAAATAGTTTCAGGCATCATATAAATAATTTAAGAGTGACCTCAAGGGGCACCTGGGTGTCTCAGTTGGTTAAGCGTCCAACTTTAGCCCAGGTCACGATCTCACAGTTTGAGTTCGAGCCCTGAATCGGGCTCTGTGCCAACAGCTCAGAGCCTGGAGCCTGCTTCAGATCTGTCTCTCCCCCTCTCTCTCTGCCCCTCCCCAGTTCACACTATGTGTCTGTCTCTCTCTTTCAAAAATAAATTAGTGTTTAAAAAAATAAAACTCTTGTTTAAAAAAAATTACAAGAGTGACCTCAATTATTTACCACAGTAATGAAGTCTGTGTTCCAGACACATTTGTTGTCTTCTTTAGTTTTTACAGCTACTTTTGAATGAGGTATTGTTTATATCTTTTTTTTAATGAAACGGCTGAGATTTAGAGAGATTATCAATTTTCCCCAAAGTGGTTATATCAGCTAGAAACTGGGTTCCTGACTCAGCTACTCATACCCTAATGCCAGATAAAGTAGATGATGGAAGTACGGCAGCTGTTGGTGTCTGTTTTAGATGAAAAGGAGTGGCACACACTTTCAATGTGCTCTGCACCACAGATCCTTGTCAACACCCTGTTACCATTCTTAGTGTGGTAGCTGTTCTCCATTAATGGTGCCAATTTGTCACTCCTGTCTGTATCTATGCCCCTTTGCCATGTAACTCTCTAATGCTTTCCAACTGTGGTGCGGCAAGAATCCCTACTCCTGGGTTTGGCCATGACTTAATCTGAGTTCCAAGTCTAGGCCTCAAGAAAACTTGTGTATTTCCCCTTGCTCCCTTGTGTGCCTTCCATGGACACAGAAAGGTTATGGCTAACATAGCCAGGCAGTGCTCTCTGGTCCCAGGAGAAGGATCACAGACATGAGGAACAAAGCCAGCCCACAACACACGAAACAAAGGCAGCCACATGCATGTACTGTTGCATGCAACTGACATTTTGTAATTGTCACAAAGGACTTTTGTGGCACTAGCTGAATGATACATTTAGGGTAGCTGTCCTACTCTGTTAGTCACACCTTTAATTGCCAGGACAGTTTTCAGGTGGTCTTTTTATTAAATCCCTACCTGGGATCCTTCATCACCCTTTTCTCCTTTTTCTCCGGGAGGACCACTTTCGCCCTACAACAGAGGGATAAACTCAGATTTCTGTTTTCTTAATGATAAATAGCTCAGAGGGGTCTTTATGGGATAAAGAGGAGGCTCTACCTGTTCTCCATTCAATCCACCAATTCCACTTTCTCCAACTTCTCCCTGAAAAGTAGGATGTGATCAGAATAGAGTATATTTCATTATGTGGAAACAAGTCAGACACCAAACAAAAGTCTAGTTTTGTCTTTCATATACAGCGTGGTCCTGGGCAATAACAAAGATTACTGAGTAGTATAAACTGTGAACAGGGGCACCTGGGTGGCTCAGTTGGTTGAGCATCCAACTCTTGATAATAGCTCAGGTCATAATCTCACGTTCGTGGGCTCCATGCTGAGCAGGGAGTCTGCTTGGAATTCTCTCTCCCTTCCTCTCTGCACCTTCCCCACTTGTATATGAACACTCTCTAAATCAATAAATAAGCAATCAAACTTTAAATTTTTTTTTAAAAAAAGAAAGGAAATGAACAAATAAGACACATTGCTTGTATTAAAAGATGGGAATAGACACAATCAAATGGCTGGCAGTAAGAAAGGAAGATCATTTGTATGATCTACTGGTCAGTAGTCTCAAAAATAAAAATATTTCTAGATACCAGATGGGCAGATAAATGGATATGTTGGGCACCATACCTCCTGTCCATTTAGTCCCCTGTTTCCCTGAAAACAGAAAAGACAGTGGTGGTTAGTGGAGGAGAATGGAATTAATGCTGGGAAGACTTCACAATGTCCTATGCAACCCTTACCTTTGGACCTTTGGCACCATAGCATCCTTTAGTACCTTGCTCCCCTACTGGTCCACTGGCTCCTCTTTCTCCCTGAGAAAGAGGACATATCTAGATAAGCTTTTTCCATTGTAGTCTGGATTCTGTCTTAGATATTTTACAAGTTTTGTGTTGGAAAAAAAAAGTATAACTGTTCATGGTTTACAGTCCAGAATTCATGCTTATTAAAGCTGAGAATGTAAGAAAATCAGAACTACTCAGATGACATCCCTTTGCTTTGGATCCCACCTGGATACTGCCCTGGGTGGGGTGGTATCTAAATAAAACAGACATACAAACAACCGGCAGCTAAAATGTATTCTCAAAATTTCAGGAGATAGTCCAGGAACAGATGATGAAGAATCAGTGAGGCACCAGAGAGAGATGCGCTGGGTATGATGTAAGCAAGATCCAAGCATGATTTCTAGTCCAAAATCCATCTCTTACTTTTTCTTTCTTTAATCAAATATGATTCCTGCAATGCTGGTCTTGGTAACCTTACTCATCTGTGAGGTCTTGTGATGTGGAAACGAGGTCATCCTCTGCTTTTCTCTCCCCAGGTCACTAAATTCCATACATTTAATATGCTTAACATATCCACTCATCCTGCCCCCTAAACTAAGAATAGTACTCCTTTGTCTTGCACCTACTACTGCAAGACTTCTACCTGTAACCCTTACCTTGTTAGCCTCTACACCATTGCCTGAGTATGCTTTCTAAAGCCATGCCCCACCATTTTTACTCCTGTGCTTAATATCATCCAATGACTGTTCATCAACTGGAAGATACCATCCAGATCTTCTGCAGGATATTCAAGCTTCCCAAAAATTTGGGTCCTGCTTGCCACCTAACATCCTCTCACTGTGTCTTGGGTTCCAGCCACGTGCTGTTCTACCCACATTTGATTCTCTGACTCAGTCCTATGGCCTTGAACACATTGTTGTCTCTCTAGTAACATCTTCTTCCCCACACACTTTGCCTGAAGAAACATCTACTTGTCCTTCAGAAGTCTCCCTAAGCATTACCTCTAGCAGCCTTCCTCTCCCGAGACTCAACTGTTACCAAGGCTGTTAAGTATTTGTTCTGCCATGCTTTGTCACAATGCACCTCATTATACCTTTAATATAGTCTTTGTGTATAACAACTGGAAACACGATGGTCTCATTTGTCTTTCCACAGTCTGAAGTTACCTGAGATAGGAATTATATTTTTTCTTTTATTTATTTGTATTTATTTCTAGGGTCTAGCACTGTGCTTGAAGCATGGTAGAATGCCTTTGCATATATTTGTTAAATGAATACATGAAGGGATAAGTTCATTTATGAGTGAGGTCTTTGATAAATAATGTGACAAATGGTAAGATGCTCAACACATAATTGTTAAATGAATGAATGGATAGAAGGAAGGAAGAAAGTGATGGTTAGATGGATGGATGCAAGAAAGAGTGGAGGTCCTTGATAAACAATGTGGGGAGTTCGTTTACCTGTGCAAAATGGATCAGGAAGAGGGAAATGGCAGTGATTTGAGTCCCCTGGTGAAGAAAATAACTTTCGCACTGAGTTCATTGTGCAGCATTGGCGAACAGTCAAAGAGGAGACAGTCGGTTAATCAACCATTATTGACCATCAGAAGCAAAGCCCGATGAGGATTAGGAAAGACCTCAGACTTTGTACATGAATTCGTAGACTCTGACTTTTCCTTTTTCCCTCTGAATTAACACAAATGATTTCCTATTGTAGATATGTTCTCAGGAATAAATAGAGGCGAGAAAAACCTCAACTTACAGCAATGCCTTCCTCTCCCAAGTAGCCCTCACTGCCTTTAAATCCTGGGGATCCCTGGAATAAGGAAAGGAAGAACGCATTAGCATTCCACAGGCCAAACACCAGAGGTAATCAAGCAAAAATATTTAACTTTAGTTTCACCTTATGTTGAGCTGTAGGAATTTGGGGGAAAAAAAACACAGTCCTCTCTCCACAACCTAGGCTGTACTTATGCACATAAAAATAAGTGTAGTTTTGGGGTGCCTGGGTGGCTCAGTAAGTTAAGTGACCAACTCTTGCTTTTGGTTCAGGTCATGATCTCATGGTTCATGATATTGAACTGTCAGCGCAGAGCCTGCTTGGTAGCCTCTCTCTTCCTCTCTCTGCTTCTCCCCAGCTTATGCACACTCTCTCTCAAAATAAATTTAAAAAAGTGTTTTTAAATGTAGTTTTGAAACAACTATGCAGATAATTCAAGTGTGTGTGCACTTGTGGATTATAATATTGTCCATAACTCTCTCTGGGGTATATATAGTGCTGGAATTTTTTTTATCAAACGTTCAAGTGCGCACAGCTATATTTGCTCTTGACAGACTAGAATTATCCTCTTTTCATTAAAAAAATCCTTTTTTAGGGTTTATGCTACACATTGAGAAGTAGACCACACACATTTGTTTTCATTCTTTCTGAGCCTTGCTTTAAAAAAATCTGCCATTCTCCTTACATGAAGTTGAAGCATTCAGGAAATAGTCTGAAAACTTTATTCAGAGACACAAACATGTTGATTTGGGAGTTACAGTGCCATCTATAAATTGTTCACAAATCAAACACACATGTTAAGGAGTACTGAACTCATTATTAAACACATCCATAGTATGTTTGTTTGTACGTGTTTTAACATTTCCTAAATCCCAAATCATATTTTTTATGAATACATACATCTTTTTTAGTTAGGAAATACATGAATCTATTGTTGGTTACTGTTTTATAATTGGCACGTTTATGTATACATCTGTGACATTTTTGGTCTAGTTAAAGCTGACTGAAACATCGCCACATCTCTTGCTAGGCTAGGGTGCTCTGACCTAATTTTGTTTTCAGCAGACTATCCCAAATATTCCCCACTTCATTTATAGGACCTCTAGTCATTAAAATGGAAATTGAAATGGTGCTGATATTCAGGAGGTTTTCATTAGTCAACTCAGATCACAGTTGATTTCTCTGTGTCATTGTCATCACTGCTGAACACTGGGTAATCAAGAATCATGGCAGTCATTCCTCCTGACACTTGTATAGAAAGTTTTTTAGAAGACTCCAATTTAGTCATGGCTTTTCCTTGGCATTCTATGTAATTTCACATAGAATATGAGGACTATCATAAATGGTTACTTCACAGGCCTTATCTGATAACATCATCCTTCGTTTCTACCTAAATCCATGTTTTTCAGACATACAGCATTCAAATCAAGTGCACCGTAAATCTTAATTAAAATCACCTTTTTGCCTGGTGGTCCAGGATCTCCCATTGTGCCATCCCCTCCAATGCACTTGCAGAATAAACAGCAGCATGTCCTCTCAGCAACATTAACCTTGGTGGAGGGTAAGGAGTACATTACACTTGAGGCACCGCTTCCCAATCACACATACCAGCTCAGCAGTTCATTCAGGCTTCTACCACAATTTCAGAAGCCCAGTTGCCATTAAAGAGACCGTGCTCCAGAGAGTGAAGGAGACATTCTTTAGATGCTATCCTTCCTTCTGTGGGCTGCGTTTTCTACCACATGAGGACTTCAGAATCAGATCAAAGTGGTTTTTGTGCTCTCAAAATGCTATTAGTTTAGCCATGGCCAACTCACTGCATACTAATGTCCTGTTCCCACCCCATCCCAGAATTGACCATATGGTGTTGATTACTTTACATCATTTTGCCCCCAATATTTTGTTCAACGAAATGAATGCTGCTTGCTCCTTTTCCTGTTGTGTGACATCTTTGCATGTTAGAGGATTTAGACAGTGTCCAATGTCCTATTGCTTGGAATGGAGTCCAATGGTAAACATTTTCAGAAAAGTCTGTGTGTGACAGGATTTCTAAAACACCAATCACACATTCAACATTTCCACAACACTTGATGTAAAGGATGGGGACACGAGGAAAAGATTCCTCTTTATATTTTAACCAGGCTGAAAAAAACATTACAGATTTTAAAATGTCAGGAAATTTTATCCTGAACATTGTCATCCTCTGAAAAATTGGCATATTTCACTGCATTTTTATAACCCATAACATTAATTTTTAGGAAAATTCAGTTTGCAGTAAACACCATGCTTGGCCTTAGTGGGGTTGAATCAATCTTTGTGTTGAGAAGTTTCCCATCAAAATTCTAGTGTGATGAAAAATAAAAAGTGTTGTTAGAACCATTTAGCAATTGTGCTTCTGTAGTTATTATTATATAATGCTCCTTTTCAGCTATTAGAAAAAAATTTCTCTACAGGGGTCTGGGTGGCTCATCTGGTTAAGTGCCGACTCTTGATTTCAGCTCAGGTCATGATCTCATGGTTGTGGGACCAAGCCCCATGTTGGGCTCCATGATGCCAGTACAGAGCACGGGGTGGGGAGGGAGCAGAGGGAGAGACACAAAGAATCCCAAGCATGTTCCACATTTAGTTGCAGAGCTCAAGGCGGGGCCAATCCCATGACCCTGGGATCATGACTTGAGCTGAAATCAAGACTCAGATGCTCAACCAACTGAGCCACCCAGGTGCCCCTCTGTGTTCCTGAAATGAGTATTTTTACATAATTTCTACACTGAACAAACTGTGTTTAAACACCTTTTTGTATGCAAATTCTATAGGTGGAAAACAGCAGGAGCTAGCATGTTATTGGAAAGTGTCTTGATGTGATCATAGATTTTATAAATCACCAGTGAATCAAATTATTAGCCTATCATTAAGATGAAAGTGGTGCCATGTAACTTGGTAACTTCCCTCTAGTTTGAGTTCGTGTCCATTTCTGAAAGGAGCATGACTGGAATGCACCTCACATCGACGTTAGATTCTAAAAAAAAGTTCACAAGGCAAACATCTCAGTGAAGACACTGAAAAAGATCACACAAACAGGACAACATAGAAGGGCCCATCATCAGATCATTTGTTCCTCCTCCAACATTGAAGCCGGTTGCTTTCTTTGGTTGAAGTCCAAGTGCAATGGATTCTCCTTTACAAGTCATGTTGCAGGGAAAATACACATCTTAAACACTAGACATACTCACTGTGGTAAGCTGGGACACTTAGGATCCACACGGGACATGAACACTGGCTGGCTGAGGGAGCAGAGGATTCACCCTCTCACCTCCGATTTCCTCTGGCACTTTTGTTCAATGACAGTAATTCGGGCAGGACTGTAAGTGCTATTCAGTTTCTTTTTCCTTCTTTTTTTGCTGTATTAATTAAACTTGCTTTGACAGATCTCTATCATTTTTTTCAAAACGCCCTCTTATTTAGGTTGTTCACTATTTCAGAATAGCTTTTTTCACTCTCAAGTGAAATTCAGAAGCATAAATACTCAATCTATATACAAAACAGAAAATTTAAACTCACCAGCCTTTTCTGAATAACTTACCAGTTGCTTTGACAGTCGGCTCCCAAGGTCCCTCATTCCAATAGTGAGCTGGGTCCTATACTCGAACCCTTTCCCGAATTCGATGTAGAGAAGATCGGCTAGGTCACTTGTGTCACTGGCTCCGTCCAGAGCAACAGTTATGAGTGCATTCAGGCCTATTCAACACAGTTTACTCCAGGTGAGGTGGGTTTGGTTATTTTAATCTTTTTGCATAAGTACCTAAATTGTTATATTAGGAAAACAGTTGCAAGAGGAACACTCATTTTATTGTCAACTTCCCCCAACCACACAATGTAAAACTGACAAGTGACCAGACTATCATCAGAACAAAAGGAATTGCATTTTTCAAAACTAATTAAACTGGAGACAGGATATTACAGTAGAACTTCCAGTTCCTCCATGATTTGAAGTGAGATATAGTGATTTAAAAAGGGTCCAAAGAAAAAAATAAAATAAAATAAAATAAAAATAAAAAAAATAAAAAGGGTCCAAAGAGCATACTAGGACACACAGGAATTCATATATCAAAAAACAAGTGTTGTAAATTTTTGCCATTCAAAGGGAGATCCTTCAACAGCAGGACTTGCATCACCTGGGAACTTATCAGAAATATAGAATTTCAGGCCCCATCCCAGATAGAATCAGAATCTGTACTTTAATAAAATCGCCACATGATTTATAGACACATTAAGGTTTGAGAAGCACAGCTATAATGACCTCATAAGGAATCAATAATCCAGTTGGAATTATAATAAGTAAAAGACTGTAAGACAGTAAGAGACCTCTTGTCAGGCAATTAGAAACAAATGACATAATCATCCAGAGATATAGATCATAAGCTTTGGAATTTTATAGACCAGAAGATTTCAAAGAAAACTTTCAGGGACAGAATATTAATTAATACAAACATGAAATGATAAAGTATTGATTGATATAACCATGAAATGTTAATGGTAATAACCTTGGCAATTGTTATGATGGAGGTAACCATAGTAACTACTGTGCTCTCATTTATTAATAGTTATTATGTGTCTGGAAGTTGGTTAAGTGCTTTCCATGCATGATCTTGCTTGTAAGATACAAATACAACTGTATGGGTATGTAGGATTACGGCTGTATTTTACAGACAAGTGAAATGATGCTTGGAGAAGTTAAATGACTGGCACAAGTGATATTTTTAGGTTTCTGCGTGGAAAATCCGATTCCAAAACCTACAATCAAAGGATATTTTAATAACAAAAACATACTAAGGACATAATCAGAGTAAAGAGCAATCCTAAAATTGAACAAGCTTCGCTTTATGAAAACCTGACTCCACTGGACTAAGTTTTCTCATTTCATTATGGATGGGTGAAGAATTCTTTAGATAGGACTTGGAACCCAATGAACTAGAAAAAGGAAATGTTCATGCACCTGAGGGTTTAGAATGCCTTCTTAGTGTATATATGATTCCGAATTATTCTTAATGAGAAGAGGAGAATGAAGAGAACAAAGTTTCAGGGACATGCTGGGGAGGCTTAAGTTATAGGAGAGGAAAGCAGAGTGGAAGGAAGAAAGAAACACCAAAGAATAGGGTGATGAAGTCATCCTGATTTGCCTGGACTTTCCTGGTTTTGGTGTTGACATCTCTGGCTTGTCTCAAACAAACAAACAAACAAACAAGGCATTAACTACTCTTCCAAGAATGAGAATGACAAGGAGAAAAGAATTGGTGGAGTGGGCTGGGATTGACAATGAGGAATGGTGAGTTCAAGAGAGTTTAATGAACAAGAGAAGGCATGCTAATGGATCTAGTTACAAGGGAGAGAAATTTTCTGATAAGTTCCAGGAAATATAAAAATTTAAGAGTTATGAGAACCATGGGATTGTTGATTTGCAGGAAGTATGCATGTAACTATTATTTGTAACTGTTTTTCTCAGGATGGAAGACTCCAATCCTGCTCCTTTCAGACCCATCTAATAACAAGTCAGATGATCTTGGGGAACCTGGGTGGCTCAGTTGGTTCAGCATCCAACTTCAGCTCAGGTCATGATCTCAAGGTTCATGAATTCAAGCCTCGTGTCGGGCTCTGTGCTGACAGCTCAGAGCCTGGAGCCCACTTCAGATTCTGTGTCTACATCTCTCTCTGCCCCTCCCCCATTTAGGCTCTGTCTCTGTCTCTGCCTCTTAAAAATGAACAAGCATTAAAAAGTTTAAGAAGAAGTCAGATGATGGGGCGCCTGGGTGGCTTAGTCGGTTAAGCGTCCGACTTTCGCTTAGGTCATGATCTTGTGGTTCGTGGGTTCGAGCCCCACATCGGGCTCTGTGCTAACTGCCAGCTCAGAGCCTGGAGCCTGTTTCAGTCTGTGACTCCCTCTCTCTCTGACCCTCCCCTGCTCATGCTGTCTCTCTCTCTCTCCTAGAAATAAATACAAAACATTAAAAAAAAAATTAAAAAAAAAAAAAGAAGTCAGATGATCTTAAATACAATTTCTAAAAATAAGTTCAAGAAGAAAAGATTACAAAACCTGCAAGAATAAAAGAATCCCTAGGAAGACTCTAGAGCACTAGATTTTAAAAAATTAAATTCAAACTCCAGTCCATACGGATTAGTTATAAAGCCACATCTACCTTTGAGGATCCTTTTCTCTTGGTCTCCTCTTGTTTCATGATAATTGCACAGTTTATATATATATATAGATACCTGGCCTCAAATTGGGAGGCTTTCCTAGGTCAATAGATCATGGGGCCAAACATCACCTGAAATCATACATGTTTCAATGTGGGAAGACAGAACTAAAGATAGTCTTTATCCATATTGAGAGCCATTTAACACTTTTCAAAGAGCATTATGGTCATCATCCCCTTATCTCTCCCATTCAAAGATTATGAGGGATATTAAAAATCTAGCCTATGAAGTTGAAGGTCATTTATTAGTTTTTCCTTGGGAGTTGGGAGAAAGAAGGTTGGTCTTAGAAATCTGGGTTTTCTGAGGGAAACTTCATGGAGAAAACTCTTATGTTGTCTGCAAAAGATATATCTTTTCCCCATAAAAGAAAAGCTGAAATTTAAAAAACCTACCCACCCACACTAAGCACTCTAGGGTCTTATTCTCAGTCTTCACTAATATCTCCACTACAGATCAAAAAAAAAGAAAAAAAAGTCAAAGACTTGAAAGAATAAAAAAGAAAGCAGCTTTAGCAAATAAAGGGGATTATTTTCCAGCTGTAAATTCAGTTAAGTTTGCAATCTGTTTAAGATTGAAAAGAGAGAACCAAACAAAAAAGATAAAATTAACCCAGCTTGTATCAACTGGGGAGCAGCCTAAGCAGCTGTCTTAGGCCAGGTTCCCCTGAATAGGCTGAGATGGGGATTTGGATGCATACATTTATTGTGGAAGCATTCTTAGAAGAATGGGGTGAAGAAAGCAAGACAGGGCAGGAGAAAGAGCTGAGCTTGACAGTGTTTCAGCTGAAGACTAGCTTCACTAAGGTCCCATGGAGAACTCTTGAACATAAATTACACCACAGAACTGGTGCCATTTTGAGGTAAAAGTCCAACTCTTTGTACTCTACTTACTGCATAGAGGTGGAGTGGGGAGTAACCTTCCAGTGGCTTCCACTGGCCAACAGCAATTCTTCAGAGAGAGAAGAACCTGTGAGTTTCTAGCAGCCAATAATCACAACAGCTGGAAGATGGGGGAATCTGCTTGGAAAGGGGGTCTGGGTGGGGCACCAATAGCATCCACTTACAGGAAAATCTTTCTGTTCTTAGTCAAACCAAAACATGTGGATGCATTTTTCTTCCACTGATCCATTTTTTAGTAAGAACTGACAATAAGTCTGGGCATAGGTTCCCAAAATGAAAAGCCCAGTGCCAGTGCTTTAAAAACTCATAAGCACCATGGTTGGTCCATCTGTGGTCTGAAGGAAGGAACTAATTAGGAAGCTCAAAAACATGAGTAGACTTATCCAACAATGCATGCAGTTCAGGAAACTTTAACAGTGTCAGAAGAAAATAATCCAACTCTCCTATTTCTTGGTCAAGAAGAAATACACTGTTCACTTCTGCAGACACCAAGGCAGACAGGAATATTCTCCAGGAAAGCTCAGGAAGAAGAAACACAGTGATACAAGAAAAAGGATATGACTTTGTGTTCAGTGCTGTTTCACATGCATAGTGTATGAAGAAAAAAGTAGATTCCAAAATGTTTTGAGGCTCATTTGTTATACCAAGTGCATACTGGCTGGCAAATTCAAGGTTATTTGAGTGCTTGAAAACTTAAGAGCCAGAATTGAGTTCTGAGGTTATAAAGTCATTAAATACTCCTTTCCCACTCCTCCCCATGCTCAATACCTTCTTTTCTCAGTTCATCAGATTTTTGTTCGAGCTTTTCAATGTCATCATCCAATCCATCTGAAAATAAGAGAACCACCTAGGAAAGCATTCAAAAAGAAAAATAAGTAAAAAGGATGTCATTGAAACCACAGATTGACAAATAAAATAAAATCAGGTTACCTTTCCTCGAGCAGCTGATTTATTCTGAAATGCATCCCACAGAGAACTCAAGAGGTTTGCGTTGAGAAGAGATGGTCCTCTAACTGTTATGTCCTTCAAACTGTTCAGTATGTTTTCACTATAGATCTCAAATTTTGGAGAATATTTTTCCATGGCATTGGTCACTTGAAAAGCCACACTAACCTGAGTCTCTGTGCCCACCTCACAGCTTACCCCATTGAGGGAGCTGATGGCACGTAAGAGGTCTTGAAGGTAGGTTTCTATCCAAGGCTGACCTTCGAGCAAAGTCTGCCCATTCTCATGAGTTGAGATGTCAAATCCGACCACAACATCCACAAAACAATCTAGGGTTCAAGGGAAAAGTATATCTTATTAGCTCAACAAATACCTTTATTTGGCTTGGATGCCATGTCTGAATCAAGTACTTGAAATTCCTATTCCTATTCCAGTTACAAAGCTGGAAAGCAAGGAAGAACATGAATGAATAGAGAAAGAGGCTTAGAATCACCTGTAAAAGTATATAGACTTTTTTTTTTTGGTGGTATAAAATCTAGGTGATTTTATAACAAAGTTCTGAAAGACTTCATTTATGGCTGCTGAAGAAGCCATGCAAGATCACCTAAATGTCTAAAATTATATGTGGAAATGTTAGTAGTTTAAAATAGGAAATCCATATCATGCTACTTACTAAGTAAGGTCATTCAACAAGTCTTAACTATAAGGAAAATACAAAAATTTGAACAGTCATTTAGAAAAACTAAATCATGAAGGATTTAGCTAAAGTGATGACTATGATGATTTCTCTCTCTAAAAAGAATCGTTGATTCTCCTTTTTGTCTTCTAACATCCACTCAGAAAGGAAAAAGTAAAGAAGAAAAACTCCAAGAGATCCTTTGGGATCTTGCTTAGTTTATGTCAAAGATGGTGTTGCCTTCAAATCTCAGGCAGTCAGGAAGCTGAAGCCTTTGCCATTCGGGCATTCGAAAAATACTTAGAGAGGTTTTGCATTTAGAGTGCTTTGCTCTTATCCCTATTAAGGCCAGGGACATGTAAGCATTGGAGAAGGGACTTGATAATTTAATAAATAAAGTTTATTGATTGATTGACCAATGGTGAGATCATGACCTAAGCCAAAATCAAGAGTCAGACACTTAACCAACTAAACTACCCAGGCACCCCAGGACTTGATAATTTAAACTAAGCTTCTGAAAGGGAAGATAAAGAAGGATAAAGTCAAATGACATCTGCACTCTTCTTTCCAGAACTTCAGCCTTCCACAACTTCAACATTTTCCAGCCAATTCAGCTGGATACAAATTCAGCGAATTTTACCAGCTTGCTTGGTTTAAAAAAAGAAAGATGGGAGGGAATGTTTATTTTTAATTTGCTTTGTTCAGATAAGTAGTTTTTCAGATATTTGTTGTGTGGACAAATGCCCACCCACACTACCTCTAGACACACCGGTCAGTTGCACATTGCAAGTGTTTTAAATCAAACTGTCATTTTCAAATCTTTTTTAATTTTTTTTTTATTTCTAGGAGAGATAGAAAGAGAGTGTGAGCAGGGGAGGGTCAGAGAGAGAGGGAGTCACAGACTGAAACAGGCTCCAGGCTCTGAGCTGGCAGTCAGCACAGAGCCCGACGCGGGGCTCGAACCCACGAACTGCGAGATCATGAGCTAAGCGAAAGTCGGAAGCTTAACCGACTAAGCCACCCAGGCGCCCCATCATTTTCAAATCTTAAAATAAGGGTCAGTAACCTTGATTCAGTTTTATCCCACTCCCTTGTATCCTTATTCATGTTTAATGAGAAAAGATTTGGGTGAGAGGAAAATAAAAGCCTTATTTGGCCATCAATTCTCACCATGACATTTGAGGTAAATCACTATTATCAAAAAATCCGAAAGGTGGGTTTTCTTCAGTTTTTATTTATTGCTTATTTTGCTTATTGGAAAATCTCTTCTCCAATATTTACAAAGGGAGGTAAGGAAAGAAACTCGTCAAAAAAGAAGAATCAGAATGCATCCTTTCCAAAATCCCTCTTGAATCAATATCATTTCTATCTTGAGATGGCAAGTTTCTCTCTTGGATGAACATTGTTTTAACCCCTAACAGAAAACCATTCAGTAATCCAAACAGATTACAGCTTTCAAGGAAAGCAGTCTCTCTTGAAAAAACAAACATTGGCAGAAATGCCCAAATGTCACTGAATGACCCTGGGAACTGTCCCCTCTAAAAATTAAGTGTTTTAACCTTTTGTCTAGATTACTGAAAGTACAGACTCTAGTAAATAAGTTCCTTGTGTTTATTTAACTAATTCAAGTTGCCAAATGATTCCATTATAATGAGATCAATGGAATGGAATTTGAGGAACAAGTCCAGAGTTGGCAGCCATGTGCCTAAATAGAATTAGAGAGATGAGGCCATACTAATCAAATGGGTTCACATGGAAGGAAGGGCCTTACCAAGCCTACAGAGGCACTGGCCCTCAAATCAGGAGCCCTCAGAACGAACAAGAGGCAGAAATGGTTTGGGAAAGAGAAATAAGGAAGGGTTAATTTAAGATAGGAGGGAGGGGTATCGATAAGTGGCAATAAATGCAGGGCAAGTGAGGAAGGGAGCCCACAGGACTGGCTATGGAGGGAAATAACAAGGAAAAACAAAACTTATGTTTTGGACATCCTCACAAACCAGTGTGGAAGCCTGGAAGGGGGAGGCCATTAAGTGGGAAGGCCAATGTTACTTTGAGTCATGGACTGGTCACAACTCTGTTACTGTTAAATAATTTCTGGCAAATCTCTTAACCTTTTCAGGCACTAATTTTCTTGTTTATAAAAATAAGATTATGCATTCCAAAATAAAAATACAAAGAACAGAAAAGTGGAGACTGGGCTCAATAGGTAGTCTTAACAGTTCCCTGCCAGACCTAAAAGCTGATTTTAATTATCTGACTCATAAAGTCCATAATTGGAGTTGATGGCAGACTCTCAGTATTAAGAAATACTGTCAAGAAGGTAGGATATATCAATAAGACTGGAAAACAATTCTTAAATATTTTAAAGGGAGAAAGTTAGGCTATTAGCAGTTATTGGTTGGGGTAAGAAAGAAATTTGTTTGGGGCCTTTGAAAGAAGAGGTAGCTTAGATGAAAAAAGAATGATCTAGAAAATAGGTAGTCCATTGGATAGTCTCAGCTTCCACTTTCACCTGGTCTCCCAACAGTGTATGGCGGAGGGGAAGGCTTTGACACGGCCTCCCTCATCCTCAGTGGAGGAGGGCCATGGTGACTCTGGTTCCATGTCCAACTCAACTGAAGTCACAGGAACTCTGGCTCCTTCCAACACTTACTGCCACAGATATAATTCATTGTGGGTCCTGTGTCTGGTTTCCCTAACAGGCTGGATAACACAACACAGTAGGGTGGGAGAATTAACTCTCCTTGAGAGTAACTCTGATCAATCAAAGGCAGTTGTTGAGAAGAAACTGGCAGACAGATCCTCTTCTTTATTCCCCGATGGACCCATTTTGTGGTTGTTCCATACAGCTTCTTTGGTGATATTCTGCATGACTAATGTATCAATCATGGTTTCTTAAGAAGCTGCACAAGCTTAGGAACATACCATCTTGTATTCACATTCTGTCCTTTCCTAAATCATTTCCCTTACACTCACTCTTGCTTCCCTGGGATTGTACTCCCAAAGTATTAGCACATAAAGCATTAGCATATAAACTCTGCTTTGAGCTCCATATTCTACAGAACCCAATTAAGACAGAAACCTAAAGATACCTGGTCAAGGAAAGTTGGAAATGATCATCCATTTTTGTCTGTACATTTCTCACATTCCTTGAATCAAATCCTCATTTTAATCAGACTACCCTCTCATTTAACTTTCCTTTTTGACTAATTTATCCATGGTGATGCGAATTATAAGAGGTGCCATTGATTCTTCTGCTACCTAATCATGGCTCCATGAAAAAGGGAGCCTTTCCATATCATGAATGCTGCCTGATATCTCCTCTACATGGTCAGAATAGTCAGGCTCAAAGAAAAATCAGGAAAACAAGCATGAAGGTAAGAAAATAGACTTTGGAGTTTGGTTGCTTATGGGAATTTGTTGTATATTGAGACATGAAATTTGAATATAAATGTAAACAGTTGCAAAAATATTAACATTCCTAAACCAAGGAACTCTTGGTAAATTGTACTTCTGTGAACTGACCCCATGATTCCACGTATTTGCATTTAGCAGATCATTTCAAGATATCCTCTGTAATACTCTCTGCTAGTTACTAATACTCTGTGCATATTTGTCATTTACTTCCCATTCATTATCTCACTTGTTCTTATGAAACAGCATACGCAGAAGCTCTTCTAATATTTGTTTTACCATGACTTACAGCAGCTTTCCCAAGGTCTCCCAGTTATTGTTGTGGATCTCACACTTGGGATTCAGATCCAGGCTTGTCTGGGGTTCATACACTGAAATACCCTAACCTTATTTTACCACTTCCTGGCTGGCTAGTGTTGATAGGTCATGCAGGTTACAAGTTCTACTAGAAGTAGAAGTAGAAGTGATAGCTTCAGAGCAAGTGGTCTCCTTAGAGGGCAGCAGCTTATGGGAACAATTTCAGGATATACACAATGTCTTAAGTTCAGCTATTAATCAGGGAAGCACAACACTTAGACAGCAGTCCTTTATAATGTCAGCATCAGATAACCTAGACAACAACTATAGCAAGAAGATAGCTTAATTTAACAACAACAAAAAGGCTGGAGTCAGACAGAACTAGGTTTCAACATTTGTTGTCTGTTACTTCCTGTATGATCTGGGCCAGGTTACTAATATTCCTTTAAAGCCTAGTTTGTTCATTATAAATGGGAGGAAAAATACAAACTATGTAGATTTTGAGAGAATTTAAATCAGATAATGCATTTAAAATGCTTAGAGCACCATGCTCAACCCTTCAAGGATGCTCAAGAAATACTGATTCTTGGGATACCTGCGTGGCTTAGTTAAGCGGCTGACTTCAGCTCAGGTCATGATTTCACAGTTTGTGGGTTCGAGCCCCATATCAGGTTCTATGCTGACAGCTCAGAGCCTAGAGCCTGGAGCCTGTTTTGGATTCTAGGTCTCCCTCTCTCTCTGCCCCTCCTCTGCTTGTGCTCTCTCTCTCTCTCAAAGTAAACATTAAAAAATTGAATTAAAAAAAAGAAACACTTCCCTCATATCTCTATGCAGTTGCTTGTCCTTTCACACATATTGAATCATAGTATACGATCAGAGAAAGAGGATTTAGCTTCACAAATGAGAGAAGAAAGGATAGGGACTTCTCCAAAGTTATGCATATATTAGGTAAGAAGCAAAGCTAGATGTTTAGGCTCTAAGTCTAATTTGTTTTGAGTCATACCAAACTATTATCTGATGTCCTCGACTCAGGGTTTATAATTTAAGAAGAGCTGGTATTCTCTAGTATATTTGCACATGCTTGTGGAGCTTTATGAGTGTTCATTCTAGGCTCTTCAGTCCTTAGTCCAGAGCTTGGCTACAAAGGCCTCACATTCTTGTTTGCTGCAGTAAGGACCTCAAATTTATCTTAAACACAGAGTATTTTTTATCATTTTTACATTCATGACTATTTCCTTTAAAGATAACTTAGTGACTACTTGGGAGCGTATATTCCTGGTTTTGACTTTCGATGTGGTTTTCTTTCACTTTCTCAAGTAGTGACTAGATGGTTCCAAGATAATTTTATGCCTAATAATTGGAAATGGGTATTTTATGCAACAGGAAATTAATGTGGACAGTCTGGCTGAGGTCACCAGACGTTCCAAAGTATGGGCATATCATGAAGCAGGATTTAGGAGCAGTAGTCCCCAATCAATTATACAACTCTTAACCTTTAGCCTACACATTGGGTCTTATAAAAGGTTTGAGCTTAGTGCTTAGGATAACATGTTGGGGAAAGAACTGCTGATGTGTTGTGAGGTCTCTCACTACATGTACACATATATACACATAGAAGGGAAGGAGGTAATTTCCTATTTAAGCCAGGTAAGAGGAGCTTTAAGAGAGAACTCAGAGATGAGACAAGCCTAGAAATTCTAAAGAATGAGCCACAGGATGGTACACTGCTCTCTCTGCAAAGGAGAGGTGACCACATTGAGGGGCCATAATTTCCAGTGTTTACTGGGGCAATGGATAGGTTATTGTTTCTCATGGAGCTGACATGGCTACACCTAAGAAGGAGTTGTTGTGTACTCCTCTGATGTCACATCCAAGAAGGCTAACTGGAAGGCCAAAGAGATGGCAGCAGAATAAAGCTGGAGCCCAGAGGCTGAGGAAGACATAAGGGAACATCTGAAATTGAGATACACTTACCTTTTTCAAGGGAACTGTGGTTGAGAGATTCCCCTGACAAATGTGCTTTGGAGGGAGTAGAGATGGTGGAAGGCAGGAAGGGAAGTCTTTGAAGCACCCATGAATGGACCCAGATTTACAAGGTCACAGAAAACCAACTCTTGGCAAGCATCATCAAGTAAGAACTTTCCTGTATTTCTTTAGCTCTCCTTCCTTCCCTAAACCATTCTGGAGAGGCCAGAAACCATGACTAGCAATAAGAGCGTAGGGTCTGGAAGAGCAGGCAGAAGTGACAGGTGGGGAACAGCAGGTAAATTGCCATGTGTGGCCTCCTCTGTAATGGTGGGAGAGCAGCCTGTGGGAGGCTGGGAGAGTGGAGTAACCTTCAATCAAGTTTTTAGTTTTAGTGGTTGCCTTTGATGGACATGGTAATCATTGAGAAAAGGTTCACGTATTTCCTGAAAGTGACTAGGGGCAAGGAAAGAACTGGCCCCCATGAATAAATTTCATGGATCAGTGGTAGACAAAATGAAGTGACTTTACTCTAAGTATGATGTCTGGGATATAATTATGAAGTTTAAATATGCATTTTCTCATTTAATCTTGACAATGATCTTTTGAACTAGGCGCTGCTATCGTTCACATTCTACAGATGAGAAAATTGAACTTAGAAAAGGTAAGCAACTTGTCCAAGAAAAAAAAAATGGCCACTGAGCACGGATTTGTAGCCAGGCTGTCTGTCTCCAGAGCTGCCTCCTAGCAACCCTATAGCTTTCCCCTTCCTGGTGAAAATCTAGATTTTATGTTAATCATAGGTAGTTACACAGAATCATAGCCAACCCATTGGGCACTTCTATAAAAATAGAAAAAAATCATCCTTCTTTCAAGACCTTTCCTTCCATCTGTTGGAAAAATGTCAAAATGGACTAATTTTTAAGAAGATATTTACTAACTTCTGGGGTAAAATATTTCATAATAAAGATATGAATCTTCAAGGCTGTTCATTCTCTACATACCTGTACCACAGCACCTGGCAGCCCAAACACCCTTTTGTCAGGCAACCAAAGCCTATAGAATATTTTATGTCTTTGAGACCTGGTCTCCAACCTCTGAAACCAATGAAACTGTAAACAATGGCCTTTCCCCTCACACCTTCTGAAGCCATAGCATTCTCATTCGCAAAGGGGGCGTACACTCCCAGTAGATGGGAGGAGAAAAAGAAAAAGAGACAAAGGCTCTCATATGTCCTGTTTTTCAATCCACAAGCCACACACACACAAAAATAATTCATGATGACTATGAAAAGTTCAGTGTGAAATCCAGAGGCACAAATCTAAATTCTCCTACCAGCCCCAGGGGACATAAACAGAGCTTGAGGAAAACGTCAGCAAAGACAGGGAAGGAAGAAATATGAAGGGGCACATTAAATACTTACTGCTCTCACCCCCCGAGGTACAGATGTTGCGAACTATCCTTTTCTTGACCTTTGTCAGTTCATCAAAGTTATGAACTGTCAGTTTTTTATCTGCAGTCCCGGTGATCTGAATGAGCTGCTGGTCATCCACGTCCCCAATGCCCACAGAGTAAATATCAATACCTTTGTGTCGCAGGTCTTCAGCGGCCTGAGCCACCTCATCTTGGGACTGACCATCTGTGAGGACCAGCAACACTTGTGGGGTACCTGCATTTATCCGGCTACCCATGTCTGGCCGGAAGTAATGCCCCACGTGCCGGAGTGCGGCCCCAATGTGTGTGTATCCAAAGATCTGTTGGATGTTTTCAATCTTCAGCGATATCTCTGTTTTGCCTATGAAACTTCCCAGTGGGAATTCCGGTCGATAGGTATGGCTAAACTGGGCGGCTCCTATACGTACTCTGTTGACACTGACATCAAAGTCTTGAACAACAGATGCCAAGAATTCCTTCATCTTCCTGAAGTCATCTGGATGAATGCTATTTGAACCATCCATGAGGAAAACAAGATCTACTTTTTCAATTTCACAATCTACAAAGAAGAGGAAAGGGAATAACAACATCAAAAATCAAGTTTTTACTTATTTATTTTTCTTGAACCTGGCAAGAGCAGGTTACAGGTTTGTTGCTATATAGAAATGGTGTTTCCAAAGATGGTTTCTTATCATATGCCATTTGGTGGTCACATTAATTGAGAGGAAATAAAAACACTCAGTTCATAAGGACACGAACAACTCACACAACCCTTTATGCCTTTCTGGAGTTTTCCATTTGGTCTGAATGCCATTTTCTTTTTGGAGATGCCGGAGAACAGGGGGTGGGGCCACAGAAAATTCATTCTTACCTGCAACCCAGCCTTAACCCTTCCAGAAAGCTCAGTGACAGTAGTAGCACAGCAAGAAAACAAAATAGTACACATCCATTTAGAGACTCAAACAAAAAGCCAGATGGTCTGTATTATTGACTCAGCTTCTCTGGCTAGTTAAACCAATCAATATAATAGGTTATTATTAGGGCAAACTGAGCTTTTAAAATCACGCCGTCCAGTTTATATCGTCTGTTTTTCTTCTTTTTCAGCCCTTTTTCCGTCCATATAGGCAAGAAAATCTACTTGAGAAAAACATTTTTGAACAATGCAATATAGTTTAGAGATGCTTCCTTTGTATTAATACAACAAACACCAAACAAAAAGAATATGAAAGACCACTGCCAATGAATGACTTATGCTTGGCACGTACTCATGTATGTTCCGTAGCCTTCTGGTAAACATTATCATTTCCTTGAATTCCCCCAGAGAACTCACCACTGACTTGACTTAATTAATTCTCATGTTAGCCTAGGATTAAAGGTGTCTGAAATTCCATCAGTCAAGATAATCAAGAAAAGGATAAGGAGAAATCTGAAAACAGAATCGGTTAACTTCAGAAATTGGTTAACTCATTAAATTCCTTTGTTTCGGTTTCAAATAAAGGAAATAAAACACTTTGGCATTTTTTATAACCAAGCGAGAAGTTTCAATACAAAATTTCAATGTCAGCTTCTGCAGTGGACTTAAAAGGACAGATCAAATTTTAGGTATTGGCCAACAGAAGCTAAGAGTTGTCCCAGTTTTCAATAAGATTGGGACAGATTTTGTTAGTTTCATGAAAGCAAAAGGTAGTAAGCTGCCTTCTAAGGAGGCAAGGCATAAGAAAGCCAGAAAAGGAACTGCACCCAAGATGTTGGAAGCCCGGATTAAGAGCAACTCACCTAACAATACCTAGTATTTTTAGTAAAACACACCTTAATAAACATACTAAGGAATTTTAATAGACTACAGTGTCCCTTTATTTTATTTTTGTTATTTATTTAAAAAAATTTTTTAAATTTTTATTCATTTTTGAGAGATAGAGACAGAGCATGAGTGGGGGAGGAGCAGAGAGAGAGAGGGAGACACAGAATTGGAAGCAGGCTGCATGTTCTGAGCTGTCAGCACAGAGCCCGATGCCAGGCTTGAACCCACAAACCACAAGATCATGACATGAGCTGAAGTTGGATATCACCCAGGCGCCCCTACAGTGTCCCTTTAAAACAAAGGTATAGAATGGCAACGGAATCAATGAATGAGAGAACAAATTAATATATGCATATAGAAGTGTGGCAATGTAATCTCTAGCCACAGAAGTAGAGACACATGGCAGAGAAAGTCCACTGTACTCTGCTCTGGAAACATTGGAGTCTGGAATTTAATATTGGGCTCCATGTTTTAAACGAGCTTGTGCCATAACAGAAAAAGAGCGAGGGGACCAGAGACTTCCAGCCTGCTGGAGAGAAGACTTCAAGCAATGCCTCCTGGTTCTTAGGAAAAGGTAGGATCGATTTTTTATGTGAAAAGGAGGAAGATGACGTGTGGGTAGGAAGGACGTGTAAACAGCTTTGTGTTCTGATTAATAAAGCCTGTTCACAAATGGTGAATTCCCCATCATTAGAAGAGTTTCAGCAGTGAGTAGGAATGTTGTAGAAGGTATTCCTCTTTGGGGAGGAGGCCAAATGAAATGTCCTTGAGATCCTTCCAGCCCTGAGATTCTATAACATGGGGAGTTCTAGGACAATTCGTGCTCCTTCTCTCCTCTCTAGAGAACTTGCTCCTGAAGGCTATTGCTTTGGTTTCTCCCTCACTTGGACCTCTGCTGTTAATTGAGAAAAACGTAATTGACAAACCTTACCTACTTTTGAAGAGTTACATACACTGGCTGACACATCTGAAAATATCCCCTTCAGGCCTCCAAAAGTCTCCACGAAGAAGTACTTGTCACTTGATCCTGCCATGGCTAGCAGCTCTACAGGATTGGCACCAGCGATCCCCACCGCCAGAACAAGAATGCCTTTGTCTCTCAAGGCCTTGGCTGTGGCATTGAGCTTATCTGCATCATGGGATTCCCCATCAGTGATCACAATGAGGACTTGGGGGACCCCTTTGTGCAGGCGGCTGCCCCGGGCTTCAGTGAACATGTGGTCTGAAAAGCCTAGTGCCTCAGCAGTGTAAGTATTGCCCCCCATGGGCTGGTCATTCTGGAGCACTGAAATCACATCCCATTTTGTGCTGAGGTTATCCAGATAAAACAGTACCTCTGGGTCATCAGCATACTTCAGAGCCCCAAACCGGACCTGATTTTTGCCAACGTCAGCTTTTTTCACCAAGTCAATCATAAAGTCTTTCATGATACTGTATTCATCATAGTCAATGCTTCCAGAGCTGTCGATTACAAACACAACATCCAGAACTTCAATTCGCTTACATTCTAAAAGATGAGGAAAAAGGAAAACCACATGAAATTAGCTTTGGACATCACGGGAAACTCCTCTCCCCACGCATGTGTTTAAATTGCCAGGGTCTCCTCCACATGGGATCAAATTGTACATTAGCATGTCCATTCCTTGGGCAAAAGACACAATACACATACATTTGTGCTGCTAGTATGTAGAAATAGTAAGGTAAGCTTTTAGGACAAGGCAGATGTGCGGCCTACAGTAAGAGGCACAGAGAGGGCCAACAGTCACGAGATCATAGGAATAAACACTCCAAATGCTTTGGACTAAAAAGGAAACACAAGTTCTGTAGAAATTCTCCTGTATAAATAGTTTCTTCAACATGTGCTTTCATTTACACAGATTCAGCTTTTATTTTTAAAGCCACAGGGATGAGATTTTATTCTTAAGATAAACCTTGGCAAAATGACCACATGAAAATGAACTTGGCAACACTGTATATTGGTTCTTCAAGGTTACATTTTCTTCCTTTTTAACCTTCTTGAAACATTATCTATTGTCCTTATTGGGCCTCATCATAGAAATAAGCCCATTTCACACTTGGCCTAACTAAATGGTCCTGGCTTGATGCTCCTATTAACTTTTCAAACTTTGGGTCAATAGCACGGAATAGTGAAGCAGGAAAGACCCAATTAATTACTTAATTCATGTGTGTGTAACATGTTCTATTTAAAGGCACAGAGTTCCAAACTACAACTCATTCATGCTGGAGAAGTGGAATCATAAGATAGTTAATGTTTAGTCCTTATGCAGCACAATCTCTCCACAGGTCTTAGAAAGGTATGTTCCAAACGTTAACTCACCCACTCTGGAGAGACAGAATGGGGTCAAAATAGGCCCCCTCCCTAGGGGCTCACCCCATTTCCTTCCTCTGCAAGCCACTTGCTTGCTATGCGGCAGGGCTGTTGAAAGCCTTAGAGCCAACCAATGTACTTAACCTCATTGACTAGAGACCATGTGTACATAGTCATAAACCAAATTCTCAGGAAAGGCTGGTGCTACAAAAGAAGAAACTACGTGTCTCTGGCCTTTGGCTGCCCTGGTGAGCCTGCCTGCATTACCCAAGGGACTGGGGTATAGAGTACTCCGTGTTGGCACACTTCCAGGAGTTCAGATTTGTTCTGGGTGGAATTATTGAGAAACAAAGTCCAGGTATGTTTTCTACAAAGCATATACCGCAATCACCAAACCTTCCAGTGGAAGTTGTACAGACCTGTTATTTGAAAAACAATGTTCCTCTCTTTCTCCAAAACTCTGTTAAGATCCATCAGCTTCATAGAGATGAGATGTGGCATTTTTCAGAATGCCTCAGTCATCAAGGCCCAGGGATCCTAACGTAAATCAGTCCCTTTGATTTGCTCAACTTGTTTCATCTCCTGCATTACTGTGCAGTCTCATGGGAGGAGGATGGGGACTCTACTATTTACCTCCTTTGAGGCAGGTTCCCATATGATACTTCTCCTTGGTAAGATTTAATATCAAATTGTTTTTATAAATGTTATCTCTTGTAAAACAAACAAACATACACTGGATGTTAGGTCAAGGGGCAGCCACCTTGCCCAAGAGTTTATGCTCCGGTACTGCTTGCCTCACACGTAACCCAAGGACACCAGCTATATGAGGCTGGATGCTTGCCTCCAGGTGGAACAGACTCTGTGGTGTAATTCATGCTCCAGAGCTCCCCCATGGGGTCAGGCTGAAGCTATACTCTAGCTAAGCATGCCTCATCGCTCAGCTCTTAACCCCTGCCTTGTCCTACTTCCCTTACTCCCTTTCTGAAAATGCCTCTTCAATAAGTCACTTCCCCAAGAGCCCCGGACTCAGCTTCTGTTTCCAGGGAACCAGATCTAAGACATTATTACCCTAGTCTTGTCTACAAATGGGGAACAATCTTGGGGGGAGGGGCAAAATTATTCTGTATTAATTCAGCAGTTCTGATGAGGAAAGGTGCATTTTTTATATAGGTAAAAAGCCACTAGGATGAACATTCCAGTTAAGCAAAGTTTACAATGTTCAAAGAGTAGTTTATTTAATTCAAGAAATAATGGCTAACACAGACATATTTTGGATAAGCCTACTAGTGCATATGCCCACACCTACCTTCACGGGGGCTGCATATTCCAAAAACAAGATCATCTTCAATGTGCTGCAGAATATCAAAATTCTCAACATAAAAGACCATCTCCGGCCTCCCACTGATTTCCTCAAGCTGGGTGACATTGGAGCCAAACACCCCCACAGAGTAGATAATTATGCCTTCTTGTCGAAGTGCTACTGCTGGGTCCTTGACTACGTCCTGAGCTTCACCATCCGTGATGAGGATGAGAAACCTCCTGACATTGGGTCGGGCCCCCTTGGCAGGGCTGAAGTACTGAGACACAAAGGTCAGGGCACTACCAGTCAAGGTGGTTTCTCCAATGTGAGCCATCCGGTCTATCGCATCTGAAATTTCATGTTGAGACATGTATCTGTTGAGTGGAAATTCTTCCTTATTGATGTCGCTGAACTGCACTACACCGATTTGCACCCGATCTGCCCCAATCTGAGACTTGCTCACGAGATTTTTCATAAATGTTTTCATTTTGATGAAGTTTTCAAGTCCTATACTGCCAGAACTGTCCACCAGAAACATGATGTCTGCTTTCATCTCTTTGCAGGCTGCATGGAAGATAAGAGGTTTATCTGAGTTGGCTTCAGGTAAAAAGATTAAGGATAAACAAGAAAATCCAAAGCACAAATAATTCTATACGGAAGTTAAGTGTGGGTTTGGTAAGGATTGCTAATAGGTAAATAGAGCACTGAAGGCAATAAAAGTGAGACACTTCTATTTGTTATTTATGTCTTTAATATGTAATTCAGAATGACTTAACCTGAGCACTATAATTTTTTATCATGGAGGGCAGCCCATGCATCATAGGACACTGTAGGACATTTAGCAGTTTCCCGGTCTCTATCAGTTAGATGCCAGGTGCACTTCTCAAGTTATGACAATCAAAAGTTACTCTAGACATTGCAGGTATCCCCCCAAGGAGGCAAAAATCATCCCCGGTTGAAGACTACTGATAGAGTTCTAAAAGGTTTCATAATAGTTTTATTAAAAAACAAGTTAAATAAATCTGAGGTACTTATAATATGTTGCAGTGTCCAATTATAGGTCTAATCTAGCAGAGATTTGTGGGAAGAGGCTAATGAATATTTATTAGAACTCCTCCAAGCATCTTTCTTTTGCTTCAGGTATTAATTAGAACACCAATATGGGCTCCTAGTTTTGCTCTGGAGAACAAACATAGCCACCCAAGTCAACAAACCTTGACTTGGAAATTTATGCTGTTTCTCTAAACCTGTGATATCAAAGATTGCAGGATAGTAATTTATGAGCTGAAGTCAAAAGGTAAAGTCACCATGCCCCCTACCTTCTTCAGCGCAGATTTCCTGAACAACTTGGTTTCTTATGTCTTTCAAAGCATCAAAGTCATGCACGTAGTATACCCTCTTTTCCTCGCCTGCAATTTCTTGCAGCTGTGTTTGGTTGGCCTCCTTGACCCCAATGGCATAAACACGAATGAGCTCTTCTCTCAGTCTTTTTGCAGGCTCCAAGATGCTATCCTTGGACATGCCATTCGTCAGGACAACAAGATGACATGGCACTCTGTCTCCTCGCTGCTTTTTCGCTTTTTGCAATAGCCCCAGTGTGAAATTCAGGGCTGCACCCGTGTTTGTATTCCCACCCATCTGCCGGATGTTCTCAATGGCCTTTCCCAAGTCGTGCTTGTTCGTGTATTTATTAATCTCAAATTCCAAGTCCCAGCTGTCAGCGTACTGAACGGCCCCAACCCGCACCTTTTGGGGAGCGATGTTGAACATCCCTACGACCTCTGACAGGAAGGTCTTCATTTCATGGAAGTCTGTGGCCTGGGTGCTTCCAGAGCCATCAATGAGTAGATAAATGTCTGCTTCTTCAGTTTCCACACAACCTAAAATGGAACCAGAAAGTTGGCTGTGGCACTGAGGCAAGTGTGAAGAAGGAATGGGAATATATGGTAAGTACAATAGTACAAGCATCTTGAGACAGAGAAATGGAAAACAGCTTCTAGGCATCAAAGACACACTGCTAGCTTAATGTAGGAAGAATCTAAGCACAAATGGGGCCAAACAAATTGCTTCTGACAGTTTAAGACTATTTGGATAGTCTGCTGACATGAATCAGAGCAAATGTGGATACAATAAAAGATTAGAAAGAAGACATGAAGATTTTTACAAGTCATCTCCCTCATCAGTTAACAACTGCTTAGCAAAGAGGCAAGTGGTATATTGAGAAATGGAGAAGGCATTTAACTGGACATTGTGGACAGAGGAGCTCTCTTTCTGGAAAACCTGAACAAGCTATTTACTCTCATCTACTCCTAGCCAATTAACAAAACTAGGGGTACTGTCAGTGGTCTTACTTGTGTAGGACAACGCTTTTATAGTAAACATGCCAGGAATATTTGCTGAAGAATGTATACATATATGTGCACATGTATATCTACACAGAATTTATGTAGTATGCATGTGTACATACAAAATATTTAAGATATATTGCTCTCTGTCTCTCAAAACTCACAGATACTAGAACAGTACATCACAAATCACTCTGTCCTCAAACCATGCTTCCTGTTTCTTCTGTAAGCTGGAATTTGAGGATGATGGAAGAAAAGGAGAGAAAAATACAGAAAAAAAAAAAAAAAGAAATAGGAGTGCCTGGGTGGCTTAGTTGGTGAAGCGTCTGACTCTTGATTTCGGCTTGGGTCATGATCTCACAGTTCATGAGTTCAAGCCCCATGTTTGGCTCTGCACTGATGGATGCAGATTCTCCCCTCCTCTCAAAATAAATGAATACACATAAAAAAAAAGTAAAGAACAAGGGAACATGAGAGGCAAAAAAGAAAAAGAGAAAAGTAAAGGCAGAAAAACCGCAAAGGATGATGTTCTAGGGTGTTTATAAGTCATGAAGAATTCTGGCAGGGAAATCCCTCCCAATTCCAGCACGAAATTGGCTTTCATTCTCCCTCAATTTACACTTTGTAGGATCAAGTGAAGGTAAGAAATCAAGAGCTTATTTTCCTACACACAGCATGCCCTGCCAATCCCTTCTCTATGTAGAATACCTGAGAGGCTGGAGAAAAGAAAAAGGATCTGAATAATCCTTCTCTCAGCTAAGGACTTTACCAGATTTGAGCGTTTCAGTGCGTTCTGAAAAGACAGAGACTGTGTGCATGATCTGGTTCCGCAGCTTCTTCAGAAATGTCTGATTGTGAGCGGCCAGGTCAGAGAAGCTTTTCAGTTTGGACACATGCTGCTCGGCAGGGTGAGAGGCGATCTTCTCCAGCTGGCTGTCGCTGGCCCCCTCTATTCCCATGGTGAAGATGGTCACGCCCTCGCGCCGGAGGTTAACGGCTGCCTTGGTCACGTTATCCTCTGATGGTCTGTGGGTCACCAGCACGGCAATCTGGGGCACCCCCTGATTTTTCCGACTGCCATTGCGTGCACTGAACACTTCCTTTCTGATCTTTCTGATGGCGGCTCCTGTGTAGGCCTTCCCAGCCTGGGGAGAGAGGTTCTCTATATTCTGGAGAACCTCTGACTTATTTATGCCCCTGCTGAGGGAATTTATCACCTTTGTCTCATTGCTATAGGCCACAAGGCCCACTCTCATGCAATTTTCCTTTATGTCAAGAGCAGATACGCTTTCCTCCAGGAATTCCTGAAGATAGTAAAAGTTGTCCTGGCTGTCATTGACTGATACATCCAACAGGAACACCACATCAGCCACAGAGGGGCCTTGGCAAACTGTGTGGACAAGAAATGAAGAAGCACAACTTTAGCTAGAGGTTGGGCATCTTTACTCAGCATTAGAAGGCATGGAGACATCCACCAGAGCTTGGTTATACACTTAAAGAAAGAAGGCTGTATACAAAAATGATTATGAAGCTGAGATCAGAAGGTCCTAGATTCAAATACTGGATCTTAGCTCAACTCCCAGTTTTAATTTCTTTATCTGCGAAAATAACATTTATCTCATGAAATTGCTGTGGGGGTAAATGTGATACCATGCTTCACTTGGGGGCTGGTACATAAAAGTCACTCAATGAATAGCTGCTATTGCGATCATATTAAAATAATATTAAAATCAATAGGTAGAGACCAAATATTCCTAAGAGGTGGTAATGGAATAGCGATTGTACTTTCCACTATTTTATTTGGGAAAGATGCTAGTAATAGGATTTATATTTTCATAGATTACCACAAGAAAAGCATTCTCTATTATTAATAGACAATTATATTGTCTTGTTCAAACAGATTTAACCATCAGTAATATGAATTTCTTAGGTTACTTATTAAGACTTGTACACTTGGAGCAAACTGTTTTTCTGGCTCTGCCCCGACCCTAACTTGAATGATGTTCATAAATTCCTGGCTACTCTTATTAACAGTACAAGAGGACAGACCAGGACACAGGACAGCAGGTTGGTGGTGGAGCAGAACACAGGAAGCTCATCTGGAGCAATGCAACAGCGAGGGAGGCAGTGTGGGGCTGCAGCTACAGAGAGTCTGGGAATCCAAGGGCCCGATGTACCCGATTTCAAACTTCAGCCCGGCCTGGGGCCTGGGCCATGTTACCTCAAAGAATGCCTACAAGTTTCTGCAGAAGCAGAAGTTTGGCCTTCCTGAAGCTGTTTCTAGTGCTATCATTCTGTGATTACATTATGTCATTTGCAGAGGCAAGGATTTCTTTAGGAACAAACTTACCCTTTAAAGGAACCGGTAATAAAACTGCATCATAACTAAAGCCCAAGGAGACTGACAGCTCAGAGGTATGTTGGGTGGTGGGGGCCGGGGGTCCCTGAATTTTAAGATGCATCCATGACATGCAACATAAGTGAAAGAGAAAAACCAAGATTTGTGGTGTTTGTTAGATTTGTAATGGCGACGATCCTTGGGTCCTCTTGAACACATGAATATTTGACATCTGAAAATGCAGTCCAACTTTTGAGGAAAGGGATGTTCAGTTTCAATCGTCTCCCCATGCTGATTTTTCAAAAGCAATTAATCATCATTGAACATATGTGCCCTGAACCCACCTTCCACAAGAACGTCATCTGCCGCTCCGTCCCTGTACTGGGTCGCTTCCTTGATGATCTGCGTCATGTTCTGGGAAAACGCGCCCAGGTCCCTGACAGACCGAAGGTTGAAATGAAACTGATCCGTCGCCATGGCCTTCAGCTCCTCCTCAGAAGCTTCCTGCACCCCCACGGAGATGATTCTCACCCCGTCTGCCCGCAGCGCCTTGGAGGCCTCTTCCACGTCGTCCTCGGACGCCGACGAGGCCAGAACCACCAGAATCGGGGGAAACTGCTTCTTGTCCCTCCCCCCGGCCTGCGGGGAGAAGAAGGTCCTGTGAGCCTCCCGGAGAGCGTTTCCTATCCGCAGGGAGCCGCCGATGAAGGCGAAGTTCTTCTTGAGGTGGTTCAGCATGGGGTTCCTGCTCCTGAAGGCGCTCAGCTGGAACGCACTGTGCAGCTGGTCGCTGTACTGAGCCAGGCCCACGTGGTGCTTGTGCGCCTCTATGGGGAGGCTGCTGATCGTCTTGGTGATGAACGTTTTCACCAGAGGGAAGGCCTTGGTGCCCAGGTGATCAGAGCTGTCCACCAGAAACACGACATCTGCATACTCAGGGCCTATAAACCCAAAGACATATAAACAAAGCCCAAACCTTAGAAATTTACTACCTGTTTATTAATGTCAACCATTTGGGTAAAACCTACTTTCCTCTATTTGTACTTGTGATACCTTCCCAATGAACTGAAAATAATCGCCAGAGATTACATATTTGCTTAAGAAAAGACATCTTCATTTCGTGGGCTAATTTTTTCATATATCCTCTCATTTGAACTCATCACAAATTAAGTATCACTTTTGTGTGGAATTAAATAAAAATAGGTAAATTTAGAAAAGTGGAAAATCCTGGGTTTTTTAGTGGATACTCCCTCTTTTTTTTTTTTTGTTTTTATTTTTGCTCTCAGAATTTGATCTCAGTTTATATAAAGAGAATAAAACACTTAATTGAGAATCGCAAAGCTTTGACTTTGGGTGGAGAAATCTGAATGATGCTCTATCATTGTGATTCCTCCTTAAGCAGTGTTAACAGTGATCTGATTGACTTACAAACATACTAGTTTTGTATTCCCCAGTGTTAAATTGATGAAATTTTAAAAATCCCTAAAAACCATTAAAATGTGGTAAATTTAAAGTTCTTTATAATATTTTGTGGTGAATCATATGAATGATCATTATAATGCTTGCATATGTAAAAGGTGATAGAAACCAGTATGCCTTAAGCTAGGAAAGGGATTACAATTTTAGTTTCCTTTAAAAACAATTTGTATATAGGAATATAATAACTATGCTGAACTCTTAAGGATTCATTCAGTGCCTGGTTCAACACTAGGTGTGTAGAATTATAATTTGATGTGATCAGGAATTGCTGGGTTCAAGCACAAAATATTGTTTATTGGTGATCTGCTCATTTGAATGCAGAGTTCTCACCACTCTAGGAGAAGATCTAGGTCTTTTCCGGGATAGAGAGGGAAAGGTCTGGGTATACGATGGTGTATATTTAAGAAAATATAGTGTAACTGAAAAAATAACAGAAGTCCTAACTTTTTTTTTTTTTTTAATCAGCTAACTCCACCTGCCCTGTCAAGCCATTCAACATACTTGCGCTTCAGGTTCCTCACCTTTTAAATGAGTGGATTCAACTAGAAGATATGTAAAGTCCTTCCTCACTTTGAGATTCTGATGAACTGAAGTGGTTACAAGATAAATTCTAATCAAATTAAGATAAATTCCATCTCTCTCTAGCAGTCCACACCTGCTAGGAAACCAGTGTTGGCACCCCTCTGTGTGATTTCCTTTTTTTTTCTCCCCAATTTCATTTTCTTGATAGCAGTCTAGTTGAGGCATGATGGATAACATTCCATCTTGTCTTCTAAATAACCTAATTTCAACCAGTTTGAGATTTTTTTGACAATCATACAGCCAGCAGTGTCTTAGGGGAAGAAATGAGGGTCAATCAACATGGTCTTCCAAGAAAAGGCCAGAATCCCTACAAGAACTGTCAGGGGAGCCCTGCGCAGGATGGCTTGACTTGTGACCAAAAGTGACCTTTCTGTTTATGAATAACCCCCCATATCTTGTATGGAGAAATGGAATGTGGACAATTGGCACAGGAGACAGATTCAGGTTCTGTATGGCTCAGCATTATGTCCGAACTGTGCAACACTTGGGGGAAAAGCACTGCCTCTCTTTAAACAACTTAATATCAAATGCAGTGAGACATCAAAGGAAAATGTTTGCAGAACGAAGCCTAGTTTATTTTTCAGAAAACTTTCTTCCAAGGTCAGAGTCCTTGAGAAAGCTGTGAAAGCCAATATAGGTGGCCCTGACCATGAAGTGACCAGCAGAAGAATTCACTATTTTGAGGTGGTAAGGGAGTGAAGAGTAGACCAGTATTTTCACTTCATGTCCACTGGACAAAGATTGCTGACAGACAGTAAACAGCTATGGAGCTTTCTCTTCAGAGCAAAAGCACTTTCTTTACAATAAGCTAACAGTTTATATGGGAGCAGCTCTGGATACTTAACTAAGACAATGTTTTGGCACAAATGAACTAGGAAGAAACATTCCAAATGTTCCAGGCCTGAATCTAATATTAGATGATAAAATTTTAATGCAACCTCCCAAAAGGCCTAAGGGGTTGAAACTGAGGACAAAATAATAGCTCTCATATCTTTCTATCATAACTAAGGAATAAGGTCCAGAACAAATGATCTTTAAAGGAGCACCAGGTAACATCAAAAACAATTGAGCTACCATCTATACCTTTACCACCATCAAAAGCAAAGCAAAACTCTTAAATTTTAAGCAGATCAAACTCCTATCTGTTTTCCATAATGAAAATTAAGGAAAAGAATGGTTTCCACTTTTTTTACTTACCAGGATCTTTGTTCATAGAGACATGGGAACAAAGGATTATAAGGAACAAAATCAGCAGCATTTTCCTGTTATGACCTATAAAGTCTCCAACTTGAAATCTGAAAAGGTAAAAAAACAAACACCTAAAACTGTTGTGGATACTATTTTGTAATCAAGACATACAAATAAGAGAACACAAAATTTTATAGCAAACTGGGTGCAATAGAAGGCAGAATTTCTGAGGTTCCCTGACTTTCCATTCTGTGAAGAGCCTTAGAGAAAAAGATCCACAAAATTTCACACAATCACAAAAGTTTTTCCTGGTCCAAGACCCCGTAGAAACATGAAATTTTGGATTGTCAATGGAGGTAGCCAGATGCATTCTAGTTCCAACAATATTTTGTGTCTCTATTAGTCATTTTCTCTGTACCCTTGTATTACTCTTGGTCCACTCATTGCCAAGACAATTCAGAGTTCATGGTTGGGACACAGTCTAAAGACAGGATTTATAATTTCTCCATCATGAACATGTAGGTGTGTTTCATATTTGAGCAGTAAGTATTTTTAGATGTGGTCAAAATTCTGTCTTTTCCCCTTTCCTACATTAGAGAGGTAACCATTTTCCCTTAATTTTAAATTTGAGAGAAGACATAAAAGTAGTGATTCTCCATATTCCATACAATGTCTTGCTCCTCAAAATGACTCAGTTTGTACCATTTTGCTTCCAACTACCTAGAAGTGCATGAGGCAAGGGTTTTCCAATTCTATTGACCTAAAGAATCTTCATTCACCTATAATTATTCATTTCATAGAATGAAATAAAATATTGAAGATATTGAAAATAAATATTTTCACAAAGCAGGTTGGGTGCATTTATTCACTCATCCATTTAATGAAAAATTAATTGACCCATATTAATAAACTAGCATCTCTGTTTCTTTCTTAGTTCTTACCCAAATATGAATTTGCAATATTATGTACAGCTGTCTCACTCCTTGTCAGACAGGCTCCCAGTGCTTAGTACTCCATCCCTTCAGAAAAGGGACCTGTGCCACGAGAAATTCCATCCCCATTTCCTCACTTACTCCATCATCCCTCTGACATTCTGGAATTTGGGACTCTGTTCTTTCATAAGAAGCCTAGATGAATAAACTTTTCAGGCTGTAAGTCAATTTATCAATTCTATTCCGAGTTAATCAGTAAACTGGAAGAGACTCATAAAAGGTTGTTTTTAGTTCAACCCTTTCATTTTAGAGGAATGTTAGCCATAGTGGATTGCCCCAGAATAAAACCAAGTCATAATATCTATACACATTTCCTACTAATACATGTAACAACAGCAAATCCTACCATTTGTTGTGCCTTTAGTGCAAACTGCTTCACATTTGTTCTTCTGTTTGATATTGGTAACAAACATAGTAGCAAGTGATATTATTCTTATTTTGCAGATAAAGAAACAGATTCATAAAGGGGACATAATTAATGGTCTCAAAGTCACATTGATAAAATGGGCTGTAGTTGGGCATAGAGCCCACATCAGTCTTACTCTAAAATCAGTCCTTGCAAACTCTGTTATCCCAAACTCAACACTGTGAACATGAAAAGCGTCTCCAAGTTTCTTTCTGAAAGTGAAAACCTGGATAGAACTGTGAGGATTAGGTAAGGTCACGATAATCCCAAAGAGGCATGAAGCATCTGGAAATGTCCCAATGCAGATGATCAATACCAGTGATACAATAAAAGTTGAGTTCTCTGGAATAGCACCTTATGAAATAATTTTCTCATATCCCTGAAATGGATTTCAAAATCTGGTGTGTTGTAAGGACATAGAGTGTGGAAGGCCACACATGACAGGTTCTCTTGAAGTGCATGTGGGCTCTGCTTGGTGTGTGCAGTAAGACTAATGGAGGGCTAAGCCTCTAAGTTCATGGATAGAAGGCCTGGGATCATTTTTACCACATCAAAACATGGATGAACTGCATATAATCTGCGTGCTGTTCTACTCCCAGACATGGCCAGGATTTATATAAAATTTTTAGAATATCTGAATATTTAAAATAAATTTTAAAAATACTTGAAGACATAAAGGGAGAATAAAGAAACAACAGATAATTTAAATTCATTGTACATTCTTCTTAACAGTGAGATTGACTGCTTGTTACAGAAATATTGTCAAAGGTACAGTCTCTTTAATCTAAATTTTGTTGTAATTCATTTATTACGAATCAAAAAAACACTGAGGCCAATATACTTCTGGAAGTTATATGCAATAAAAAGCTTTTTTAAAAATCTGGATCCCTGTAAACTTTCTGTTGATAAGGTAGAATGTTTCCAATTTAAACCACAGCTGCAAGAGCAACACAGCCACCAAACATTTGGCTTCAAACCCAGAATGTTTAGAACTTGTGCAACACCTCTCTTGAGGCTATTAAGAACCAGGGGTTTCAGGGAGACCTCTGCCCCAAGCAAGCCAATTCATAATCTAGGACATATCTTCAAAAAATATTAACAGCCTGAAAGGGATACTAAAGAGACTTCAGCACAATTAAGATAAATGCCATTTTTTCCTTTAAAATAAGCATGCAGGATACATCATTTCTAAGCATATGGGTTGTGTTTTTCTTCAGAAACAAGAATACGGTCAGCTGTTGCACTGTAAAAACCATACTGGGTCTGTGTCACAAAGGTCACTAAAAATTGCCATTTGCACATCTTCACTACCAATTGCCATTTGTGCATCTACCTCCACCCTCCATCTCTTGACGTTTCCCCTTCCTGGAGCCATGCTACTTCTCAGAAGCCAAAAAGTAGAAAGAAAAATATTCTAAGGAAGACTTACATTCACACTGAAATGCTGCAGCATAAATCCTTCCCATACAGTAGGCACAAATAAACACCGAACCAATAATGGTAAACAAAACACGCAATACAAAACACGCAAGCCCTCATGAGGCAAGCAAATCACCTTGTTTTACTAATAATGTCATGTTTTTCCCAACTGCATTTTCTGGAATCACAAGAAGAGGCTGTATATATCGATCATATTGAACCACGTCATTATGACCCTGCCATTTTGTAAAATGGACACTCGTGTGTTGAGGAAAGAGCACAGACTACAGTATCATGACTTGGGTTTCACTCTGTTCCTTAGTGGTTGTGTCACTGGACATCCCGCCTCACTTCTGTGGGTTCCAAATCTGACGCACAGGGGTCACTTCCTCTAAATTCTAGCATCTCCACACATTAATGGTTTTCTGATCTAATAAATAGTACCAGAAGAAAAAAAAGTGACCAGTGAAGCTAAGAGCACATTGAAATATAGAGTACATGTTCTGAAACAGTCTTATGGATGAAAGTGCCCCTCAGACAACCACCTTTGCAGATATGGTCCTGTGTTAGAGGGACTAAGACTGCAAGAAAAGTAGTAGGTCTGATTTATTGGCCCTTTCTGGGTCGGAAATGATGCTGGAATCCTTCCAGGCCCAAGAACACCAACTTAAGGGGACTAAAATTTCAGTAAGGCAAAGCTTATTTTATTTAAGCTGGGAATTAAATGCCAAGCTTAAAAATAAGGAAAAGTATAGAATAAAGTTAAAAGGAATATACAGATACTAAAGTACTAAAAATTTGACCAGAAATCAGCAAACTAAAAAACAAAGCTAAACGAAGATTTGAAAACATGTTCCTCATAAAGACTGATCAAAAAAAAGATGGCATAAGTAGATAATAATTATATGAATGAAAAAGGAGACATATCTGTAAGACAGACTTTACAAATTGAAATAGCAGGGGACCTGGGTGGCTCAGTCGGCGAGGCGTCCGACTCCGGCTCAGGTCATGATCTCATGGTTCGTGGGTTTGAGCCCCACATCAGGCTCTGTGCTGACAGCTAGCTCAGAGCCTGGAGCCTGTTTCAGATTCTGTGTCTCCTTCTCTCTCTGACCCTCCCCTGCTCTCTCTCTCTCTCTCTCAGAAATAAATAAAACATTTAAAAAAATTGAAACAGCAGTTAAAAATATTCACAGGGATATCCAAGCTTACATGATTTTACTGGCAATTCCCAAACTTTCAAGACACACATCATTTGCATCTTCTACAAATTCTTTCAGAGATCCGAAAAAGAGGAATATTAGCCATTTCCTTTGGGGGGTGGGCAGTAAAATATTGTTATGTAAACTAGACAAAGACAGTATGAGAAAGGAAAACAACATCCATTTTTCTTATGAATATAAATAACAATAGTCAAATTATGGAAAGAGCCCAAATGTCCATCAACTGATGAATGGACAAAGAAGATGTGGCACACATGCGCGCGGGCGCACGCGCGCACACACACACACACACAAAACGGGATATTACTCAGCCATTAAAAAGAATGAAATCTTGCCGTTTGCAATGACATGGATGGAGCTAGAGAGTATTATGCTAAGTGAAGTAAGTCAGTCAGAGAAACACAAATACCATATGATTTCACTCGTGTGGAATTCAAGAAACAAAACAGATGAACATAGGGAAAAAGAGAGGCAAACCAGAAAACAGATTCTTAACTATAGAGAACAAACTGAGGGTTACTGCAAGGGAGAGGGTGGTGGGATGGTTTAAATGGTTGATGGGTTTTAAGTAGGACACTTGTTATGATGAGCACTGGGTGTTGTAAGTGATGAATCACTTCTTAATTCTCTTTACCTATTTCACCTATCTATCCTCCCACCCGCCTCCCTCTGGCAATCACCAGTTTTTCTCTATATGTAAAGGATTGTTTTATGTCTTTTGTTTGTTTGGTTTCTTAAATTCCACATATGTGTGAAATGATATGTTACTTGTATTTTTTGTCTGATATATTTCATTTAGCAATAATACCTTCTCAGTCCATCCATGTTGTTGCAAATGGCAAGATATCATTCTTTTTTGTAGTTAATATTTCATTGTGGATATGCACACATCTTCTTTATCCATCTATGGATGGACACTTGAGTTGCCTCTGTATCCTGGCTTGTAAATAATGCTGCAATAAACATAGGGGCACACAGATCTTTTCTAATTAGTGCTTTCCTTTTCTTTGGGTAAATATCCAGCAGTAGA